GCGGGGAAAAAAGCATGGATGAAATGAAAACAGACCTTCATCTGAGTGTTGTATTTGTGAGTTAACCCTACCATCCAAAGAGTGAATGGGATGATGTCTTGTACTATTGAGGGCTTGTTTGTGGGGGAGCCCTGATGAGTCCGTCACTGAGTGCAGCGGAAAATGTATGATTATTACTTCATGGAAATGCAATTAGACCGAGACACTAAGGCAGAGGAACTACTGGATCTCCAGTGCACATAACAAGATACACAAGAACTCTGATTGCATTTCCATGAAGTAATGATCATAAATGTTCTTCATTGAGCTGTGAAACTCTGCTGCACTCAGTGACTCGTCGGGGCTCCCCTACAAACAAGCGGCTGCTGGAGGAGAGTGGAGGAGTTGTGTTTAGTCTCTTTGCTAATGAAACCAGGCAAAGCTAAAAAGATGTTTGATGTCTAGTACTATGGCTGGGATCCTATATGTCCTGTTGATGAAGTTAGGTGCTGTTCTGAGCATTATTTGTGGCTTTTTGGTTGAGTTTGTGTGTGGAGACATAGACCACTGTGTATTGCTATCATGCGGTTGTTACTAAAGTTGGTGTAACTAGAGAAGCAAGCAGTCTGCAGCATTCATCTTTGGAGGGGGGGTGTCTAACTTGGTGTTACAGTGTGTTTGATCATAACTTGTGCTTGAATATCCCTTCAACATTTCTAAACACACCTCCTCTACAGCACAGTGCATTGAGGGTTAGTTGCTAGGTTATGATATGTGTTGCATTCAATGTGTGCAATAATGTTGAAAATTTTCAAAGAATTTGTTAGTGTCAGTAAAAAAAGGGTTTCCTGTTTTATTGTCCGACACTTGTCACTAGCCACGAATTGAATTGGATCGCTTCTAGGTCGAGTCATGTTTTGATTTTGTGGTCCCTAAGACAGATGGCTGCCTCCTTCCACAGGGAAACAGGAACGAGTAACGTTTCTGTCGACATGCGTATACATTGGTTTCACAATCATCAGATCTCAGCATTCACCATCACTGTATAAGACCTATAAGAAGGCAGACAGAGAATGAGACAGTTTTGGTCACAAACTCCACCACTGCTTCCTTCTCCTCCTCTTCTTATTTTTGATGGAATTGAATACTTTTCATTTTTCAGGTTCTCCTTTTAAACTAATGTTTCTGTATGTCATCCTGTCCCTTTCTCCATCCACCTTGTCTGATCAGATCATCACAGCACTGGAGGAGGACCCCACCGCTCAGAAAATGCAGCTTGGTTACAGACTACAGCAGATCGCAGCTGCAGTGGAAAACAAAGTCACCGACTTGTGACAGAGGAAACACCCGCCAGAGCCGCGATCAGAGCAGGGTGGAAGTGGGAGGGAAATGGACTGACTCGCATCCTGCAGACTGAAGTGAAAGCAGGAGAGCAGCAGACAGACTCATGGGGGCACAGCAACATCCTTCCTCGGTGGAGGAAGAGTTGGCATCAAGTGGGAGTTTTTGCAACATTCAGAAGAAGAGGATTCAGACTGGCATCCAAGTTCACATCCCAACACCCTCTCGACTTTTCTGGTGTGAGGATAAATCTGTGTCTCTGGAGAGGAAGGACAGACGTGAATAAAGGATGTGAATAAACCGGCCTGGCAGTCTCGCAGCTGGTCCGGTCTGCTGACACGAGGACTGATAGATTCAGACGGTCCTTTTTTCTCTGAATCTCTGGAGTGAATTTGATGAAACGGTACCTCTTATGCCTTTTGTGCTTGTCACTGCCGTACGGTCCAAACCTATTTCTCTGTGAGTGTATGGTGATCTGTGTGTGTGTGTGTGTGTTTATCAGTGGTGCCCTGGTACTCAATCTGAATCTGATATTTTCATAGTTCTTGTTTTTCGTGCACAGTCTTGGTGATCACTTTAGATGTTACTTCAGTAGTATCCAGGTAACGATGACCCTGTTTCAGGAGAGCTTCTACAGGCACTAGATTTCAGTTTTGAAGAATAAGGTTGACTCCCCCATTCTGATTAAATACCCAGAATTGTGTCTTTTTTTTTTGTTTGTTTATAAGTATTTTTACTGAGAATTGTTCACTCTTTGTATGCAAATCAAGTCAGACGTCTGATGTTACTGTGAGGATCCTTATAAAGGGGTCAGGATTTTTTAAATGCCAAATCAAGGATGTTGAGTAAAAACAAGAGATTAATCTCAGATTTACAGAAGACGGTGGGAATTTTAAGGACAGATTTTAAAAGTGCAGTGTGTAAAAAGCAGACTTGGGGAAAAAAACAGTAATATATAGAGTGATATTCTGAGGTTTGTTTAAAGTTATTACATTTTGGTTTGCTGCTATGTAGCTTAAAGTTTAAAGACAAACTTTTCTGTCCATATTTTTTATATTCAGTACAAGTTTTTCGAGTTCTGATTTAAATTCCTTTTTTATTAATCGCTTTTATTCCCCATTATTTTTTTTTCTTCAAATGAAACCTTTGAACGATGTTCTTAACTTAAGCTAAATTCCAGAATGTTGTTAATATGCCAGTGTCACTCTCTTTGTCTGAACGATTCTTTATTTTCTGTAATGATCGAACACAAATACTTCTGTGTATGTGTACATTTCAACCACCAGATAAACAACATATAGACTGGTCTTGTTTGTCTGCAGTTCAGGTCAGCTGGACACTCATATGCAGACACACACACATACAAACACACACACAAACACACACATTCCAGACTTTTCTACTTTATCTTATCCTTTGTGTAACACTAGAAACCAGAACCTGCTCATATACGCATCTAAAGGTCCTCAAACCAGACTGAGGGCTCAGTCAACTGTGTCTATTTCTCACTTTTATACTTATTCATGTGGGTTTGTCTATAGTGTACAAGTCACTGGAGAGATGTTTGAGTTGAAACATGAGCCTTCCATGAAGAAGAAACTCCTATAAATGAAGTGGGAGGTTAGTGTGCCCCGCTGTGTTTTATAGTGTAAATTGGTAGTTTTCTTATTTTGTACATTTTTAACATTCCTTTAGATCTTCTTGTGTATTTTATTAAACCATGTTCCACTCCATGCTGGGGTTTTGGTACGTGTTGAATTGTTTTAGTTGCGTCATCATGGTTGTAATACAGTTTTTATTTTGACCACAGGTTGGCACTGTTTCATTTGCTGAAGGTCTGTACAGCATTATTTGGTGAAGTTGATACAGGATATGCATAACATCATATTTCTGCTGTCTGTTGTCACACTGTTCTGCTTTTAGACCTATTAAGAGCTATTAAACATGGGCTTCTTTCGGAAATGACAAAGACCCATTGGACTCTAGATGGGTGGATATGGGCTGGGTGTGAATAGACTTTGTCGATTTGTTGTGTCGAACTCTGTTCCAATTTGAAATCTGTCTCCATTCACTCTTTTCTTTGTGTTTGGAGGTTTTGGGCTTAATCTAGGTTAACAAAATCGATTATGGCAATAACTGATTGGGTTTTGATTGAAATGGGGGAAACAGACTTTGACACAACCCCGTAGCCTATAATTTCAGTACATGACAGAAGATGTATATTTTTCTAAAGAAAGGAACTGTCTGTATCACATGACACTAAATGAAAACTAGATTGACCCAGTGAGGTGACAAATTGGATTAAATAATACACGGTTTATTCATTACATCTGAAATAAAAAATATTCACACCCAGCCCTCGTGGCCGGCTGCCAAACAAGATGGAGATTCAAGGCTGAACGCTCAGAGCTGACAAGAGTAAAAAATATAACTGAGCATTTTTGAGGATATTTTGTGTGTTAATATCATTGTACATAGTGATTTCAGATGTAACTGTAGTGATTTAACCTGTTCAATAAGAGACACAGAGGCTGATGGAATAAAGTATTCTCAAAGTTTGTGCATGTGTTTGTTTCTCGACTCAGCAGTTTCAGATGAAGTGAAATGCACTTTTCTTGGCCCACCCCGAAGTAACTATCAGTGTGGTTCATGTACCCAGTACCCAACTCTTGATAAAAATGCACTACATACAGCCACCAACAACTGGCAAAACAATAGAAATGAAAGGAACAAGCTCCTGCTCAACCAAAAATGTGATTTATCCCATTAAATGTCCTTGTGGTTTCGCGTATGTGGGTAAAACTTGAGAGGTTTAAAAACGAGAATCATGCAGCACAGGAATTGCAACAGGACTCTGAACCGACATAGCCTGGTGTTGTTTTTTTAGTATTATAGCAGATATTTATGTTTTTGGTTAAATAGATTCTAATGAAGTAAACCTTGTGTACACCATTTTCTGCAGATATTCAAGTTTTGAAATCTTTTTTTGTTGTTTGAGCTGAGCGTCATCACAGCAACTCTTGGCGACTCTCCCCCTGAATGCGTACAATGCTACTGTGGAAGTAATTGAGTACGTACAACACTACTGTTTTTATCCTTTTATCATTTTTACGACCCCCAGTGTTTCCTCTAAGGGAGCCCTCGGCACCGGGAGTGGTGGTTGCTTGTGGTTGCAGGGGCCGGCCACGGGGTTCCTGGTGGAGGTTGGTGTCGTCCACATCCCTCCACAGGCGCTGTGTTGGTGTCCTGTGGCTGTGGGCGGCTTCTCTGATGGCACCTTCTCAACATTGTTTTTATATGTGTATGTGCAGGTGCATTGGTGCACGCGTGTGTGTCTGTGTGTGTGTCTGTGTGTGTGTGTGTAGGTGAGGATTAAGGGGGCATCTGAGATAGTTTTTTTTGTTTTTGTTTTTAACTTGTAAAGCACTTTGAGTCACATTCCTGTAGGAAAAGCGCTTTATAAATAAAGTTTGATTGATTGATTGAACAAATATATCATAGTGAAACGCTGACTCAAATCTTGATGTATTTTTTTTTTATTTCTATAACCTTCGATAAAAGATTAGTGCAGACACACAAGAAATAAAAATACCAACATTATTGTGTGGGTACATATCACTTTAGGTCACCTCTGCATAATGGTTGGACACCCCATTGAAAAGCTGTGGACACGTCCCTGTACACATCAGCAGAAATTCAGTAACGCCACATTCAACCATAGCAGGCAGCCTCCCGAGCCCAGAACCACACAGGTCCAAAATGGAGTAAGGCTGAACACAGGGTTCCGGGCTCCCACTCAATGTAATTACACATTCAATCGCAGATTCCTTCGTCCGTGGAAAAACAAGTCCTGTAGCACCCACAGAGAGATCTTCGTCTTTCTTTCCCCTGCTGTGAAGTGAGCTGCGCAAAAACAGGTAACCAGTCCGAATCGGGCTAGCTTAGCATTAGCATCAGCGGCGGCTAATGCTAATGCTACTGTTAGCAACCCCTGTTAACTAATACAGCTATAATCATGCAATCCACTAAAGCATTTAAGTCCAGTATCATCATGTAATCTTCTGTAATTGCTGAAAGATTAGTAATGTATTAACTAGCATGCATGTTGCTGATGTTAGCTCCTCTGTTGTCGGTGCTGGTTTGAATGGAGTTCATTGGAGCCGTCTTAGAAGGAGGGAGCTAGCATGTCACCGCTAACTCAGTCCGGACTTATTAGACTTTATGGCTCTGTGGAAAAACAGTGGAGCTGTTCTGGATTTTCTTTCTGATTCCCACTTACATATGTAAAAAATATAATGCATGAGTTACATTTTAAATATGGCTTTGATTGGTAATGTAAGGGCACGTTTACGATGATATTTGCTAGCTTAAAGCACACGGACTGGTAACATGCAGACTGAATTTCTGTGCAAACATGAGGAGAACATGCATTAAAAAGACGATTGTCGCTTTCTGAGTAGGGGAGAGTGGGATAAGATGAGCCATTTTTTCATATTTCGGATCACATCAAGACAATCATAGCTTTGTCTCAAACTAGTGTATCTGCATATATTTCAAGATGTGCATCCCTGCAAACCAACAGAATGAGTGTAAGCATAACTGTCTTGATAATATAGCATGCCAAAAAAGTAGTCTCCTATGGTCAACTTACCCCGTGTATGAGGTAAGTTGATCAATTTCTTTTACCATTTCCAAGCAACAGGGGGTGGCTCAACTTAACCTTTGGCTCAACTTACCCCACTCTCCCCTAAGTTTGTCTTCATACAGTAGTAGCAAGCTTGTCACCAATAAGTCTATACTTGTGTTCAGGGTAACCTGTTCAGGAAGTACTTACAGACAGTTTTCGGTCACATTTGCAGGTTTATTCTGGTGGTAACAGCAGAGCCGTTTTTTTTTCTTTCTGGTACTGTTCTTGTTTTGCAGAAAAGCATGGAGCCATCAGAGCAGTCAGGTCCAGACTCTGCCTCCCAGGAAGTGAACCCCGTGTTTCTGCAACAACTGAGAGAGCTGGACATCCCAGAGGAGGCAGCCAAACAGGTGTGAGCCAGTGGGATGTCGTCCCATCTGATTCTTTTGATTTACAGAATCCACCAATGCAGACTCCAAATACAAGTCTTGTTTTTGATTATGCAGCTGCACAAACCTTTTATGAACATTAGTAGCTTACACAAATCAAGCTTATCCCATTTCACTTGGCTTTTCCTCCATGGCCTGGTTTACATGCCACAAAAACAATATGCATGGAATACAACATGCTAAGATTCAAAGTAGAGGAATCAATTCAGTGTACAGTTAGGCTCAGTAATGACATGGGTCAAATGTCAAAGCTTTAAACCTGTGTTGCCAAAGAGTGAAAAACAAAGACCTCTCTGGAAGAGACACATCAATCTGATCAAATTTTCTCTGGTAATTGAGCTCGTGTAGCTTTAAATCTGGACTGGATATTACCATAATTTTTTTGTAGTTATCAAGCAAAGTATCTTTATTGTTTCCTGCCTATGACACTTTTTTCGCTTCAAACAACATGTAGTCTTGGCAAAAACTGAAACAGTACACCGTTAAACCAAGGAAATGGGTTATTTCCCTTTTTATTTCCCCTTCAACAGGGAACCAGTGTAATAGGGATCTCCAGTTGTGTTTTTATTGTTTTTTGTAATTGGTTGTGTTTGTTGAATGTGTTGTGTGTTTGCACTAGCATATGGCCCAGATGTCATTTAAAAATCTTTAACATGTAACTTGTTTTATTTACTTCAAAGCGCCTAACAGTCTACAATATCTAGGGGTAGATGCAGATGGTAAAAACACATGTGAACATGTGCGTTTTCAGATATGACTTGCTCCCCTTTCACAAAAATAAGTCGTATCATTGGAGGCATTTGAGAAAAGAAATGACTTGCTGGGTTTTTTGTTATAATTTATTGTTATCCAGTCCATGTTTGGCATCATTGTTTTCCACTATGTGACTTTGTTCTTACTCAGGGAGAGGAATCTTAGAACTAACCATCCTCGGCTGATACAGCACTACCATAGCAGAAATGGTGACACAGATAGGAATTTAATATACTTGTGAATAACATAACATAATAAGTTTTTGATACAAATGATCATTTCACCTCTACATTGATAACAGATTCTTGTTAAATGAATGGAATCTTCCTTTTATAAATAATAAACCAGTGACTCAAATTCACTCCTGCCACCTTATTAAAATAATCGCCAACAATTTGAAAAGTATCTCTCAGCTGTAGACTGTAGACATGAATCCTATCAGTAGAATTTCCCTGTGCCCTCATAAAGGACTAATTACACAGAGCTGAATGTCCCACAGCTGAAACTAAGAAGACTGACTGACACTGTGAGGAATACATGAATAAATTGGTTCCATACTTATTCTTTTAGAGTCAGCTGTAAAAGCGTGTACTTTGAATGGATAAATGTGTTGATCTGTCAGCTAAAGTTAAGACAGGTGTTAACATTTGACTTTTATTTTTGATGACGTCTGATTTCTCTTTGTTCCTCACCTCTTCAGGCACTTCTGCACACTCGGAATGTGTCTGCTGAAGAGGCGGCCATGTACTACTACAACAAGCTGGAGAATGAGGTGCCAATAAGCTAGCCTTAGTCCCCACAGGTACACCATGGTACATTAGACCTTGTGGAGTTTGTCCAAAGCCAAATCTCAGTATCTCTCTGTGTGTGCTCTGACCCTCAGGAAGAGGGAGATGATGACCTCATTTTTAAGATGGTGTTTGTGGTGAACATGGACCTTGCCATGGGTGTTGGAAAGGCAAGTTAATTTGTGTCCATGTGGACTGAAACATGCTGTTTTTCTGATTCATCAGCTATCACAAATAGAGCATTTTCCTATAATTAACAATGTCTTAGTCATGGTGTGCTGTTCCTCTGACAACGTTTTGATCTGGTTTACTTTTTAAGCCTTTCAAGCTATTTTTGACAATTGTTCTCTTTGCTTTCACTGAAAGATGCTCTGTGTTTTTCTCCACAAAGTCTGAATCTGATCAGCATTTGCTTTTAATTTATCAGAAATTTAAAAACAATAAAGCAACAACAAAAAAAGTTAGATGTTCACAAAAAAGTCTTATGGCAACTGGGATTCTAAATGATCTGTTTGAACCTTGATTTCTCCTCTGTACCAAATAACTCATAGTTACTGTGAAGGTGTTCACTCTGCTTGTGCAGGTGGCAGCCCAGGTCGGCCATGCTGCTGTGGGTTTGTACCAGGCTCTACAGGAAAAAAACAGCTGGAGGGAGATGGCCTGGAAGTGGGACCACAGTGGGTAAGGATTATGTTGTATCTAGAAAAAAAAACCTGAAAATGCAAACTTGTTTTATGTCAGCTCATGGTATAATGTTAAGATCAATTTACTGGTTTTATAAACCTTAAATTCACTCTGTAGTACTATTAGGAAAGGACTTAATGGACTTTTCAATCATTCCAAAAGTCACCTGTGTGATCTCAATCCAGCCATGCCATTTTCACCAGATATTTGGACAAATTCCCTCTCAGTTACCTGCTATATTTCACTTCATAACTGGTCTGATTTGATTTGCATGCTGTATATTTCTCCTTTTATGTATTTTTTAAACTGTACTTTATCTTTTTTAAACTCCAAGTTAAAAATCACCTTAAATGTGTGGATAGAAACTGAGATCCAAATTCAGGATGACGGTCCCATAACAAAAGTGAACAAGCTTAAATCCATGAAAAAGGGCAGTTTAAGACTCTTGAGCGTGCTTCACAGGTATAACTTCAAGACTAGAGAATGTCATTTTTGGATGCATACCCTACATTTGCATTCACAGCATGTCTTACAGGCAATGTGTCTTTTGCGAACGGTAATCTGGTGTGAATAGGGCTACAGTGACCATTTGTTTAATAGCTACAGCAAAGCATTAGAGCTACAAGGAATGACCTCTGAAAACAATTAACAGTAATACTCTGAGAAGACTTGAACAGTGCCAACGCATAAACTTCTGCCCTTGTGCAAAGTTCTGCAGCTCAGACATCTTTTACTTTGAGTCAGAACAGTTAAAACATCTTAAAAATACAACTTGGAACATCAGTGTCTTGTTATCTACGTCACTGCACTGCTTTCAGAGGGAGCAAACAAAAATGAAACATGTTGCCCCATCAGCACTCCAACTGCTTTAATGTATTCTCATTTTCATTCAGACTGTTTTTTTAAACACTTTTCACCCTTACTCCCTTGAATTAAGGAAGTGTAATCCTTAATCTGGGTCAGGACAGCTGTGCTACTTTGGCGTTTTTTTTTTAAATGTCATTTCTTTTCCATATATGCCTGTTTTCTGTGACTACTACAAGATTTCTACACTTGCTTATTTCATTATTCACTTAAAGTCCCTCTCCGATCTTTTTTTTTAATACTTACAGTATTATCATGATATCATGATTATGATTAAGAAAACATGCATGATGTTTATACAGGGCTAAGAAGGTGGTGGTCCAGGGCACCAATGTGGCACATCTACTGGAACTGCAGGCCCTGGCCATGAGCCTCAGCCTGCCCACTTACCTTGTCCAGGATGCAGGACTTACCCAGGTGAGGAGAAACTGGCGCTTTCAACTCTTTCATTAGACATAAATGGTTTTTGGTCTTAACAGAAGTCAACAAATTGCAACAAATCAGCAGGATCACAATCTACCTAATCTTTTTCAGGTAGAGTCAGGGTCCCGTACAGTCCTGGCCATAATGGGTGAGGAAGACATGGTGAACAACGTCACTGGGAGCCTGAAGCTGCTCTGAGAGGCTCAAATCCATGATGGAGAACGCATAACCCTGCAGTGTCACTATGCAACCAGCAGAGGGCAGCATTCTCCAGTGTCACAGAGAGTCCTGGCATGCAAGAGTGTTACAACCTTAAAAAAAAAAAAAAAGGTTGTAAAGGGAATGTCCCAATACCAGAAAACAAACACTCTCAGCCATTTGTTTCCCTTTCATTCTTTGTCTGAGCCGCTTAGTCTGCGGTTAAGAGCAGGAGGGGAGAGACACCAGTTCTTCACAGGGGAACAAGATAAGGGCAGTCTCTTTCTGGTGACCTTTTTCTTTTATATCCAGGTCACCTTCTTAGCAGTCTTAATAGAATCTTAATCTGTTTTCAAACCCATGTTGTCTTTACCCTCAGTTATGGCAAGTCAAGTTCAGTATTTTTGTTGAATGACCAATGTTGTAATGATTCTTATTCAATGGGCAGTGTACTGAAGCCCAATACATATTGTTATGACAATTATACCCATAGCACATTTAGAGTTTTCCTATTCCATCCACTACTCTTAAGTGAAGAGTGACTCATCAACTGATATGTGAACACTCATTTCTGATGTTTGTGTGTGGTGTGTACAACCCTTCCCAAAGATCACTGTCCTATAGGCTTAATAACATTACTTAACAATAAATGGCTTTATTTTGAATACATACTCTTCTTAGGGCCATATACTGTATAATCTGTGGTGTGCCATCTTACACAATATGCACAATTACTCAGCTTCATTGGATTTTTTTTTTTTCTTTATGTGAAAGGGTGAAAAATTCCTGAGGAAGTATTGTTCAGTTTGATGTTGAGCAGGCCAAAGTGTCATGTAGTTTATGTCTTTCCTGACCTAATGGACTCTGCTGCTTGATTTGGAAAGTTTACAAAATTGAATCAACTTTCTCTTGACAGAACGCAGCTTGCGTCACTTACAGATGTTACAACCTTGCTGAACTAATCTTAATACACAAAGAATGATGTGTGAGCTATTGTGTATTTATGTTTCCAATGAGACTATTTGTGGGCATGAGCTGCCACTACCTAAATTGTCAGTTAACTTAAAATCAAAGGTTTGTGACAAAAGTGCATGCATTATGAAATGTATATTTGAACTAAACAATGAAATCCCAGTCAGCTTTTCGTCACATTCACACTTTGATACCTCCTATGTTATATAAAAAAAAAATGTTTGAGCGCTTCAGACTGTGGAGATAAATTAAATGCCTCTAGATTAAAAAAAGAAGTCTGGTTGTGTTTTTTGTCCTTCAGACTTGAACATTCAGACGATGCATACAATAGGAGGTACGCAGGAGGGAGCTGTTCTAATGAAAGCAGTGTGGGGGAGGGTTGTACAGCCATGTTGCAGTGCGTTGCCGTTTGGACTGGCCATATGACATTGCTGTTTCACTGCTGTAACAATAGCACTATTGTTAGATATGGTCAGTGCCTAACATGGCTGCCTGGCTGCTAAGATTGTGAGCTGCCCTTCAATCATTTACCTCATGACGTCTCAAAAGACTTTGTCAACAAGAGTCAGAGTGTACATTATCACCCAGTAAAATCGTGATTTTCCTTCCATGTTTCCGTGCATAAACATTAAAATCTTCCTACAGCCTCCACCTCGTGCTGCTTCATGTTTTCTGGAGTTTCACCCAGCTGAATTGTGTGGGACCTACACCCACAATAAAAGCAGACTTTATTATTCTGCTGTCTAATTTCATCGTCTTCAGACCTCTGCAACAAATGACGTTGGCATTCATCACCACAGCCAATCAAAGTCGACCCCCTCCCCAAGTGTCATGACATGACAAGAAACCAATCCCGTCATCGTGACTTGAATCGGAATCTTTCTTGGCAGTAAGATTTGTACACACGAAGAGAGTATTTTGGTTTATTGGGTGTATGAAAATAGAGATAGCCTGGTGTACACGTGACTTATCCAAGTGGGTGCCGACAGATATGAATACGTGCATTTAAGAGACACAGCTTGTGTTGGATTTACAATGTAAACCATGTAAATTTGAGCACCGCAGAATAATGACAAATGTATATGTACCTGAATATGTGCTAAAAAGGTAACCTTCTTCGAAACTTGGTGTATAAAATCTCAGGTGTGTGTGTGGCAGACATTGTTATAATAAAAGAAAGTTGCATACCAAGAAAGCCAAATTAACTCTGGCTTTGCCTATTCCTGTATTCATAAACTCAAATACTACACTTGCGGAGATGTAACGTTAGACAGACGTTACTGACTACACCAAACCCTTGCTGACAGATATAATCGTTGTGCATAGTATTACTTTTACCCTGGCAAATGCGGGATTAGAGAAATTATCAGCTCCAGAACAAAAGTAGGAGGGACCGGTAATAAGGAGGTGCAACCCAGGAGCACTGATCAATTTCCCTGTCCAACCCCTTACCAGATGCTACCAGAGCGACACCTCATACTCCATTCATCTGACATTCCGGTAGGTGGGGCTGACCCAGTGGGCCAACACTGCCTCTGGTGACCCTGGAAGTGGGCCCCAGAGGCCCCGTGAAGCTAACGATTGCTACCGTGTATTAGCGTTAGAGCTCCTTCCATGGTAAACTGAAGAGTACAACCCTCAAATAAAAAGCATTTAAATCCCGCTAACGAATTGAAAACAAATTCCACGGCATTTCAATTTAATAACGAGCATTTCCACAAACTCTGAAGATACAAATCCTCTGTTCGTTGGCAAACTATGTCCCGAAGCCAGCCATTCACGGCAGTTCTCCTTCGTGTACGCCACCAGTATAGCCGTTACATACTGCCTCGGACTTCTTTCGCACCCCTCCCAGTGGAAGCGCCCGCCCCTTTTACGTAGACGACGGAAAAAAATGGATCCTGTAATTCACCAAAGACCAACGTTTGTCACATGATTGACGGGCTCCTGGCGAATCGCTGACGAGAGGCGGGACGCCGTGGCAAGGGCCGCCCAAGGAGAGTGCCCCTGCACGGTCGCCAGGGAAACCCCGTTGCGTGGTTGTGTGTCAGTTTCGCTGGGACCCGCGGTCGATGCCGGCGAGGAGGGGGATGGGCGCCTCGGCGAATGTAAGGACCCGAGACAGAATCAGAGCCCTGTATCACATACAGCAGCATATACCCCATTATAAATAGCGACTGTAAATATATAAAACACTAAAATAAATGGATTTTTTCACCGGGTACTCATCATAGGCATTTAACGGATGCAGCACACCTGAAAATGACGGGAATTTAACTTTCCGTCTTTGCGTGGGAGATACTGAGAAGTTTGTTTTCTACCCCTGGAGAGGGAGCTACTTTTAAGGGCAAGAATACAAGAGACTCCGAGGCCGGACTTCGGGCCTACTGGTCAGGTTGGATTTGATGTTGGGATACTCTAAGGACTTCCTACTGTACATGAACTTGCCTCGCTTCGACAAGTGTAGAATGCCTCTTTAGGTGAGTACTTTTAATCCATGTTGATATTTTATTTGACTAACTACCAAGTGAGGCTGTAACATAAATACAACAGTCACGCACTTCACCATGTTTTCATCTACCAAACATAGCTGTTAAGCTAGCCAACTTTGCAAGCTAATAGTTAAGCGTTCTTTTTTAAGTTCTTTTTAGAAGGAGTTGGCTAGTTTCACTATCTTTCCACTTTCAAGTATAGCTTGCTTGATTTGCTGTACAGCTCCCATGTTGATGGTGTGCTATGCAGGGCTTCTCTTTGCCTGTGAGTGGACCTATCTTCCCTAGTTTTTTCATCAGCTCCTCGTGTTGTTTTCATCCCCTTTCTTGGTTGGAATTACACCCATACTTGCTTAAATGTCACAGATTTTATAACATTGCCCTAAGCAGTCATATGACTCGAGTAATTAAAAGCATTTTGCAAGTTTTTCGGAGTTTTTGTCCGTCAATGGTGCCCTCTCAGCTTTCATATCAGGGATGAAACGGCTACAGTGGGTTACCCTTAATCGTCTGCTTAAAAAAACAACATGAGCTACAAATAGGTGCCATTTGTCAAAATTGCAAGTAAATAAGACGTGTTTTTGAGAAAGTTTTGATCAAGTGCTTTCACAAGGGCTGAAACCACCCCCATGTTACATAGCCAAACCGGTATATGTAACACATTCTGGGAACTTTGGTTAGCCGTTAAGCTGTTTTGAGATTATATTGGGCCAAAGTTGACCAGCACAGCGTTTGCTTGGTAGACAAGTTAAGATTCAAACCGCTAAAGGTAGCACAAATATGCGTTGTTGTTTTTTTCAACAGCTAAAACAATTCGTTGCATATTTTATTATGTATTGGTGTGTTGAATGTCAGTCAGACCTCGTAAAACTGTCGAATTTTTTAAGATTACTGACCGCACAACCAGCAATTTGAGCAGTTATGACGACTCACGTTAGCTAAGCAACCAGCTGCTGTGTTGGTTAGCGCACGAGCCATAGGCAACAATTGCTATACTAGCCGTGTAGCTAACTTTTGGGCTTTTTCCAGTTGATTGTGTTCTTTTAAACTACAACTTCACAGCATGCACACAAAAGGATCCTTACTTGGTACGTTAGCTGAGACCATTATTATGAACCCCCTCATTCGCTATCTAGTTATGGATTTCCCTGTGTAAACGTCTATTTTTATAGGGGAAAAAACATGGTGTCTGCATCATGGTGGTGTTTAGGGCAACGTTACATTGCATTCGTCTTTGGCAGCAGTCCTGACCTTACTCAACCGTGTGAATCAAGCTGGAAGTTCGGTTATGTTTTCTCTGTTTGTATATGAAATGTCTCTCTAGTAATCACTGAACTAGCAGATTTGCTGGGCAGCGACTCGCTTGTTCTTCACCTCCCCCAACTCCGAGCCTCGGTGGCGGTTAAGAGAAATGGGTGGTATTTTAGAGAGGAGCTCTTGTTTCCTTTTTTAATAGACTCCTTTTTTATTACAACGTGTGAGCAACTGTGTTATATATATGAACAGGACGGTAACAACTACAGGTTCTACGCAAGTTGAAGCATTACGGAATATAGTTGAGTAATGAAATCATGTATCAATTACTTAACTTCCACGGACACCCTATTTGGGCTGGTTTGAGGGTCAAAACTCGGTGTAACAGTTCGATATGCCGTGTCATTTTAGTATAGTTGTTATGATCTGAGGTGAGAAACAGTATGAACCGACGCAGGCGAGGACTGAAGTTAACATGAGGTGTGAGAAAATGCTGAGTGATTTTAAAGCATGTTCTCTCCGGTGTCGTGTGCGTTTTTGTAGTGTTTCTAATTAGTAAGGACCCGCGCTTCCCCAGCAGAAATGGCTGCCCCTTCCGTCGCCTGAGTAGCTATGCAACAGCCAGCTGCACCACGTAGCCTCGCATTGTGCCGCACTCCCAATTGTGGACCTGAACAGAGATAGTGGGGGGTGTTATTTTGCTTCTTAAGCCGTGTTTAGGTCAGTGAATATACCACCGGGTATATGACTGCAGCTCTGTAGTGATGTGTGTGACGTGTCACAAACCAAACAGGTTGTACTTAATGCTTTTGTAAAATCACACCTTCTCTATCAGTTATGCTCTAATTGAATTCTTGAATGCTCATACTGATAATATCAGTACTTAAGTGATTTTAATGCAGAATATTTTTGTGTTTCATTGTGCTCTAAAAGTGCAACTTAGAAATCACAATTCCCACTCAAAAATCAATTGGAAAAATTGTGCATGTGGCTTCAAGTACAGTGTGTTTTTTTTTCCTGAGCTTGTCGACCTTGTTCACGAGGAGTACAAAGATTACACTCCTGCCCTGCTAGGAGTGTTCAGCCAGCCAGCACCAAGTATTTGGATTGATCTTGATGTCTGTTGCAAGCCAGATTGCAATGTGCCAAGCCTTGTTTTCATTGGTTGCGACTGGCATTCTCTGAATATACTTCACATCTTTTAATAGACTGTGTGGGCTGCTGCAGGCTGCAAACCTGGCCACTCAGAACCATAGGAAACATGAGCCCCACCAGCACTCCCCATGACCCTGGCCTGCCTTCTTTTACTCACCCTGCCTCCCTGGGAAAGCTAAGAACATAGTGCATTATAGTCAGTCTACTCTGCCCTTCTTTGTCCATCATTTTGATTTTCTAGGCCTCAAAATCTGCTTCACTGTGATTTTCAGTAAAGTAGCGGTACTCAGGGTGTTGTGTTACAACTGTTTTTGAAAAAGCAGTCCTGTACTTCTGTCTGTGGATCTGTCTGCAGGATGTGGACCCTTCTTTCCCAATATGGGCCTCTGACACATTTGAGATCTGAGGAATGTGCAGACATTGAAGGTGAAGCCTGGCCCAGTTTTCTGTGTACTACTAGGGAAATAAAGTCTGACTCAGTGGTTACAAACCAAGAAATGTAATTGTTTGGCCGTGGAGAACATGATTACAAAACTTGAGCGCTGTGGTCTGATGAGAATGGATCACTATTCAGAAAATAAACCCTGGTGTGTGTGTGTGTGTGTGTGTGTGTGTGTGTGCGCGTGTGTGCTTGGACATTAGGGAGTGAAGCAGAATGTTGGCATATTTCCAAAAGAAGAGGACAGGATTCTGTGTCGCTGCAGACAGTTGGAGAAGCGAGGGAGCTGGGGGTGTACATGTGTGAGGAGTAGGAAGAAAGGGGGAAAACCCTGTCCTTTTAGCGTACCATTTGCATGCTGATGGCACTCTGTATCATTATATGGAGGGCAGGTGTAGCTTTTGATATGTTAACAAGGTTACTTGTGTGTGTTGTGCTTGTGTTTATGGCTATGTAGTCACACTAATGTGTGCCCTTAATATTTATCTATAAAATTCCATGAAGTAAGATAGAGCTGAGTGTTTTTTGTCCATTCTCGGGTTTTAATAGCATTTAACAAATAGTACAACTCAATGAAAGGAAGAAAAAATAGTTTGTACTTCAGTAAATTTCATCTTTTTAAATCCACACTTAAACAAGGATATCATGCCCGGGGTGTTAATTTCAACTGTTGACTGAGGATACCTTCCATCATTTCTATTTCGTTGCAGTTCCATATCTTCCTGTCTCTGTAGCTTTCCTCATGCAGCTGCTCTGAGTTGTGTGGCTCGCAGTCTTGCACAACGGGGTTAAAAACAAAATCGCCATGACGCCTGCCTCAGAGGTGCTTTCCTATTGGTGCAAGAACTCTGGAGCTGCTCCAATCAGGCGCAGTGTTTTCTCTGCACTGGGGGAGAAGTGTTGCAGAGGGCCGTGCTGGTTAATTCTGTTTTGTGCCGAGAAGCAATGCTTCTTGGGAGAATAATGGAAGAGGAGGAGGAGGAGGTAGCGGGGGAGGGGTGGGGGGCTGGCTATCTACGTAATCTCTCTTACCCCCCCTCCCGGACTTGTTTTATGTTGTGTCCTTCATTTCCTCTTCTTTCTCACACTGTTCAGCTGCCTGTCCTGCTTTCTTGGCTGAGTGTCATCCTTGGCTGAGTGTCAAGCAGGGAGAAAAAGCTCACCAATATTCCGAGTTACTGCCTCTCCACCTTTTGAACTGCAGGCAGCCATTTTAGGCTTCACCGGATTGACTCCCTCCCTGTTTTCCATTTCCCTATTCCTAACTGCCTCTTTCTTTTCACGTGACTTACTGAAATAATGTCAAACTAAATAATGGGCAATTAAAATACCCAAAGCTCTGTGTGAATGAGGTGAAACCAAGATAGCAGAATCCACATACACCTTTCAGAGCGTGTTTGCTCAGAGGGTGTTGTCGGGCAGGCAACGAGAGAGCAAATAAGGAGCAGTGAAGGAGAAAAACAACCAAGAAACTGCTCTTGCACCAAAGTCAATCCAGTCACTCACCAACCTGCTCACAGCTGCCCAGTTTAATAACCCTCAGCAGCACTCCTGCGAGGGACAAAGGGTTAAAAAGGAGAGCGAACCTCAGGGGTTTTCTCGTTGATAAGCACCTCGCTTCATCACTTTGAGTGAATGGTTTCTTTTGGGATGAGCAAAGTGGGAATTTTTCCATGTTGCAAACGGGCCTTATCTTATTCACATGCTTTTAAACAGATTTGGTTTTAAAATAGAGCAGCACTCCTGAACCTTTTGAACTGTGAACTATTCCACCCTACAGCCTCATTGTTGTTCTCTTCACTCACACTCAGACACACACACCAGCACATACATCAACTTTACCCGTAATTTTGGGGCCTTTCCCCAAGATCTGTTGTTGTGTGTTCGTGTGAGATCATTTCTGAACTCTGACACAGTAAGAGAAAGAAAGTGGAGGCTTCCGCAGATCAAAATGGCCACCAGTCCTGTTTGTCTAGGAAGAATGCCTCGTGATCCTGCATTGGTTAGTCTCCCATATGTGTTATGTTGTAAATAATGTCATGGGGTGGAGCCCGGGCAAACCCTTGTGCAGCTCTAGATAAGTCTCCCAGCTAAAAGAGGAAATGGAAATGTCATGTAAATGTGTTTGTCGTTTACTGTGAACCAGTGTTGAGGGATGGAGCCTCTCTCTGGTTTATGTTCAGAGCTTATCTAACAACAAGATGGCTGATTTGGGTGCCATGCCTTTGCTTGACTTAAAAACATTCCTTCCCACATTTGGTAATAGACACGTCTCACCGGGGCTGCTGCTGTTGTGGAGGTCGTGTCTGTAGTGGGAAATTCCTATCTCGATTAGATGCACAGACGAGGATATTTCACGTCAGCTTTTGATTTCAGTGTTGCTGTATTGAAATGCTCCTTAAGTCTTGCAGCTTTCTTGTTTTTATTTTTTAAATTCTATAAGCATTAATTTATTCCACGAAGAAGCTTGCTTTTAATTTGGTTTGAGGGGGAAACAGAGGCAGGTCAGACGGAGGTAGTCAAGCCCAAACAGGCAGCAGTATTTTTGTCTTTTTTTTTTCCCTCCTCCACATTACTGAGTGGCGTGCTTGTTTGCCCTGAAACAGATGTTTCAGATGTTCGTGGTTTGATTTTGTGTCACTGTGACCCAGCTGTTGACATATCACCTACCATACTTAGCCATTGTTCTCCCTCGTGCGTCCCCTTATTCCTGGTTCGGTCCTGGTGAATTCAGGCTGGCTGTGTTAATAGCAAGACCCACTGCACTTCAAGTACACACGCTTGAGGCATCCTACTACAAGCATGTACAAATATATATGAAAGCATCAGCCAAATGAAGCTTTATTGTTGATATTATTGTGGTAGCCTCAATGACAAGCTGCTGCTTCCGTCGGATCCTGTTTTGCTCCAGAAAGGCTTTCAACCAGCTCGGAAGCAGCCATGTATGGTAACAGACATTCCCTTTGCAGAGCAATAGTGAAGGCTTGTGATGGAGCTGATGTATTGAGAAATGGTCTGCACTGTGGCGTCAACTATCTGTTTTAAAAAGCCTGTTTCAGAGAGAACGTAGAGGAAACCAGGTTTTGGATTGTTTTGTACTTTGAATACTGTCGAGGGCGTTGTTTTTGTGCTGTAAGGGCATATTCTTTTTGCTTAGCTCTAATATTTTCACAGTCACCTCATTCTGTTTCATAGTGGCAATGGTTAGAGAAGGAGTAAATCTACACATGAATAAGAATGGAACAGACGTCAGACATACTAGGAGGGAACGGAAAAAAAGGCCAAAATCATTGAATTCCAAATACTGTGTATGTACTGTGTGTTTCTGTCCATATTTTCATTTTTTGTATTTTCAAAAAATTGGTCGTGATGCATACAAAAGATTATTTTTACACCGTAGTTTCAGTTTAATTTATACCAGGAACCAAAATTTGGCCACTGAAAATGGCCCAAAGTGAATTTTCGATTTTCAGCCGAAAGACTTTAATCACTGAAACCACATAGCTGAAACAGGATGTGTTATGGCGCAAGCCAAAACCACAGCCAGCACATGCTTCTCTGGATAAGGGCCAACATGTCTGCACTGCAGTGTGGACGTATTTTAATATATCTGAGAACCACGGATTGCGATTAGCATAGCGTGTAAGGCTAAAATTTCAAGAGGAGGTGTATCTTCAAAGAGTTTCTTTACATCAAATTTAATTTTTCACCCGATCGCCATTTTGAATATGAGAGGAACGCCACACACGGAGCGGAAAGTGAGGGAAGTTTTATTTCTTTTCGTCTTCATTTATAACTTAAACAGAAATCAACATTGCAACGCAAACCCATGCTCATCCCGCTCTCGGTTACTTGAAGAAAAAACACAGTAACGCTACTTCGTCTTCTCGCCTTGTCTCTACCGCTCACAACACTTCTTCTCTGAGAATTTTTGAGGTTTTTTTAACCCTGACTCGCGGGCACCATCTTTAAGTGTAAACAACACAGAACATGCAGCAACACACTGACTCAGAAACCCAAAACTCACATTGCAAATGCATTGATCAATATTATTTTTTTTTTTACTTCATATTAATTTATGCAATTGCAATTCCTTGATATTAGTGAGATTAGTACACAGTCATAGCCATAAATGCAATGGCAATTCTAATTGGCATAACAACTTTTTTCAGTTTTCAGCCTAAAATTGTCTTTTCGTTGCATCCCTAATTTACACATTAGAGATTTTTTTCCCTTCACCTTTTGTCTTGGCCAAACTGTTGGTTCAGTAAAACTAAAATGACAAGACTTTGAGCATATAAAGGAAAAAAAAGACTAGTTTATTTGCTTGTGTTAAATTTGGTGGTACTCTGTAAACGGTGGCCGTTATAAACTGTGAGAGGATGTTCAAATACAAATCAGTAAGACGCTCTGACACCTGTGTTCAAAGTCCTAAACGTTCACTTTGAACATAAGGATGCATGTTTTTCATTTGTAACTCGACACTGGCTGTAAGTGTGCGGCTGAATCTTTTGTTAATTTTTTTTTGTGTTGTGTTTATACTTCTTTGTGATATTGTAAATTGTGTTTGGGTGAGTGTGAAATCAGAGCTACAATAAGCTCCACTTCCCCACTGGCCACATATCCCATTGGTCTGAAGGCCAGGCTCTATTGATTTGCCTGTTTTTCATCTTCAATTTCCTCCTGCTGTAGCTTAGAGAGTGCAGCTCGACCTGTGCAGTGCTAGGGAACAGCAGATATATTCATATCCTGCCTGTACAGCAAGCATGTGTGCGGGGGCAGAATGTGGGAGCTGGTGTAATCTCACTGGACTAGATGTGTTGTGGAGGTTTTGGCGAGGCACAGGTGGACTCTCTGCGAGTATGGACATAATGTTCAAAGCCAAGTTGTTTATGAATGTCCATCTATTTGTGTGTGTGTGTGTGTCTGTGTGTGTGTGTGTGTGTGTGTGTGTAAAAGCTGGCTATCTCTCTGCAAAGGTAAATGTGGAAAATACTAGACAGTGTGTCATCAAGGAAGATTGCCGGCAGATTGATGTTCCCCCTCCCTTCAGCCAACCTCTTATGGAGCCTGTCAGCAGTATTGCAGTGTCACAATGGTAATGGCTGGCTAACACCAAGATAAAAAAAAACTAAATGTTTTGGGGACAATTGCATCGTCCTTTTGCGTCCTTTCACAGTTACATGTTGGTTATAGTTTTCTCCTTGTATGTGTTAAACAAGGTCAAATGATCTCCTACTCTAAGGTTATGATTTCTTTGTAGTAACAACAGAAATAAAAGAACCCTATAATGGATTTTGCTGGACATTAGGAAATTAACGTGGCATCATACCATCATTATCATTAAAACTAAATCAAACAAGTGCGCATGCAGGGCTCTACACTAACTTCTCCTAACTGGTAGCACTGATGCTGCTAACTTTCTCTGTTGGGGTTGTTACAGCATGACCATGCATCCTGATGAATAGTTGTCTTCATTGACATAAAGTTTCAATTGGAAACTGTGTTGACCGGGTTACAAATTTAGACTTGCCTGCAGCAGACAGGCCGCACTGTTGACAATGGACACACAGCATAGCTTTCCCCTCCTACCGCAACCATGGGTACTGTGTTAGCCATCTTGGTAATCTGGGTTCCGTTACCTGCTGCTCGCCGGTGTTAGTTGGGTAAATCCGGTGCTGCTGCTGTGTCCATGGCCATGAGGATGCGAAGTCGACCCGTATTCATGCACGTGAAAATAGTTTCAAATTAAATGACCTCAGACCTTCTTATTTATTGACAATAGGGATGCTCCCAGCGGTTAATTTCACTGACGTTTAAACAACCATTTTGAAACTGAATATTCGAATACACGAAAATTAATTAACTCCCAGAAAATAGCCCAAATTGAGCACATGCCGATCTATATGGCTAGATATCATCTGAAATAAATATTAAGAGTACATGACAGCCATGCTTATAATATTAAAACATGTTACAGAATCTTATTTTAGCGCTGGGGAATGACATACAGTACGTGACAGATCAAAGCAATTAAGCTCCGCTCTGCTGCGCTCAAGCCAAGCAGCCTGCTGCATCATCGGCCTGCCTCACACCATAAGCACAAAATGAAGAGTCTTATCTAAATCAAAATACTCCCAAACTTTGCTCTTTTTTCTCACCGACATCGCTCTGGCTGATCGCATGTGTTGATTCACTCTGACTAAGTTAACCTGTCTGTAAAACCCTTTGTGTTTTAAAACCACATGAGTAGACAGAAAATATCCTGTTGCGATGAATTTCAGCTTTGGCTACTGTGGAAATGGCTGTTGGTTAGCTTTACAGTCAGTAATGCACTGCTTCCTTTCAACTATACCACTGTTACTAAGTCTTTAGCTAGTGATTCAAATATCCAGAAGGAAACAAAGGGGTCCCTGAACGACACTGCAGCACTATTTTACATTGAAGTTTTGTTCTTCTCTTGAATTTGCTTTGACACTTTCAGAATAATTTCTTCACTTACTGTAAGCAGAGCTGACCTATTTATTTTTCATGTCCTTCCAGCAGTAAAATCAAACTAATTCATTTTACACTTCAAAAAAACAGTGTACATGGTAGGGACACCATGCTCTGATGCATGTTCAGATTTTTCATCACAACCAAAACCAGAAATGATTTTGACAGCAATAACCAGCTGCTGTTGATGTGACTTGGTGTTGTGAAACGGTTTTTTTTATGTCAAAGCAGGTTTGTATGTTTGTTAAATTTTGTTGTACCTTTGAGGGGTTGTGCATTTGATCTGGATTTGTTTGATACTTAAGGTAGACATGAAGAAATTTCAGACAGTCAAATTGTTCCCTTCAGGACTGTATGGTTCACATATGCCAGAGCTGTAGTTTGTTTGAAATCAAAAAAAGTAAGGGGAGAAGAGTAATGTGAGAGATGACTTGGTGGAGGGACAGGGAGCGAGAGAGGTTTTGCTGTTCATTTTGTGTGTTATGTCCCTCCCCCTTGGACTTGTCTCCAAAATGGCCTCTGTTCTAGTGGAAGTGAAAAGACTTTGTTGAGCCTGCTGGTAATTTGAGCCCGGTATTCATGGCCAGAGGAACGAACAAGGGAAGGAGAGAGGTGGGGGAGGAGGAGGGAGTGAGGTAAAGAAAGGCTTTCCTTCTTCGTATGGAATTTACCTCCCTAGTTCACTGTCTGGCTCTTTTGGAAGAAGCCCAAATAGTGACTCCCTTTGTGAGTCAGGTAGAACCGAGCTGGCTATTTTTGTGAGGCAGCAATCATCCACAGGGATAATAAACCACCAGTGGTTTTTGAAAAGGCTTTAGTTGGGGCACCTTGGAATCCACTACATATCATCATGTCCAAATATGTTATAAAGTCTTTTTAACCCTTTGTGGCCTGTTCATGGTTTTCCTCTGGATGCAGGAAACGGTTTTCTAATAACCTACATCTACCACTCAGCCTCTGTTTCTGTTCACCTTCGTGTCCTTTCTCATCAAGGCTATTTGAGTTCTCCTGTTGTAATCAACAGCTAGCTGACATTTCTTTTGCTACATACCTACTAGTGTGTGTCTGCGTGTGTGTGTCTGAGTGTGTGTGTGTGTGTCCAGCTGGATGGGACTGACATTCTCCATTTGATAGTGAGCACAGCTGAGCTGACCTTGACATTATTGGAAGTCCCAAGCCTGGCTGTGGTTGCCTCGGTGCTGGAGTGTGAGGGCAACAGTGGCTGTAGCCAGGGGACCACTACAGAAATGTCATGAATCCTGTTGTTGCGGCTCTGAACTTGTAAAACAGCCTTTGTTTGTATGTCATTTTCTGTATTTTGTCGTTGTTGTGTAGGAGGGACTTTGCTTAAATGTACTTGATTCTCTAAACTAAAATGATGGGACTTTTTCTGTAACTGTGTCACACAGCTAAAATTGATTTTCACTAATGTGTTAAAGCCTCTCAAAATGTAAACTTTTGAGAGTCGGACAAATTACCCTTATATCACAATTTATTGCACAACTCATAATAGAAGTCACACATAAAACATTGTCTGTTTTTGGGGGGCTACCAGTGTGAAAAAGATTGGAACTGTTTTCCTGTGTCAGCAATGTGCAGATTCTATGAAGATGTGTAGCTCTTCCGAGCAGCCTCCATCTTTTTTCTACTCTATTAGCGACCATGCTAATGGTAGTTGAGTGCAGCCTGTAGTACAGATTGTCAAACCACCCGGGACCAATTCACTGATGCCAACTTCTATTGTCGCTCTTCTCAAATTTGAATTCAAGTTCGCACCCCACAAGGTCTTCTCTCTTCATGGCCTCCGAGTATGTATGACCTAATGAAGGAGAAAAGTGTTAAAAAGTGGTGTCTCCAGAACAGCCCGCCTCATCATGTAGCTATCTACTCTACATTTAAATGGGCACTTGCTTACTCAAGTACCATCCTCTGGGTTAATTTCAAAACACAATCCTACACGCCCTGCTGCATAGGATGCAGCATATGCCTGAAATGATAAAAAGCATTAAAGCAGGGGTCGGCAAGTAGGTTTGACCTCGGGCCAAAGTTTGTCAGAACTGTAACATGGAGAGCCAGAATATTTGACTGCGCCATCTTGTGTTGGGAGAAAAATTGATTTTCACGAATGTGAAACACTTGTTTGTGGGGGAGCCCTGACGAGTCGATCACCGAGTGCAGCAGAGTTTCGCAGCTCAAGGAAGAACATTTATGATTATCACTTCATGGTAATGCAATCAGACCAAGATGCCAAGGCAGAGGACCTGCCGGGCCTGCAGTGCAAAATGATTATTATGATGATTATTACTTCATGGGAGCGATCTGCTACACTCTGTGATCGACTCATCAGGGCTCACCCACAAACAAGCGGCTGCTGGAGGAGAGTGGGTGAGTTGTGTTTAGTCTCTTTGCTTAAGAAATGAGGCAAAGCTAAAAAGATGTTTGATGGCTAGTACTATGGCTGGGACCCTTTATGTACTGTTGATGATGTTAGGTGCTGTTCTGAGCATTATTTGTGGCTATAGAGTGGCTTTTTGGTTGAGATTTGCACATGGAGATGTAGATGCTGTGTATTGCTATTGTGCGACTGTATCTGTTCAATTCAATATCAATATCTGGTATCTGTTGTATTCTTAAGAGGCTTGTATATATATTAAGAAGTGAGCATTTGTCAAATTTGGTACAATAATCAAACTCTTAAATTGAAATTCAAAGGTAAAACATTGCTGCAGGAGTTTTCTCCCCCGCCTTGATTGGTGATGTGAGAAAACTGGCTGGCAGAAAAAGGGTTTTTATCTGTGAATCTTGTACAGCTGTGATTTCATCGGTTACATATTCTCCAAAGTCTTCTCCTGAGCATGTGAATGGAGCACAGTGGGTCCTGCTCGCTCCTCTCTGCCTCTGCAGCTGACTGAGTAAGCAGGAAAAAAGGGAGTGAGAGCAGAGGAGTGTGGGTCAGTGTTTCAGCAGTCACATGATAAGAGGGTTGGGCCTGATGTTGGATGACTCACCCCTTCAGGCGTCTGGAAGGAAGGCGCCTCCTGCTGGTTCCATGGGTCGGTGCATGGTAAAGTTGAACTGTGAAGCTCCCGGTTGTTTTTCTGCTCTGTGAAAAGACCCCTCCCCTCTAGGCTTGAACCCGCTGCATGGAAGAGAGAAAGGCATATCACATCATGTACATATCAAGTTATATTTTTAGACACAGATGAGAGCTCTCCAGTGTTTCTCACGTTAAAACCTCTGTGGTCAACATGAGTCAGCAAATCTTCCTGCATTATTAGGCCTGTTAGACGGATGTTTCCCCATGTTGTGTTTAATAGAGCCATTGCAACACCAGTGTTGGGCTTGCATTTTTGTTTTCTGTATCTTTTTCATTTGACTGTTATCTTTCCCCTTTTACTTGAAATCTTTTTTAATCCACACTTGACTCGTTGTCATTTTGTAATATTTACCAAAGAAGCAAATGCGTCACACCCTATTGTTGAGCACTTTTAGCTCAATTTCTAAGTGAAGGTTGCGCTGAAATACAACAAACAGGAGGTATTTTTATTTCTGGATGGATAACGTGCCTTTAACCCTGCCCATCATGAGATGTGATGCAAATACAAATGCCACTGATGACACTGGCTGCAACAGCTCAATATGTCAAGGTATGTACAGTAGCAGCTTGGCCGGTAAAGTTACAGGACTGATGTAACACCCACTAAAACACACACTTGACCGCTCAGCAAGATGTCAAAGATCCCCCAGGGAGGTAGAGACTACAGCAGAACAGATCCTTGTGTGGAAGCTTAATGTATATTTAAGATACTTGACTGCAAACTAATCGGCAACATCAATATCATGTGATATTGATATCAGGGGTGTAATGTCTCACAACACAAGACATCAAACACTGCACAGTCCGTAATCCTCGGTTATGTCTGTTTTGCGGACATTTGTCATTTTTATCATTTTTATTTTGAGCTGACACTCACAAATTTTAAAGATTGAGGCAGCAAATTTGGTGAGTTCTTATTGCCCGTAGAACTCCATCAATGCATTATAGCGCCATCCAGCCTACTTTGTCCGCTAAATGGACAATAGACTTCCATTAAAAACACGTTTTTTTTGACCGTGTATCTATGGCACCATAACAACATATTGCAAACTTTTTGTTGCAGTCACGCGATCACCAGGGCTCTAAATTTTACTTTCTGACAGTGATTCAACAGATTGTGCCAGCGTGTAACTTTATCCCCTACAGTGCCGCGCAAGTAAGTTTCCATTTATGGACTGAGAGTGTGTGAAGCGTTATTTCATCCACTCAACATCATCAGATTTAAATGAGACTTTACGTGCCACTAAATATGGAGGTCTAAGAGTGGGCTACATGTGTGAAGGAAGTTTGTATGCACCTATGTGTCTGCAGGGGTGTAAATCTGCATCCATGTTTATAGCGTAGCATGCCATAAGCGGGGTTTTTTTTACAGTTGAAAATGAAAAAAAAAAGTTTAAAATTGATTATTTACAAGTTGTTTTTAAGTGTTCATCACTTATCTGCATGTCCGTTTTGGGGACAAAGTAGACTGGATGGAGCTAACATACAGAAATTGGCACCATAAAAATGTAAATGCACCAAAGTTGGTTTTACTGCTCATTACTGACATGGCCCAGACTCTATTTAAAAAAAAATTCATCTAGGTCATTTTATATGGGAAATATGGCGATTTTGTGTTTTTTACCAATAAAAATAACACTGACATGGTGCACAATAATGAGCATAAAAAGGGTGTAACATCAAATTTTTTATTTATTATTTTTCTAATGGTCAGTGCTGAAGTTGTTTAAGAGACATGAGTCAAAAAAAAAAATAAATGATAATTTTATGAACAATTATCTGCATGTCTGTTTTGGAGACAAAGTAAGCTGGATGGAGGCTAAAACCAACAGGAACCAGAGGATGCTGTGATGTCCTAAATGTTTTGTGAGGTTGGAAGTGCAACCTGTCTTGCAGCTTATTAGCTTCCCACATATGTTGCATTTTTCCTGTTCATCGCTTCTCTTCTTCTCACAAAAGAAGTTACACCCTGGACCGCTTTCCCCGGTCCATTTTCCATCGCTAGTTCTTGCCTTTGCTAGCCGCTGCTAGCTCCTCTGTCACCTGACACGTGACATAGTGGACACGCTACTGACAGGTCCTGGCAGATATCTAAAATCTGTAAGCAGCCGCTGTGTAAATGAGTACATCCAGGAACTGACAAGCAGAACTGAAGTTATTATCTTTTATATGGGCATCTGGTACCCGCTAAATTTAATTTGGTTCCCACTTGACACCAAATTTCAGTACCCAACCCTCGTTCAACGACTCTGTGTTGGCCAGGTTTTTACCTCACTCCACATAACTAGTTTGAGACTGCCGCAGGAGCAGGAGCAACCTTTGGAATCAAACAACAAATTGAAACTAGAGGTAGACTGATATTGGTTTTTAGCGCTATTGGTGCTGATTATGTGTAGATGATGAGATTGATAATAGATGTTCTACTCTAAACTTAAATGTTTGTAAAGTTAACCAGTCAAATATACTAACCAATCAGATGGTATTGTGGGCGGAACATTGGGTGAGGCAACGTGGCGCAAGAAATCAGACCCATCGAGGTAAAGACAAAGCAGCTGAGCAAAAGTAGGACACTTGTAATAAACAGATTTTATTAGCCTCCTGTTAAAAAGAAAATAAAAACAAAAAAGGGTTCTTTATTAGTACCAAAAGGGGAAATTTGTTGTGTAGACAGGTGTACAGCTCCCAAAAAACAACAACAACAAAGCAGCAAATATGATTCAGAACTAGGACACATTAAGAACTCCATAAAACACACAAACAAAAGACGCTGAAACAACCCACTGCTGTTTGCTGCAAATGTACGCCCCCAGGCCATGGTGAATAAAGATTCTGGTCTTAATGCCAAAAATAGGCCCTGATAATTGGTTATGGCTGAAATCTAAAATCTAATCTTCTCAGAAAAACCAGGCAGGGACATAAATCAGCTGACTAACTTGGATGACAGAAAACCATGTTTGACTTTTATTGAATTATTGAATTTTTATTGAATCTTAAAGTTTGACTTTCATTTGTCTAATCTTATGTGTGGCTTTCAGGCATGTGCTGATATGAAAAATTTGATATCACGATAATGGTGGCCCAAAATATCACGATTCACGATATTAGCGCATTGCTTTTAACGTTATTAAAAATGGCAAAAAACTGCGAAATCACTTCTCTGTGCACAGCATGACACGCACAAACAATATGAGCAAGAGGCAGCTAACGCGACGTTGGGAGCATTAGCTTTTAGAGCTAAAGTTAGCAGAAACGTCACTAACGTTGTCAATTATAAGCAGTAGAGTAGACCAAACTTGTTGCAGTCTTGTTGTTTTTACCTTGATTTGGGCGAACGGTGCTGGATGGTGTTCACAGAGGTGGGCACGTAGGTTTGTAGTGTTAGACAACGGCGTTGGTTACAGTGATTGGTTACAGTAGTCTGTCTATCAAGGAAAGTACTCCCGCCCACTTTTAGGGCTCCCAATTGGCCGAAGTCCAGACTGTTGTGGGAAGGAACGGCAAGTGATTCACGCAACTGGATGGCCCAGCCAGGCTAGTGAAAGTCTAGTTCTTTAATTGTTGTTAAATTGTTAATGGAAATGATTCGTCCTGTTGGAAAGTCTGCTCTTCATGTTCATCATGTTCCTTATTTACTGCTGTTGAACGTGTCGACTTGTTTTGGTGGTGATCCTTTTCTTTCCCCGGGACATTTGCTTGTTGTCCGTCTTTTATTGTACTGAACTCTGCTGCAGATCATACAGCACTTGGACATCATCATGTGAATGCATCATCACTTCAAGTACATTCCTGGTGGTTTTCTACACTGATCTCACTGGTATTGTGCTGCCAGGCTGATTTGTATGCTTTGCTGGTTCGCCATTGTTTATTACACCTCTCCTCTTCCTGCTACTATTTAAAAATATCTGCCTGTAAAATGGTCAAGGTTTTTTCTGTCACAAACAAAGCGAGCTATAAAACGTGACACCAAATACAAATGTCTTTTTGTCACGTGTGTACAGAGAAAAGGTTTGGTTTTAATTTTCCAGGCAAAATGCTTTACCTTTTCCAAAGTGTCACCTGATAAGATAGATCAGATAATATTTAATACAATCAGTTATTTACTCTAAAAAAGAACACGTGTTTGATGGCATACGGGATAAAAGCTATCACAGACATTAATCCAAAATATTCAAAGTGCAGTTCTTGCAGGGAAGAGCATTTTCTTTTCTTTTTTCGTCACATGACATGATCTGCTGAGTCATGCAGCAGGCTGTTTGTTGCCTGTATCCTGCTTGTGTCTGTGTGGATGTCTGATGGTCTATCTGCTTTCCCTTTCTCCTCAGGTCCCCCATGACCGTCAGCCGTAAGCTACGGCTCGGCGGCACCCCACCTCTAAAGTGGTCTGCCGCTGTAGTTGGGACCCTGTGATTCCTCTCGTCACCGCCTCTCTTTCCCCTCCCCCATCCCATCCTGTCCCTCCCCTCTCCCTCCCCCCCCTCCCCCTTCTCCCCCCTCTTCCCCACTCCCTCGCGTCGCTGTGCTGGACGTCATGAGCATAGTAATCGCGCTGGGAGTCACCACACCTGAAACGTCTTACTCAGATATGGCTGCTGGATCAGAGTAAGTACCCATAACCAGGAAATAAGGTTCAAACGCTTGTTCCCTTCTTAACTTAACTTCACCCACACTTCAAAAAAAAAAGAAAAAAATCCTCAACAAGGAATATAGTTACGTCCTTAGGGAGCCAATTACATTCCAACCAGCTTGTTGATAAGTGCAGGTGAGTCAATATGACTTGAAGAAAACAAGTGTCACAGGCTGTAAGCAGACTTCCCGATAAACCTGATTATCCACCTGCAGGAAGAGAAAACAACGAGGAGTGCAGAAGTACGTCACAGCAATGGCTCGACGATTGGCCTAGTTCTCATTCATGATTGTGCATAATCACTATTTTGTAAGTAAAACAAAAGCTAAAAGGATAGTAAGTCGAAATAAGATAGAGATAAAAGAGAAAAGAGAGAAAAAGAGAGAAGTTTTTAACAGCAAACCTGCCAACTTTGGACTTTTAAAGGGGCCCTCAACAACAAAACATTTTTATGCCATGATTTTATTTTACATAAACGTCCAACTAGTAACCAACTGTGAAACTACCTTAGTAATCACAGACTAGGCATGTGCCGATATGAAAAATTTGATATCACGATATTGGTGGCCCAAAATATCATGATTCACGATATTAGCGCATTGCTTTTAACGTTATTAAAAATGGCAAAAAACTGCAAAATCACTTCTGTGCCAACCGCCAACCTTCCAGTTGTTGAACGGCCCTCCTAAACTACTGCCACCCCACTCATTATTCTTGAATTTACTTCTTGTTTGAGTGTTTACTGAGCAGACCGTAATAAAACATCAACTAGGCATGTGCTGATATGAAAAATTTGATATCACGATATTGGTGGCCCAAAATGGCACAACCTTCAAGCCTTGCTTTTGAACGTTATTAGAGAGGAAAAACAAAAGACATGAGTGTAAGTAAAACCATTAGAGTAGGCACCGTCTGACCAATGAGACTGTCGAGTTTTTGTTTGTTCTAGTGAGTTTACGTCTGGTTTCTCATTTGTAGATAATACAGAGGAATTGTTCAACAATGTTAATGTTATTATCTGACTGTTCTGTGGACTTTGATCCAGTGACGTTTCCTCATTCCTCAGATTTACGATATCAGGTTGGTGGAGGAAAAATGTTGAAATCATTAGCCAAAAGCAATCAATGGCTAACCTGCACGTACACAGGGTCATTATTTCCTTTCCCTCAGTCATTGGTTTTTGAGGAGGACCATGACGTAACTTATCATTGATCTCTGCATAGGACTGATAGAGAAACCATATTATAACCTCCTCCTCTTTTCAGCCAATCCATATGATTCTTTCATGAACTTACCATGGTGCTGAAGAGTATCAGGGATCAGAGATAAAACTTCAAGGCAAAAAAAAGAAAGTCAGTTTCAAGACAAATATTGTAAAAAATGGAGTCTTGAGAAAAAGATCAAAATTCTGTGTCTTGAAAATATCCAAGGTTGCTAAGTTTTTACAAGTGCCAGAAATCTTTCAAATCTTTGAGAAAGCCAGAGCTTATGTAAAACTTGAACAAAGTGAAAACCAGAAACAACAGAAGTCATTTTCCTGCGGGGGGGACAACTCACCCTCAGCTGCCTCATCATTATCATCTCTGTTTCTTTTTTTTCATACTGTAATCACAGCTGACTCACTGTGGAGCAGCCCCCTCTTTATATAACAGAGGTGAACTGTTATCATGTTTCTACATCAGGCTCTTTGTGTGCAGAGGAAGGTCCTTAGTAAGAACACTTGCCACTTCTCTGAAAGTAAGCCGTCTTGTGTGACTGAGCTTATGTGGAATGCAGTTGGTCTCACCCCCTTCCTCCCTATTCAAGGCCCCCTTTGGTTTCCACCCAAACTCAGTCAAGAGGATTTTTGTGTAACACGTGAAATTACTCTGTCATGATACAGAAAAAAAAAGGGATCTAAATGCGTGGGTTTTGATTGTTAGTGTAAAACAGAAGTTTATTGAAGTATTAATAAGGAACAGAGGTGAAGGTTGAATGCCGGGTTTTTTCTGTGTTTGGCCAGACTTCAGTTAAAGGGCAAGAGGAGTTGCATAACATAATGGCGGCCTGCATTCCATTTCCTTAACTGCCGTGCTCACTGCTATAGAGAGTAACCTCAAGGTTGTGGTGCCATCTAGTGGCTGTCGATGGACCACTCCTGCCACTGATATTGATTTATGAGTGTTGCTGTGCCTTGGCAGGAATGGTGCCTCTCAATTTGAATTGAATGGATGAAGTTTTTTTTTATCCACACTCTTGTTCAGTGACCACAGAGGGCAGATGTCATAAATCCTTGTTTCCCAAAAGTCTGTGTTCTCTTGTCATTCCGCAGCCCCGAGTCAGTTGAAGCAAGCCCTGCCGTGAATGAGAAAAACTACAACAACCACAGCTGTGGGAGCGCACAGAGTCATGGGTATCGGGGACTACCATATGCTGTGAGTTCGACTCCCTCTTTGTTATCTTATATCATCAGTTCTAATCATAGCATGTCTTACTGTATGGAATTAGTTTGACTTTCTTTTTTTCAAAGAGATGCTGACTAGTTGTAATGAACCAATCTTGTCTTGTTTTCTAATCTTTGATTAGTTGCTTGTTCTATGCATTTAGGCCGGTAAGAGTAAAATGAAGGATTGGGTTTGCCTCTAGTTTGATTGAAAACTATGTGAATGTCTATCCTGCTATTAGTCTTCTGTAACCACAATCTACTTCCGTTATTAACAGCTGTACTGTGTCACATACCTGTTTTTTGCCCTCATTTTCATTCTTCTCCATTTTCCGTTTCCCTTTTTGCCTGAACACCCGTTGTTTGAAGATGCAACAGTCTTCCGTTGTGTGTTGTCAGGATCACAACTATGGCGCGCCCCCTCCCCCTACCCCACCCGCCTCCCCGCTCTCCCAAACCATCATTCCCCGCATGGATCTCAACGGTGTGGTACGCGGCTCCCGCTACCACGAAACTACTGAGGACAACTCAGCTGACAGCGACAGTTCCTCAGATGAGGACGGGGCTGTGGCCAGCTGGTGTCACTGCAGCCTGACGCCAGACGGCCTGCTCATCAAATGTGACAACTGCAGGTGAGAGATGAGAAACCTGCCCGGTCAGGAACGTTCAGCAGGAGTGCTGCTGGTCTGAAAAAAAAACAAAACTGGGAAAGACAAACGAGTGCTACAATACAAGATCAAGAAGATTACAACTCTTGACCCACTTTTTCTTGATCACATTTGATGCATACTGTCTGTTCTTGCTTATAAATATGGGGTCAAATGATTGACATATAATAAAAAATGAAAATAGATGTAGCTATAAATCTAAAAAAGACAGTTGGAATAAGTTTTCTTGTCTTTTTTTTCTGCAGGGGACTCAACAGAAGGAAAGGAACAGATGGACAACACCGGAAAACAGAAAACGTGTCAGGTACGTGGTCTTCTGTGTTTATTTTTACATCCATAAAATGACATGAAATCGCCACATCTATATATCAGACTATGATTGCATTCACCGTTAGCTGGAGAGAGCAGCGCCACAGAGAGCGGTGATGAAGAAGTGTCTCCATCCACCATCTCCTACACCGCCACGCAGCATACGCCAACCAGCATCAAACTTACTGTCAACCGGGTGAAAAGGAGCAAATCCAAAAAGAGGAAGAAGAGCACTGAGAAGGCCAGGGGCACGCCGAAGGGCAAGAAGGTCAAGGTAGTTAAATTGCAACCTAATGAATACATGTGATTTCCTTAAAGCTCTGTTGATTCGTAGCTACGAGAAGAGCTTGAAACATGGTAACTTTCTCATTTATTTTTTATTTTTTCCACTTCTCGTAAAGGCTTTCAGAGAGGGTTCAAGAAAGTCCATGAGGATGAAGGTAATGTTTGAGCTGATTAGACTGTGTGAACATTTGAATGAAGATGAGATATCAACCTTATACTTCCCTGTTTTACTTTTGCTCAGAACTCAACAACAGAGGCCAGTGTGTTGGACGAGAACACCACAGAAGGATGGGAGAGCAGGATCCGCCAGTGGACGGATCAGTATGAAGAGGCTCTGGCCAACCAGTATAGCGCCGACGTCCAGACACTGCTCCAGTTTCACCGTACTGCCAGCACCACTGTCTCCAAGACTGAGAGTGGTGCCACACCGCCTCCCTCTGACACACAGATCCATGCCTCTGTGGACACCATGGACACCATAAACCGCACTGAGCTGGCCTGTAACAACACAGTACTGGGCTCACAGATGCAGGTCAGTCTCAAAGGTGGAACCAAACATTCATTTAGCATTTCACAAAAGAAGTTATACGTATACGAGTCTAGTAACATACAATGACTAAGCTTTTGATACGAGAAAAAGAAGAGAGAAGAAGAAAGTTAGCTTTCCTTGGATAGGACTGTGGAGAGAGACAGGAAACGTAAACGGGGGTGACATGCAGCAAATGGTCTAGGCCAGGACTTGAAACCCTGACCATCGTAAGGGCTATAGCCTTCATACGTGGGGCCGCTAACCCGCCAGGCTATCTGTGTGGAAACAATACAGTATCTAAATGTCAGCTCTGCTTTGACTCATATAAGAGTTTAAATGACTAATACCATATTTATTATAAGAGGGCCAGCACTTTTCAGGACTAACTATTAAAAACTCTTTAAAGATCAAAGAGAGTTTATATGAAGAAATAAAAAAGATAAAATTAGGATGTTATTTTTGTGCTTTTATGTCTTGTAGCTTTAAGTTACATATTTAAATGGACTGAAATATAATCACATGTCCAAGTAAAGCACCTCAGGTTTTTGGTTTTGAAATGACCTGTAGTCTATCAGATCATTCTGGTGATGGTACAAACCTTTTGATACGTGCGTCAATGTCAACCAGCTTACTTAAACACAAGATTTACTAGCCGGCCTCTGCCTCAATCGCTTTGTTTGTGTTGAGTAACTTTGGGGTCAAAATGGGTTCATAGTTATTGTGTAACACACAAAAACGCCACAGCTATAACTAGCTATTGGGTGAGGAACAGTCGAGAGAGTCCTGTCTTCTGCATGTGAAATTGGTTTTGTTTAAAGTTTGGTGGCTGGAAAGAAAGTGATCAAACAGCTGTTCCTGGGACGGTGGTTATCTCTTTATGAATACTCCTTACAGTATGACATCTGCCCATGTAAGGATTCACCCAGATGTAATTGATTGTGGCGCTTGCCACGGCAAAATAGAAGCCATCACACTCTAAAAATGATGTTTTTTTTACATGGCGACCTTGAACTCAGTATGTATCAGTTTATGCCCCTCCCGCTCTCAGAGTAGATCACCACCCCACCTTGCTCCATGTCCTACACCGCCGCACATTCCCGTTCTGTGGGAAACACTGCCATGATATATAAGAAATGAAACTGGAGGGTCTAGATTTGGGGAATCTTAAGTTAGCCGTCAGTACCACATGTTTGATATCTTTCTGCATATTCATGCTTATACTCTATGGTTGGCTGTTTTTAGCTTCAGTTGGGGCGGGTAACACGGGTGCAAAAACACAGGAAGATCCTCCGAGCCGCCAAGACCCTGGAACCGGACACCCTCATCATTGAATATCGGGGGAAGGTCATGCTCAAACAACAGTTTGAGGTCAACGGGCACTTCTTCAAAAAGTAAGAGATCTTGATGTATGTTTAATTTATTCAGTGCTTGAGTCCGACAGCAGGTTACATACATTAATCATGTGGTGCAGCTTTTGATACCATTGTCCTTACCTTTTCCAGACCCTACCCTTTTGTGCTCTTCTACTCAAAGTTTAATGATGTAGAGATGTGCGTCGATGCAAGGACCTTTGGAAACGATGCCCGCTTCATCAGGAGGTCATGCACACCCAATGCTGAGGTCAGACACCAGCCTAATATCTTGGAGATTCTTTTGAGTTGAATCATTGTTTTTTAAATGAGGAAACTCATACATGTGTTTTTGTCCACAGGTTCGGCATATGATTGCTGAGGGCATGATTCATCTATGTATATATGCCGTCAGTCAAATTACAAAGGATGCAGAGGTCACCATTGGATTTGACTACGAGTTCAATAGTTGGTCAGTACTGTTCATTATTTTCCACTTACTCTCAAACCAACCACCTGTACCCATGTTTGAGTGAAAACACACATTTGGCTTGTGGCTATCACAACATGTTACCGAATCACTAATTGTGATTATTTAAGACCCAATCTGATGAAAATCGTGTTTTCTTGTTGTCTACATGTTCATACAAGCAGTATCTCTAAAAGAAATCCGGAATATAAGTGTAATTTACATTGGCTAACACCTGTAAACACAAGGCTGACAGAGGCAGGAGAGTCACACAACAGCTGCAGTAAAAACTGACATACTGATCCCCTCAGTCCTGTATGTGAAAAAAGTTACACACACAAAACACAAGTACTAATGCTTAGAGATGTTGGAAAAAGGGCAATCTACCCACTGCATTGTAATGAGAATTAAGGAGAACTGGAAAAGGATAACAATACTTTACAAAGTGAACGTTACATCATTAATATTTGGCTAACAGGAGACCGGACCTGGGCTGGTTTGTGGAGAGCTGCAGTGTTTTCTTGCGTTGAGGTGAATTAGTGTACACTGCAGATTTACCGCAGTCACCACTTAACAACCACAGCTGGTCCATCTGCAGTGCCAGTCTCACTGTATCGCCTGAATGTACTCACTTCTTTCTGTCTGCTGGTGCTTCACACTGGTGTCAGCTGTGTGCATATAGCAACTTTTGTCTCCTGTGAGCCGTTTGCTGTGTGTGAATGAGTAAAAATTAACGCGTTCATTGAGCGCGCTCATATTTTCATGAATTTCATGAGTTTACTCCTGAGGCGATGAACATCCGCTCACATTCAGAGAGGTGCTGAGCACTGTGTTTTACAGCAGCAGGAGTTAGATCTTCGGCACTCTCCATACATTCAGCAAGACTGATCCTGCAGATATTACGAACAGTGTTTCCTGATAATACAAACTGATTTTTTTCAGCAGCGGCGCTACTATTAAAGATGACTAGTGGTGAAATCATTAGTGGTGCATTGATATTAATGATTCTGTAAAATTTCAGCTGTGGAGCACGTTATTAAGCAGGGGCACATTGCTGCTGCTGAATGAATGTAGGGGACACTCTGATAGAAACAATAAGGTTTGCAGTGCATGTGAGACCAGGGGCTCTGAACATTTGCTGGAGTTTTACAGGAATAAGGAATAAGCATAGATGACTACTAGAAAGGAGAACTTGTAGTTTAAAAATCAATGTAAACTACTTTGAGCTAGCTTGTTTTTTGTTTTTTTTTGTGAGCTGGCTCAACCATAGGCTGTTTATAGTATAGACAACATGACTCCACTTCCCATCATTGTGCAAATTTGAAGCCTAATTGCTCCGGGAATTTTCCCTATTTCCTGAAACCAGCCCACTATTACAAGCAGGGGGGAGAAAAGTTGATATGACTTGATTTTAATTTTCAGAGTTTGTCCACAGCTCCGTTTATTTTGCTGGCAGAGGCAGGGTCTATGACCTATACTGTAACCATTTACCAGGGGGTGCTGTTCTCGCGGAGGCTTCACCCAGCGAGGAGGCAGATGCCGTCTATTATATATACATTATATATATATGATACAATAGTACATCACTATAGCAACAGTCCAAACAGTGGACAGCAAGTTTTTAATGGTCGTTCAGTCTTAAAATAGCGTGTAACAACGGCTTTGTTAGCTTGTTCAGTGACATACACGACTGATTAAACCAGTTCTCTCTCTCTCTCTCTCTCTCTCTCTCTCTCTCTCTTTCACTCTCTCTTTCACTCTCTCTTTCACTCTCACTCACTCACTCACTCACTCACTCACTCACTCACTCTTTCACTCTCTCTTTCACTCTCACTCACTCACTCTCTCTCTCTCTCTCTCTCTCTCTCTCTCTCTCTCTTTCACTCTCACTCACTCACTCACTCACTCACTCACTCACTCACTCACTCACTCACTCACTCACTCACTCTCTCACTCTCTCTCTCTCTCTCTCTCTCTCGTTATAACCCAACAGTAATTACAAAGTGGACTGTGCCTGCCACAAGGGCAACCAGAACTGCCCAGTGCAAAAGCACAACCTGAGCCCCAGGGAAAGTTTGCTGAGCCCCGCTTCTCTGCCCCCTCCCACACCTCTGGTTGGTGCTGAAACACGGCGGAGAAAAGCTCGGAGGAGAGAGCTGGAGGGCTGTGTTTCTGGGGACAACAACCCGAACCAGGACCAGAACCAGGAGGCCAAAGAAATGCATGGGACCAGTGATGCAGAGGTGTGTAAACAAAAATATAGTCTTTGACATTTCTCTATTGAAATATTAATGTGCTGCATTTCCACCAAGCATTTAGGTTCAGTTGGATTTGGTATACAATCATTTGTATTTACACTGTCAAAAGCTCAGTGGGAATGTACTAAAAAACACCCAGAAACTGCGCTTGTAGTAAAAAAAACAAAACTCTTCACTCGTCTGCCATTGCTTAACTGACCTCTCTTCCTGTGTGTTGCTTTTTCTCTCAATCAGGAGAGACTGCTAGAGGAGGTCAAGGTGGAAGATGGAGAGGAAGGAGAGGTGGATGAAAATGGGGTCGCCATCTCCAGTAAAAAAGTACATTTTACATGTTTTTGTTCTGTGTAACAATTCATTCCCAAACACGCCATAATAAGCAATTTTACAAACGGTGAAATTATTATTCCAGGTGTTGTTAATCTGCTTTTTTTACCCGCAACTTTACTGTAGACATGTAACATTCTGGAGAGGAGGCGCAGAAGAGTCGGAGGAGCTGATGTGAAGGAGGAGGGTGTAGAAACTGAGGACGGGGCAGGAAACCCTATAGGAAACACCCCCACACCGAGCAATGCTGGAGTTGGGGTTAGCACGCGCCGCACCACTTATGTAATGGTAAGTGAGCAATGTCAAGTTTGCCTAAATTATACCCACGACTCATCTCCATCTTCTGAGTCTATGCGTGTGTTTGTCATTGATTTGTCATTGATTTGTCATCAAACACTCTTACAGGACACACCAGCCATTGACGAAAAGATCTCCCTGAACATCCTCACCGCCCCAGCTGCTCCCCCTAAACCTCCAAGACCCACCAAGCCTCGACCCAAAAGCCGCATCTCTCGCTACCGTTCGAGCTCGTCCCAGCGTGCCCGGCGGCAGCGTCAAGCCCTCGCCCAGCAGGCAGCAGCTGCAGCAATGGCGGCCGCCCCGTCATCGGCTGATCAGGGTGCTGCTCTGGATGAAGAGGGATCTCAGGGCCCTAACAGCGCTGACCAGGAGAACAGTCTAGGCAGCCAACTCCTTGATGGAGACGGTCAGAGTCTGAATTGCATCAACAGAGGCAATTTGCGCTACCCCAAAACTAAGAAGGTTAGAGGATGCTGGCCAGGATTTGTGCGTGCTTTTGTAATCTCAGAGAATTCAGAGTGAGAATCAATGTTTTGTCCTGCTCTTAGTACCTGGTGACGGAGTGGTTGAATGACAAGATCCCTGCGGGCGATAAGTTCCACCAGGAGGTGCCTGTCGAGCGCCCGCTGCGGATAACCACTGACCCCACAGTGCTGGCCACCACCCTCAACATGCTGCCAGGCCTCTCCCACGCCTCGCTAATCTGCACTGCGCCCAGACACTACATCCGCTTCGGCTCCCCCTTTAACCCCGAGAGACGCCGGCCTCGCCCACTTCAAATGGACGGCACTTACGGTTGCTTCAAAAAGGTAAGAAATGCTGATTTCCACTGCAGAGTCATGTCGGTTATGAAGGGCCTAACGTTTCTGTAATTGGGGTTTTTTGATAAGGCTCATTTAATGTTGGATTCAGTCTAACTCAAAGTGATTTATTGTGACGTTGCTGTTGTCTCGTGCAGAGATGGTTGAAACAGCTGGAGGATGAGAGCAGCTCAGCTAGTGTAGAGGACGGCACAGAGTCTACCTCCTCCCAGCAAAGCACCAGTAGCCGATCCACCCCCAACCCCCTGTCTGCTGGTATGTACATCTTCACACCCATCAAAATCAGGATGATTCATGTACTGCTGCTGATTTGAAAACATGTCTTACAAAGAAACGACTCATTATGTACCAAAGGACTAGTGTAAGTGTAATTGCAAATAGTCCTACTGGAGGAAGACCAAAGAAGTGTTACTGCTGTCAATCATACAACTGTTGATGCTCGAATTTCTTCAAACTCTTCTTGAACTGTTGTCTTTTTTTGTTCTTCAATAACAGAGGTCAATGCACCTTTTAAGAAGCGCCGCTCTAAGTATATGTCAGAAATGATAACGGCGCCCCTGGACCACCTGCTTCGCCCGCTGTCACCCATCACACCACCCCTCCCAGATGACCCCCTCCACCGGATGTCCCAAACCCCCTGCGGCTCCCTGCTGCCAAACGGCCTGGTCTACTCACCCATGCCTTCTCTGCCCGCCAGCCGTTGCAACACGCCGCTGCAGTTTGAAGTAAGAATCCATCCAACTGACACCCAGGCTTACAACTATGAGCGTGGTTACTTACCTCGTACACATTTTCATCACCAATTTCTCAATCTGAAAAACGTTCATCCAGTTCCAGAGCCTTCTTGTTTGACAGTAATCATCTTTCAGACATCCAAAGGCTAAGATAATCCAGATCTGGCTCCCAAGCCTTAAACCTTCACTGTATATCAGGATTGGCTGCTGCCAGTTGCCCTCATTTCCTTTCTAACTTTAGCTGTTCAGTCTAACAAAGGCCATAAAAGCCATAAAAAAGCTCTACATAAGTTCTGAAAACAACTAAATCCTTCTTCACATGGGACAGTATCCACACTTAAAACAGAACAAACTTTGGGCCTGATTCTCAAAGCCGATGTGCCACTGTTTATGTGTCGATCAACCTTCTAGCACTTGTCATAATTAAATCTGTTTTGGTCCAAAGTCTGAATTTTGAATTGCTAGTCTTTAATGAATGACATTTGTTGTGAATTTACACATGCAGATTGTCAAATATAGTCTTTAATGGCCTGCGCTTGTTTTTCTAGAACATATCATCCCCTGAAGCATCTCCTGTTCATCGACCAGAGTCCATCTCTCCTGAGGTATGTGTAAAACACTCCACACCGACTATTAATGCAAAAAAAAAATCTGTGTATCATCTGTTCAATCGATTTTCAAATCAAAACTGAAACTAAAATAAAAATGAAAGAATGACTCGTTTCCTCAATATTAGTACCCAAAATCAAAACGAGAAAAAAAATGTTTTCTAGTATCAGGGGATGTGGGCGTTTCTTCCCATTCGAATATTTTCGCTTGCCGCAAGGGGACACGAGTTGGACCGTCACTAGACTTGGAGTAGAACAAAGAAGAAGAAAATATGGATGCGTACGTGCTCTTCTTCAGCCCACTAAGAGAGCAACGTTAAAGTAATTGTTTTTCTTCAGCCACACATCAAGAGCTCATCACCAGATAACGCCTTCATCCCTGGAGTTTGGAAAATGTCCCCTCCCGGTTCACGCAACTTGAGGCAAACGAATACATCCGAATGGGATGAAGAGCCCGAATCTCCTGTCATATCCAATTTTTCTATTTGTGCACAACATCATATATCCGATAAACAAGTCATTTTGTAGTTTTTTGTAGTTCACTTTTTTAGTTTTGCTCTTGTTTTGAAAAACGAATGAACAAATGATTCACAGATTCAAACATGTGAATGCTATCAACCTTTTGTTCAGATTTGTCTTGTTAATGTCATCCGCTCCTCCTGTCCTTCAACTCCTCTCTGCTTTTTTTTCTTGCAGCCATGTCTGCAGACAGACTTCGAAGTCCCTCGGCCTCAGTTCCCGGACCTGTCCCTTCCCTGCAGCCTGGAAAGCCCCATGGCCATGACCATAGATGACTTTTCTCTTCCCGGAGGCCCTTCAGGCCACGATTCCCAGGGCACACCTTCTATAGGAGCAAGTTCCCTGAACCCAGTGTCCTGCCCCTCCTCAGAACTACCCCCTCAAAACAGGGAGCAGGCCTTCAGGACAGAATTCAACCTCATATACACCTGCTCGCCCCTCAATGCAAACCTGGGGAACCCTGTCACCACAGACCGCCACCTCTCCCAGTCAGAAGGAGGCTTCTCACCGGCAGAGTCATTCCACAGTTCCATCAGTGGCCAGGGACTGCTGGGAGATATGGGCCAGGGCTCTATGTCTCCCTATGGCGAACCCCATTATGGAGGAGGCTACCCAGATAGCGGCACGCCTCCTCACACCAGCAACCCACCACAAAAGAAGAAGGCAAGTAATGATCTAACCATCTTAACTCAAGTGTTTCTGGTCGATTTGTTCAGTTCTTGATTTTGAAGCCATGTGCTTTGTGCAAAACTGAAAGCCAAACCTCATGATGTGCTTCACTCCTTGCTCTGTCTTTGACCTTGTCATAAAAATAGTAGTCGGGGCCCAAATCCAAAAGCAGCAAGCATTTACAAGACATATTTAACCATTTACTGTGAATAACTGAATGATTTCCACTCTGTAGCTTTGACCCCTCCTCCTCCTCCTCCTCCTCCTCCTTCTTCCCTCTCCTCTCCTCCTTTTCCTCATTCGTTGCTCTTTCAAACTTTTTGCCAAGTCTCTCTTCCACTTTTCTTCCAAGGCAGAGGGCCAACCAGCATACCATTAGTCTGCTGACAGGGAAGCCAGATTACCAGGCTATAGCAGTAAGAAGTGAATACAAGCCAGTACAAAATATGGTGAATATTCTCCCTACAACTGCATCTTTAGAAGTGTGCATGTCAATATTGTTTCTTTGCATCTGCATACAACACCCACGTCATGCTCCGACAGCTCCGCCCACAAACCTACATCAAACTTTGACACAGCAGTGATCTTTCCGCCATCTCAGTCAAGTTCATTGGAGAGTGTCGAGGTTCATCCATTGCCTTGAGCAACACGAGGCCAATGGTTCATGAATTTGTCATGATGGTGTTGAGATGAAGCCTTTTGTCTTTGCTCCATCTCATCCATGGCTCCCTCCAAACTGTGATCATCCACGTCCTCTGTGACCAGGTCGTGTCGTTTCACCCTCGTCATCAACAAGACAGTGAAGGGCACAAGATCAGGACCCAGAGAGTAGATCATGGGGCACAGGGAGCATTTGGGATCACAAACGGGTGGATTTGAATCTATTTATAAAGCACATTTAAAAACAACAATGTGCTGTAGAGTAAGATTAAAAACACAATTAAAAAGAGCCAGACAATTAACATGAACAATAAAACAAGACACAGGAACACATTAAAAACAGGGGGACATAGATGGTTCAGTAAAAACATGATTAAAAGGCCAAGTTCTCAGGAGCTAAAAGCCAGGGAGTAAAAGTGCATTTTCAAGTTTGATTTAAAAACAGGCAGTGAGGGGGACAGTCGGACATGAAGGGAAAGAGCATTTGAGAGCTTAGGCGCAGCAACGGAAAAAGTCCGATCACCCCTGAACTTTAATCTTGACCTAGGGACAGTCAGAAGGCACTGGTCAGAGGATCTGAGAGTCCGAGATGAAATATGGGGTTTCTTACAATGTGGCCAACCTGAGCCACGGCATGAATATGGCATTCGTTTCCATGTTGAAGTAAAAATCTGGGGCAGAAAATGTAAGCTTAGAACTTGATTCAGTAAGGTTCCACTTTCAATCCTCCTGTCAACGTTTCCTGGTAAAAGTCCGACAGGATTGACAGATGTTAACACTTTGAAAAACATTAAAAGCCTTTATTTAAATAGTAGTGAAAACAAAAACATAAACATAAATGCTACATAAATGCTAAAATAAAAAAAAAATCACATTTCATAGAAAATACATGAGCCCATGCAGTTATTTCCACTACAGAGTTATGCCTGTTATGAGCATTTGTAACAGCTTCCCAACTTTTGTGCAAAGTGTTTCTTTATGTATTTACGGTTTTAACTAACTTAAACTAGGTCTGCGAATGATATATATCTAGTGGGTTACCTTCTTGCCTGCCTTCCTTCCTCTGTCCACCGCCAGGCCACCGTAGGTTCCCCTTTCCTGCAGGAGCACTCTCAAGTTCCCACACGCACCAGTGTAAACAAACATGGCGTTTGCAAGAGAAGTTGATAATTTTAATGGCTCAATAGGGCAAGAGCAAGTCAGTCGTGTGGAATTGGTACGACTTCGCAGTTTCGGGCGAAGAGCAAACTGCTCCCTGCTGCAAAGTCTGTCTGAAGGCGGTATTAACCTGTCCGCACGGAAACAAATTCAGGAGTAAATGCAGAAGTCTTTTTTGGGTGTCTGTAGACTGTACTTTTTGAAAACGGGCACAGACAACTACCATTTCATCTCCGTGTGGATGCCTCTCTGCATCTCTCTTGAAACGATCATGCGCAGCCCTAGTACGCAGCAAGTTAGAGTGGAGAGGAAACCCTTCTTTGTAGGGACTCTGGTTGGACATACACACATGGAAGCACTAGAGACTTCAGTGTTAATTAGTAGTGATGTCACTCACAACCCTGACACACTCACCGTGACAGCACAGCGACCTCTGCAGGCAGGCTTCTGTAAATGTCATATCAAGGCAAAGATTTCTCCACGCAGGACTCGTGTTCATGTCAGGATCTGACTGTGTGGTCATCATCCTGCTCCCCCTGCCTCTCTTCCATATCCTCCATATATTCTGCATCATGTCAGCAAGGAACAGTGCTGTCATTCTCATTGTTTATACTGGAGGTTTGTGTGTCTCTTCTGTTTTGAATGTGTGTAAGCTTGATCTCTGTGGGTATTTGTGTTTTCGTCATCGTTTTAAGCGTGGTTGCATCATTGCGTGGTGCATTTTCAAGTTGCCTGCTTTGTCGTCAAAGCTTCAGCTTCTTCTCTTACTAACACTCGGAGAACCCATGCAGCTCTCTATTTTGTGCTGGACCTGAGCTACATGTAAACTCATGGAATGGAACATAAACAGGGTTGCACATCGCCCTTTTTCATGTCAGAGGTTATCTCCATGGTGATGAAGGTTTGTTGTATTTATAGTTTGTGTAATCACAGTTTCCAGGTGAGTTGTGCATGTGGTCTGGTCAGTGCAGTTTTTGGTGGATCATGTGATTCAATCAGCAGCTCAGTATCAGTGTGACTGGCGCATAGTTCAAAACCCTCACAGCAGATCAGTCCAGTCCTTCATTTTCAGTCTCTCTGCTCCCTCAGGTGTCTTTGTTGGAGTATCGGAAGAGGAAGCAGTGCGGTGGACGTGATCTAGAGGCTCCTGGAAACAGTTCGTCTCTGATCGGCACCCCCACCCGGCCTGGCCCCCACTTTAGCCAGGAGTCCCATCATCCCATCCATTCCCATCAGCAGATGCAGCCCCCTGCCTCTCTACAGAGCTCCTCCTTCAGTTCCTCTGCACACACACCCTCCATCCCACAGATAGAGGAGGTCAGTCCGTCAGACAACCAGGGCTCATCGGGGCAGCCGAGACGGCAGGACAACAACAACCAGTGGTGAGATGCTGACCAAGAATGATGAAATTAGAGACTGAGTCCATCCACTGTCATTTTTCAAGTCTGTGTGTGTGTGGCTTAAGAAACCGCACAGACAGACCAAAACAGACTTCTCTCGACTATTTCTTCAACATGTTTTTTCATCACGATTTCCTTCAAACCGTTTTTAGCTCATACATTTCAAGAACAGCTATAATCAAGAAAACATTATCAATGTTTCACACAAAGCGAGGGCTGTCGGATATTGATTTAGTGTTCATGTTCAAACTGTCTGATAGTATTTAGGAGAAGACAGTGTCAACATTTAGTGGTAGATAACCTGTTTTTTTAATTTTTCTGAAGGATGGTTCCCACAACTGTTGAACGTTTGAGGGAAGGTCAAGGGGTTCTGGAGCGAGTGCTGAGAAGCATCAAGTTGGATCGAAATTGCAAGAGGAGTGACGGCTCTACAGAGAAGGAATCTGGTATGAAGTGACTGACGACTCCAAGGACTACTGCAGAGAGACGAAATTAAAACACTTGAACAACTTAGACTATACTGGAGAACAAATAACAGGACATGGAAGCACACGTGTGCTTTATGTTCTTTCATGATTATATCTGAAATTTTGTGCTTAAATTGATCTTTCTATCCTTCCATCTGTCCTTACAGAAGGAGATCGATACGACATGCCGGCAGCGTCCATGGCATCTCCCATGAAGAGTCCACATCGATACAGTCCCTCTGTGTATTCACACCAGGTACCTGTTCCTTAAACCTCTGGGATTCAGGCTGTTTATAACAATAATTATGGCAAACGAGCCCCTCGATGAATGTTGATGTTTTTGTTCGTTTTACTCATTCCTGTCAAGAGTCGTGTTTTTATGTTTGTGTGTGACCCTGACTCTGACATGCTCTCCACATTTAACTCTTTTGAGAAGCAAACACGACTGCAGGGGATAGATGGACAGAAGAGGTGTTCTCATTTTTTAGAATATCAGCGTTTTTAGTGCTTTTATATTTATACTGTTCACCAAAGTTATCAGTGGTTTTGATTGAGGATCGACAGATGTGTTTTTTTAGGGCTGATACAGATTATTAATAATCAAGGAAACCGATAACCGATATATAGAAATGATATACATTTGCAGTGAATATGTATATTTTGGCCTTATTTTGAAACGTGCTTTTATTTTGAAACGGGAAAATAACCGGAAGCAGTGCATGCTAGCTCAGTAAGCTTCACAGAGACCAAGGAGCATCTCTAGCGGTGTTGTTACCTGCTAGTTTGTTTCTTTTGTTTTTTGTTCTCCATGCTTCACTGTGTTTGTTAGAACTGTGAAGTGTAAGTTGAAAGATCTTATTTTTTAAATTTTAAAATAAACTTCTATTATTGGCTATCGGTGGAAAAAATATGTCCAATGCCGATTATTGTAAAAATGCTGAATATCGGCCGATATTATCGCCTGTGCCGATTATAGTTCGATCCTTCGTTTTGATTTAACCATTGGCATGAAGACTTGCATCTGTAATTCTAACTTCTGCTCGACTTTCATCTCTTATTCTTGAGCTAACCCGCAGCCTCCTGAGCGGGTCACTGTAACTAACACGTGCGTGTTTTCGTCTCTTGTGCGCAGTCATCAGAAAGCCACCGCCAGACCGACAGCCCATCATTCCTCCGGCAAACCTCCAACTCTCCATTCCGGGGTTCCTGCAGTCCGTCATCAGGTCAGAGTTTCCATCTGCGCCTCCCCTCTTCTCACCCGGGACTGTCCCAGGACCATCACCCCCCTTCCTCATACCCCAGTCACCCCCCAACCTCCTCATCAGACTCCAGGCCACCAGCGGGCTTCCTACACCAGCAGAGTGGCAGCAGTAATGTGGATGGGGGGGGCCACAGCTACAGCACCAGCCACTTAAAAGCAAGCCTTTCGAACAGCAGTGGCCTGGTGGGGTCTCCCACCCCAGGACCCAGGGCCCACGGGCAGACTAAACTAGACTCAGGTGCCCAGGCCTCTAGAGGGAGTCAGCCACAGGTGTCCCGCAGCCTGAAGTCGGGCAGTCCGGGCCAGACAGCACTGCAGGCCAGCTCCAGGCTGCTGCCAGCCTCTGGACCGACACACTGTCCACAGAGAGGGACAAGTCTCAGCCAGTTCCAACACTCCCCCCTGCAGGGACCCGGAGTAAGGACACAGTCAGGAAGCTTTTAGGACCTTTGTCAAGTGTATGTGTGCGTGCGTGAGTGTGTGTGATGCTGCGTACCTCCTCGGCCCCTAAAGCTACGGTCGAAACGGGGCCCCGGGAGTTTAGGGAGGGCAAATGTACAGACCTAAGAGGAGCAAAGACTTGTGTGATGAGTTCTTCTTTTCATCTTTTTTTTCTCTTTCTTTATTTTCAGAAAAACGAAACAACAAAATGACCACGTTCTGCTCAAAGCTAATCATTGACTTTGGACATCATTCAGAATCCGTGGGAAACGCGATTTGGACTGTGGAAAAAAAAAAAAAAAAACAAGATTCACATGTAACTTGAAATTTTCCTCAAGGTTTCCTCATGTGCCGGACTGTGCAAACAGGCTCGAATATGTCTGGAAAATACAAACTTCCACACAAATGTCTGTACAAAGTTATAAAAAGCCGTACCTGTTGTCATGGTACCCAGGTTGGATAAATGCTGAGATGTAACTGAAAGCAAGAGTTGTTTTATTTTTTAAATATTTTTTTGTCAACGTTCCTTTTTTTTCTGATTTGGCACGTTGCTGAGTCTGTGCTGCAGTAAACAAGTGTTTGATTTGGAGAGGGGGAACTGATGCAAACCAAGGCGACAAGTTAATCATCCGTTTTAAAGATGCATAAGAGAAACTGGGAGGAGGGTTTCTCCCCTGATAGGATCATTCCATATGATAACCAGCCTCCGTGTTCTCCCACTGAACACGGAAAAGAAGCAGATTCTCCGTTCGTTCAGATCTTCTGTTGATTTGGGTTCTTTCTGTTCTCTTTCATCCCCACTGGACTGTTTTTTGATTTCACATTAGGACAAACGTCACTGTAGAGTTCTGATCTTGTACTTGAGACAAACAGGTCTTATGATTCATGGTGCTGCATTCTTCTTTTTTCTTTTTTTTGTTTTCAATAAATCTGAAATCCAGTTATGTTCCCCAACGCTCGGCTGCATTCATCTTGTCCTCACATCTGTTTGTTTGAATTCATACACATCAGATCTTATCGGGATGGGATGCAGGGCCAGAGTACGAGTTGTTGCATTTGACTGTTTTCGTTCCTGTAGGATTTCTTTAAATATACATGTGTTTCGATTTTTTTGACCAATCCTCTCATTCCGAGGAAAAACAGGGAAAGGGTCTCTGAGGGGGTGTTTGGATTGTTTATAAAAACTTAGGTTCAAAAAGCTGCTATGTTCTCCTGTGAGAGCTGCCTCCCTTTTCCACAGAGTGCTGTATTTTTGTTTCTTTCCTTTTAACCCCAATCCTCACAAACAGACTTGTAAGAAAGAGACGGCTCCCCTGAAGTGCTGCAGTTGGACCTCAAACCAACATGAAGCTGACAGCTCGGCTGCAGCAGGAGTCACTCTCTCTCCTCCCTCTTGTAACTTCAGTTTTTTTTTTTGAAGTGGAAAAACAGCTGTGTTTGTGTGGAAGACCTCAAGGACAGAAGGCTCAAACACGAGACTGGACCCAGCGAATCCACAAACTCCAAGTCCACGTAAAACACAGAAGGGTACTCGTGTTATACATGAATGTTTTACAGTTTGAAAAAATAAAGTTGTGACCCAAACTGAACCAGCACCTTAGAATGAAAGAAATACAACCTAAAAAGACACACTAGGACAACATGTATGATGACTATGTGTACTTGTATAGAAAGAAATGTGATGTAGACTTGTATGGAGAAAATATAGTACACTGAATTTATCGCATGATATTTGTTTTTAGGGTCTGAGTGACCAACCGTGTCAGCAGGTTGGAAGCAAATCATCGGGTCAGTTCCTCCAGAAAACCAGATGCTGAAGTTCTCTCCATCTCGCTCTCTGTTCTGTAAAGATCTTTCTGTTGGTTTTATTTTTACAAAGATCATAGAGGTTATTATTTCAACTTGTTCCCCCTTCAAAAGATTTAAAAAGCAAGAAATGTAATGCATTTTGATAATAAAATAATCATGATGGTAATGTATTTTGGGAACTACCATTGTGATGTGTCATTTGAGGGACTCGTATGCTTTGGACATGTCACAGCAGGTTGAGCTCGGTGTTTGTCTGCAGGGTTTTTTTTTTTTGATTCAACAATATTTTTATTGGTTTTATACAGATATACACAGGAGACACATTACAAACACCCCCTTACCCTCAAAAATCCATCTACAGCTGGATATTCCTATTACTTTGTTTAAATGACAAATTCTGGAGCTATAACAAAAAATAAAAATTAAAAAATGACTAAGTACATACCTAAAAAAATATATAAAAAATACAAGTAAGTGCTGGAATTCGGGTTTTATAGATCTTGAAATGCGTAAAATGCTGAGAAATAAAAAGTAAAACGAGAATAAGTTAAATGAACTACTGTGCGTTAAGAGAAATACATTTATAGAAAAGTTGCTGAAAAATGAAAAAGTCCATAAAAGAGATAAGAATTTGAATTGTATGATCATAAAACATCACAAATATATTTCAAAAGGAAAACAACTAGAAGAGGAGAGTGCTTAATTCAAAATGATTAAAGTTTCTGAAGGTGGTCCAGGAAAGGTCCCCAGATCTTTTCAAATTTCCCATCATTACCTGTAACTAAGTAATGAATCTTCTCAAGGTCTAAGACATGAGGTCTTTGAACCACCGACTGAGTGTGGGTGTTTCCTTCATTTCGTCTCTGTTATGGCTCTGGTGGATGGTTTCTATCAGTCCTGTTTTATCCATTAAAGTAGTCTATATGTTGCTCAGTCAGTGAGGTCGAATTCAAGCCGAATTGAACGTTATTTTCTACTACGCCGAGATTTAAAGACCCACTCCGATAAAAATCCTGTTTTTCTTGTTGTCAACATGTTCATATGGAGTTTTTCTGATGCTACAGGACATATCAAGAGAAATGTAAGTGCGAAACTGTATTTCTGAGTATTTCTGCGTTCAAATCTGTCAGACACAAACGGCAGGCTGAGATTTCCTATGTAACAAATCTAAGCTCCGCCCACAGAGTCCCACTATGCATAGTTAGCGTTAGCAGATTGCAATGCTCGTAAGAAAGCTAATAATGATATTAGCTTTCATCATGCTCCCCAAAACATTAGTGTCCGAGAGCTGAATACCTCCTAAGTTATCTGCTACTTCTACTACACCGGCGATGCTAGGTGTAGCTACAAGCTAGCATGAAGAGGAGTGTGCAGAGCATCGCTTTCTCCGCCTGCGACTCAGAGGTGAATTGCTAATGATCTACTGGAGCTCTGCAGAGGAAAAGCCCTTGAAAATGGTACAGGTAATACCATAACAATAATCATAATCACAATTTAAAGACCACCACGTATTAAAATGAATAAAACGACTGGAGCGGGACTGTAAAAAAGGTGGACTGACAGAGCAGGACCAGAATATGATTCCACTCTGAATAGTTAATAACAAAGTTGTTTTTGATTTCAAAGAGCACGCTGATAATCCCCAGAGAGGAGGAGGAGTCGCCTTCACAGCAGAATGATTTTGGAGCCATGAGTTTGGCGTTCTGGTTATTCCTGAAATAATCCTGTTAAGAAGAAACTGCAATCTCTGCAGGTTAGTCGGCCCACACATGACCAGATTTGGATGGAAACACTTCCTCATAGTCAGTCGCCAGTAGTTTTTTTGGAGCCAAAAGCGACAGTCTTTGGAAGGAATTGAAATTACTGTAATATTTTGGGGTGCCTTATATGATATTTGGTAGAAAGGCAGCATGTTTTTTAGAGCTACAGATGGTCAGATTTGGAAGAGGTGGTCGTTTATTTTTTTAGAGCCAGAAATGACCAAATTTGATTAAAATTGCCTCATTGGGGTCTTACCACATTGTTCTGGAGTCACCGTGACACCCCAGCTCATTCTGTTGAAGCCAAAGACAAGTTATCAGACATGAGCAACAGAGGACCGATTTCAGATGGGACTGCCTTTTGTCTGTCGTTGCCAAAACTGCACAGACCCCAGTCACAGTGTCAGTATCTGCTGTTGTAGTGGCGTATAGAGGATTGTCTTTGACTCTTTAAAGATGGTGCTCCTTAAAGCTTTGGCACTACTCCTTTGACCATGATGTCAGTCTCACTCCTCAAGCTGTAAAAAACATGCAGAGATCATTTACTTATAACTACAATGTAAAGAGCCTACATGGGTTTTATTTCACCGCAATTTCAACCTTCGCTCACGTGTTTGAAGGTCCCATTACTAAATAATCTATTTTTAACACAATCAGGGTTTATGCCACAGGAAATTTACTGTATCGGGTTCAACATCTTGCCCAAAGGTACTCCAACACTGCAGGGGCTGGGGATCAAACTTTTGTCTGTTCTTATTAATTTCCAAGTTAACTTTCTGTTCTTTGAAGCAGAGCTCTCCAGTCACTCTTGGAAAACAGTCTGCCCCCTACAGTCGAATATTTCACTGCAAAAATACCTTTTTATATGAAGCATCAGTTCTGTCTGCATCCACTAGAGGGAGGCATTGAGCTTCATAAGAAGCTTTCACTGGACTGGAGGGCAGAGAAGGCTCCTCTGGATGTGTATGTCCTCTTTCTCTTCATAGTTATATTGTAACACTTTGACTGATGATACAGATCTAAGATACTTGCCTTATATTCGGACAAGACAAGGGCTAAAATAACTTGTTTCTGCCTCTGATTTTGCTTTTTTCCGACTTGGTAACTGAAATGCTGGTAACTCGGGTGTGACGTCATTTTCATCTTGGACTTCTGACTTCCCAGGACACTCGAATGCAGCATTAGTTAGCAGACAGAATGTGACACCAGTCCTGCGGTGCCACCATCACAACATGTCAGGGATATGAGAAGAGATGGAGGTGGGCCGTCCCTCTGATTGAACAGTCAATGATCACTTGAGAACAGACAGTAATTATGCTGTCTGATTCTTCGCTCTCAGACAAAGCATGCCAGTGGTTCTGGGAGAGACTTGTCACACTGCTCATTGTTTCAGCCCCGTCACCAGTGAGAGTGTTTCTGTAATATTGTCATAACCCATCAGTCCTCTCTGTCAGCTGTCTGATCTGAACCTCCTGAAGTTTTGATGACCTGCAGCTTTAAACATGGAGGAAACTTTCAGTCAAGTATGAAGCTGCTGAGTTATTTAGAACCTTATAAAATGGTCACATCAAGTCTTTGATCATTGATTTCTTATTTAGTTTATGTTTCTACCTACATCAGCCCAAAATGAGAGTCTGTCTGTGAGCGAGTCAGAAGAGTTCCCATCATTATCAGAGGAGAAGTGAAGCTGATTGGCTCTAATAAATAAATGATATCAATCACCTGAATAATTTGTGTGAAAACCAAGTAAACAGCAGCTGTGACCAAAATACCTTTTAAAAGATTTAAACACAAACTGGGCCGAGGATGTGAGAGTCACAGCAGAGAATGAAACTCATTAAAGGAATATTCCAGCGTAAAATGAAGTTATGGCCGAACACACCCTAACTTATGGTAAAAACTTTCTGTACCGCCCGCTGATCTGCTTCTCAAATTTAAAATCAGGGTCAAACTGAACTCCCAGATTAGTGACGACATCCTTAAGATAGGGTGAGAGGGAGCCTAGATCGATGTTGGGGGGGTGGCCGCCACTTGGTCCAAACAACATTACTTCAGTCTTGTTCTCATTAAGACTGAGGAAGTTAAAAGACAGCCAGGCTTTAACGTCTTTAAGACAGTCAGTGAGTTGTTGGACTGAGTCGGAGTTGTTCTGTGCTGGTGGAAAATAGATCTGGTAATCATCGGGATAAAAATGAAAGGAGATGCCATGTTTCCTAAAAACAGAACCAAGGGGGCGTAGATAAAAGGCAAATAAAAGAGGGTTTAAATTGGTCAATAGGTAAACTGTTCTGGGTTATAAATGAAGATGTTACTTTCAGTTTACGGTAAGTTAAGAAGTGAACAATTGCATAGTTCCTGGGTAATTAATAAGAAAGTAAATACCAGTTAATTCTTAGCTTACCAAAAGTTTGATCAGACAGCTCAGTCTGACTGAAGGACTGATAGAAACTCTCCATGTGTGTATAAAGGTTATACAGTTATCTACGTATGTGTTGATAAAACCAAACCTATAACCAGATTCTGCTCTAGTTTTCTCACTCTGACCTTTGACCTTTGTGTTAATGGCAGTTTGTAGTCCCACCTGGGGACCCACACGAGCTTTTGTGAGGTCGGGGCTTGTCTCTGAGCCGTGCAGACAGGGAGACAGCGAGATGACAAACCGAGAGAGGGGGAGGCAGAGAGGACTGCGAGGCACATCACTGAGGATCTCCGTTATTATCCCCAATTCAGCCAGCAGTCTGGACACACTGCGCCACAACAAAGAAAGCGCCAATCTCTTCTGACATACCGCGCAGCCCGCTGCCCTCCAGCCATCTTTTAGCTGCTTCGTGGAGGCTAAAAATAGCAGTGGTTAGCGTGGGCTAACCGACTCAGAGGGGTGGAGAGGTTTGTGTGGTGTGCCAGGAGATGTTTTTTTGAGGTTACACGATAATCTGTTCCCTTAAACAGCCTCCTTCATTTCTTTGCTATGATATGATATGAGCTTGGTTCAAGATTTAAAGGCATACATGAATATCTGTTTAGGTTTATTTGTGGGGCGTGTTGTTCATTGTTCTCTGAAAGTGAAAGGTTTTAATCTGAGAAGACAACATGGTGGGATGAAAACACTTGGACCCTGAAACAGCTCACCAAAAGTGAAGGAAGGAGGAGAATCATACAGGAAAGAAACTGGGAGAGATTTACTGGGTCTACAACATAGACTGTATAAACTACGGACAACTTGGTTCCGCCACCCGCCTGTAAACGGATTTGAAGCCAAATAGCTCTCAGTATTTCCGGGATTTTTCTTCATTTCCTGAAACCAGCGCCGTGCAGTCGCAGAGATGACGCTCGGCTCAAACAGCGTATCCCCCGGGAGAGCTACGCAATCCCTGAACACCCATAGGCTGTATCAGGTGTCAATCAATGAAAACATGAACCCCCTAATAACTTTTAAAAACGGAGCCTCACAGAAAAAAAGAGGACAAACCAGTCTTACAATAACTACATGTCAACATCACAAGCAGGGGGGAGAAAAAAGAAAAAAGTTTGTCCACAGCTCCATAAGCTTTGCTGGCAGAGGTGGGATTTATGACCTATACTGCAGCCTGTCAGCAGAGGGTGCTGTTCTCGGAGTGGCTTCACCCAGTGAGGAGGCAGACTCTGTCCATTCTATATACAGTCCATGGTCTACAAGAACAGATCATACAATGCCTGATCTGATGGATCTGATGGCGTTCTCGGGAAGAGCAGAGCCACTGAAGTTTAACAGAAACATGTTACTGACATAAATGAAGATTAGTAAGGTTTATTACTAACCACACACGGGGCAAAAATGTTGAAGCGAGGGTTCATCTAGAATCATTTTCTTTCTCCCTCCTGTAATGTTAGTAATGAAACCATGACCAGAACTGAAGCCTTACTGTTGCCTTCAAAAAAATTATAATCTGTCTATGAGGGACCCTGTGTGGGGCCCAGAACACCTACACCCTTTTTCAGTGCTCATACTGGTCTCTTGAGCTGCACAGTTTTTACTCTCCAATGCACACTGACTCATTTTACAGTGGGCCTGCCTCAATTAGTCAGATAATAAGGGTTTATGTAACTCCAGACCTGAGCACAGCATAGGGAAACAATATTTCTGTGCGATGCAACAGTAGATAGCCACTCTATTGTTGTTATATGTGCACTTTGAGATTTGTTATTAAATGTAAAGTGCGTTAAAAATAAAATCTATTATTATTATTATTATTATTATATATACATCAGCAGCAAAGAGGCTATTGTAGTAGAATCTTTTCATACCTGGAAGAAATATAATAATAATAATAATAATAATATTTAATATAATTTAATAATAATAATAATAATAATAATAATAATAATAATAATATTCAATATAATTTATTAATAATAATAATAATAATAATAATAATAATAATAATAATAATAACAATAATACATTTACATATCGAGTGATTATCTTTTATTAAGGGGTTACAAACAATCTGTGTTGGCATATCGTATTATTTTTTTATTACTATTTGTTATTGTTAAAACAAAAGTGTGCAGCTTCACTTCTACTTATTTGGATGAGCTATCTAATTACAAATATTCTCATAATAAGCTCATATCCACCATCCAAGGTAACCACAAAACTATCCGGCCCTACGCCACAAAAATCTCCTGGATCTTATAAGCTAAATGTTGGCAGGTATGTGTGTGGGCCCTGCTCTCTGAGGCCCCTGGCCTCTGTTTTATTGATAATGAACACAGCACTACAGTCACGACTGTTTTTGTTTGTTTTATTTCTAGCTATTTTAAGATGAAATGCCTCTCGTTACTGAAAGTAAATAACATTTCAATACTGTAGGAGTGGCCAAGAGCTGCCGTTAAGCCTGAAACAGATAAAATACAGGTATAAATAAGTGTGCCCCCTGAAAAATGTAATGCCCACCCTCTCATTTGCTCATTCTGCTCCTGTGCATTGCTTTTCTACGTTTATGACGGACTTTCCACTACACTTTATAAAGAGGTTTCATCGTATAGATACAAGAAAAAAAATGAATAAAGAAAATCATCCCAGCAGCAACAGAGAAGGTAGAAATACACTGATGACGTTTGTAGAGAAAAGTGTGTGTGTGTGTGTGTGTGTGTGTGAGTGTGAGTGTGTGTGTGAGTGTGTGTCCTGGGACTGCTTGACACTGATATTAGCCTCCTGATCAGCAACAGTTGCTCTTGAATGCCTCACTGCCTCACAAACAGATGGGACCAGTGAAACACATATAACCATGAACACACACATATGTATATATATATAAATGACCTCCCCACATGATGACAAACGCAGGAACACACATGCTAACAAATGCAGTTCAGCAAACAGCTCATGTCCATGATGAATTGATTTGCACGCTGCCTCGCTGTTGGCGTGTGCGGTGTCCCCGAGGCGCCGCGTTCCATCAGTCATGTCTCCTGTAAAGTCTGCAGGATGAGCAGGAAGAGGAGCTCGGGGTCAGCTGCTCCTGCTGCTGATTATATAAGCGCAGAGCAGGGATGAATGGAGGGGCAGTGATGGGTGAACTCGGAGCATTCATCGCTGCAGAAAGGGACATTTCTTTATTCAATGAGGTCTTTGGTTTGAGCTCTGTTCCTAAATTTACCAGGAAATCGTCATAACTATAGACAGCTTTGTCTGCAGACACCACAAGCCAGTTTCCTCTCTTGATTCTCACCCTTTTTGTTATTATTCTGTATAATATTTTGCACTGAAAAAAAGCTGGACCCTCTTATGAAAATCTAATAGAATAGACAGATCCTGATTTTTGCTCTAGCTCTTTTTTTGTAAATCAGCCTGAACCAAAATGTTGATTAATCTTTCCTGGACTATGTGTAGGTTTTAACTAGCTTCACGATGGGTTTTTGTTTTGTTTGTATTAAAGGTCCCATATTATACTCCTTTTCAGCAGCTTCACATAGATCTCAGACGTCCTTGAACAGTCAATTTGAAATTTGTTTTTTAAAATCCCAGTTTTTTCCTGGACTTCAGTCAGCCTGAAAACTCTCTCTAGTAAACTCTACCGAGAGCACGCTGTTTCTGTGTGCTGTGCCTGTCCACGCCTCCTTCTGCGCAAGCCACGCCCCTCCCTGTCTCTCTGGCAGAGGGGGGGCGTGGCTTGTGCTACAGTACCATGCGCTAATGTTTACACAGAGTGCTCGGTACGACTCGTAGAAGCGCTGTGGTCCAGCCGTACCAGTTTGATCCAGAGTCTGACCCGGAAGGAGGGGCTCCTGGAGAAATTCATTGTTTCGAGTCCCAACCGATGCTGCGTCCGAACTGCCCGCTCGGATACTACATGCTACTGCTACGTGCTACTGCTAGATCCTACTCCTACATACTAAACACGTTTGCCCAATTCGGACACACTAGACGAGCGACGGGGAAACACGACCCCCGCAGGCAGAGAGTAGGTACTGCGCCCGTGCAGACAGTGGCTACTGAAGCCCCTCATCTGCGGGCCTGGCTGTAGTACTGCAGCTGTGCAGTTTAATGATGGAATAAGTGAGCTTTACCTCCATGATGTCGCCACATATTTGCTCATAAAATGATTACTTGGGCAAATATGACACCATGACATGACAAAGAGATACAACCGCACATTTTTTAGGACAGTGTGTGAAGTTACATGAAACTTACATCTGTACTGCTGCGGTCCCGCGACATGGTGCGCGCTGCTGTGGCCAGCCGGCGTTCGCGACACATTTAAATAGGCAGAGCAGCTGGTGGCGCTAGCATCACATGCGCTTCTACAACTTTTAAGAGGACGAAGAAGAAGCCCGCGGTGCATTTTGGGTCAGTAGCATGCCCGTAGGATGCACCGAGACCAACATAGACATAATAAAAGGGTAGACCCCGCTGGGGGTGCTGCGCAGCGAGAAATGCGGCCGCCATCTTGGTCAGGTCAAGTTTCCCATACGCTCCGGTCAATCATATTCATTCATTCATTCATTCAGCGATGCCGGAGCACTGTACGGCGTATTCCTGTGCCAACAGGCGGACAGCAGAGAACAGGGCTCAAGGAATAACTTTTCACAGTTATGATTAAACGTTTTTTCAACATTACACTTGACTGTAGAGTCATTTGTAGGCCAAAGAGGAAGACTATCGGTCAACTCCAAAAAGGAAACAGCATTTGCGAACAGCTATCTTATTCACAATAATAGCAACTTTGCTCTATTATCAACAGATTTGCATTAGATTGAAAAACTTTTGTTTGAGAGAGGTTCTAAGAAACGTTAAGAAATAAAATAGAAAGAAGAAGGAAGAAAGTGAGCTCTGTTTTATTAAAGATTTCTTTGTGGTGATCTCCTGTTTCATTTTGAAGATTTCCTAAGGACAAAAACTTGAGGAAGAAGTGGGAGATTGCTGTTAGAGGGAGAAATTCGCAGCAAGTGATTCCTCTGTGCTGTGTAGCCAACAAGCAAATTGATATGTAGTTTAGATGCTGTCCTGTCATGCTGTTCTTGTGTTTACATTTTTTTGATATGTAGGCTATATATTTGTGTGTATTTCTTTGTGTGTATTTTCCAGTTATTAAAATAGTGCTTCTATATGACATTATTTGTGTGTGTCTACAAATGGATAAATAAAATTAAACTAAATAAAATATAATCAAATCAATATATATTGAATCGGCCTATTAAAACCGCCAGTTATTAATAATTATTGAGACATAGCAGGAACCTAGCTCTAAACCTAGATATATCCTTGATTAATTGTTATACTATAATACAGCCACTGCTGCCATGTTCTAAAATATCATTTTATTCATTCTGAGTATTTGAAAACGCCAAAAAAAAATATAGCCTCTATTATGCCTCTTTGAATGGCGTTTGCAGAGAAGAAAATTACGTAGTATTGAGCGAACTATGATTCATTTAATGCGCTCAGACTTCATTCCGCCGGTTAAACAGCGGTGCAGAGTGAGGCGGATGACCGGACCAAGATGGCGGCCGCATTTCTCGACAGCGCCCATTCGTGGTAGCGGCCGATGCGGGGTCTATCTTTCATTATGTCTATGGAGACCAACCTACAATGTGGGCGTGTCTAGCATCTGAAGTAGTATCTGAAGTAGCATGCTACTCGCTCCGGTGGCCAATTCGGACATGCTAGATACTACTTCGACTACTACTTCGACTACTACTTGGCAATTCGGACGCAGCTCAAGTCCTTACCGTTTCAACACTTGGAAACAGGCGGGCAATACTAGCGAGCGATTTATGTTCAGTCCTCCCGGTGTTGTTGTTATGAAGGCGGCTGGAGTTTGAGACAGTGTTGCCAAGTTTCGTGAGAGAAATAAGGAAACAGACCTCCAGAAACAAGCCAAAAACAAGCAAATTCTTTTTTGCGGGAAATAAGCAGACTTGGCAACACAACACGGTGCTACCAACGGCCGTAATTCCTGACTATTCGTTGATGCGACACTTTTTAAAGAGTTTTGGCTTGCTGTAAGGTATTAAGTGACTTGAAAAGACTTGATTTTTCAAGTCACTGGGCTCAAGTCAAGTCAAGTCTCAAGTCTTTAGCAATCAAGTCCCAAGCGAGTCCAAGTCAATTAGCAAGTCTTAAGTCATCAAAAACGCGACTCAAGTCCAAGTCGAGTCTCGAGTCGAGTCGTCAGGCCCCCACCTCTGATTTCCAGAAACTGTATTTTGAATATATATATATATATATATATATATATATATATATATATATATATATATATATATTTTAATATAATTGAGAACTGTGGATAACATTAAATTATTAAAAGATGAAAAAATCTCTGCCAAGCATTAATGTTTGTTATTTCTTTTATATTTGGACCCTTTGGAGCTTTTGGATGAGAGTCAGTGAGATGTGAGTGAATTCATTTCAAAATAAGAATGCAAAACTTCAGAAGTCAATCCGTTTATTCATCTCCATGTTGAAAGGACACTAAAGGTGAGACAGTGGTGTGTGAAACTGGCTGCAGCCTGAACTTTCTGATCATCCTGCACAAATACTTCTGTTTTTAATTATCACATCATCCCATAATGTAAGAAAACAACATTACAACAACTAGAGAAACCCAAATCAAACCTGATCAATGAGGGGAACACTTGGAAACACATTAGAGGTTAAATATAAAAACAAAGGTATAAATCCTGTTTTGGCACAACTGAAAAACTATCAAAGGAACAAAGTCAAGATGCACTTTAGTGTCTTTTTAAGACTGAAAACACAGAGGAGAAGAAAGCTTGTTCAGTGTCCTCAGTCAGCTCAGCTCTGACATATGATTCATTCAAAGGGACTGACTGATGAAGCTTAAATGTCATGATTCAAACAGAAACTGCAAACTACATATCACAAAAAATAGAAAAAGAAAATTCACCTAAAAAACAGTTTCCTGCTCCTTTGAGGTTATATTCTGAATTTGACAGACGGACCAAATCTTTGCTCCTTAAACTGGCGCTGCGGACTGGGACCCTGAAACGAGGCTGAGTCTACTTACAGAGAAACCAGTCTGTGGATTCATTTATATAGAGGTCAACTTTGAATGCTGCGAAGAAGACAGCATCCTTTGACTGATTATAGCTTCATGAGCATGGTTAAACCAAACCTTTACCGAGGCTTACTTACATTAAGGGCCTGATCGACTAAAGGTTTGCGTGTGCAAAAACTTGTTAAGAGCTTGTGCAACTGTTGGATGTTTGGGAAGACAACATCTGCACACGCCAGTTTCCCTCAAAGAACACGATCTGAAATCTGGGTCAAGGTAAAATTAAAGGGTCATTTCCCTGTTTCCAACCTCTGCATTCAGTAGTGTCCTCCCACAGACGTACTCAAGATATAATCCAATCTCAAAGCACCTGCCGCTCTCTCTCTTTTTCCATAGTCTAGGTCCTGTGAGGAGTCACATTAGGAAAGCCTTACAGATGTTGATGTCTGTTGTCTTGATGAAAGTCTGTTCTGGGTCTCTCCACTCTATGGTGGTCCTTGTTTTTACTAACTGGAGCTGGAGCCTCACTGAGTGTAGAGAGGAAGCCTGAGATAGATGCAGCATGCAGGGCGTTACCTGGGTGAGGGATGTCCATGTGAACTGAAATCAATGGGCAAAGAAGAAGAAGAAGAAGACGTGCAGACAGACTGAACTCAAAGGTTTTTCCTCGTGTGTGTAGTGTGGACTCACGAGAGGTGATTCATTCTCAGGGCGGCCACTTTCCTTTCCTGTGATGCTCAGGGCTGAAGCAAAAACGCTGACGTAGAGTTACACGACTGCCTGGCGTATCTAAAAATACCTAAATGGAGGCACCTGTGTAAGTTTTCATCTTTTCATCACTTTTGTTTATGTAGAGTCAGACTCTTCTAATAACATGACCTGCCATAGTTGTGTTTTATTTGTGTGGGGGTAAAGAAAGAAATACTAATCTACCATTCTACCACTCAGGCTCCATCTTCATGATTGTAATTCAGCCATAGGATCTTTGGATTAATGAATTCAAAGACAATTATAGATCACTTCTTTAAATCTATGTAACTGTAAGGTGAGTTAACTCTCCAACTGGAAGCTGCTGTTTGTCATTGATAAAGTGTTTTGTATTCAGATCTCGATCATTTTAATGAACTACAAGCTGAAAGCTGCTCCCTACCATAGACTCTATATAGAATGGACGTTCTCTGCCACCTTGCTGGGTGAGAACAGCACCCCCTGTTGACTGGTTGCAGTATAGGCCATAAAACCTGCCTCCTCCAGCAAAATAAATGGAACTGTGGACAAACTTTAGAAACTGAATACAAGTCACACAATTTTCCCCCAGTTTGTGATGTTGTGTGGGTTGCAGGAAATGCCGATTTCAGGAAATAGAGGAAATTCCCTGAATTACTCTGAGCAGTTTGGCCTCAAATTCACACTGTGATGAAAGGTGGAGTCACATGGTCCATACTATAAACAGTCTATGCTCCCTACTGAAGATGGCCTGTTTTTTTGTAACACAGTTCTCAAACTGTAACAGTCGGTTGTCATCATATTTGGATTCTGAAAACACATCAGAGAGTAGAGTTTCAAAAGTTAGGTTGAGTTAGCGATTACAGGTGACCTCCATTGATAGTTCCTTAAGTGGAACTAACTGTTGCTATCACTAAGACTACGCATGTGTGTATATATATATATATATATATATATATATATATATATATATATATACAGTATTATACTGTATGAACAGCCTCTGGGTGATGCATTTGGCATAGGTTTCACAGTGACTGTAATACAGACAGAAGAGTCTCAGACCACAACCTCCTGATCAACGTCTTGTTAAAGAAGTGATGTTTCGTTAGCTCAAATAAACCCCTGAACTCAAGCTTTCAAGTGTCTTTTCTTTGTCATTTTTGATTCCAGCACCTGCGCTCTTATTTGGATCTTCATCCTGACAATTTGTTGATAATTTATGTAATGGCTTTTTCAACCCCCCAAAAAGGCTTTTGGCTGGGAGGCTAAACGCTCGCCGGGGCTCTTTCCCTGCGTTTAGGCTGATAGGAAGCAACATGGCCCCTGATTGAAAACATCTCTCTAGAAAGTGTGGGTGATGGTAGTGTGACTGCACTCATGTTTTCCACAGTCTGTAACATCAGCAGCACCTCTCTGTGGATGCAAAATGAGTTTAAGTTTAAACTTAACATTTTCCAGTTTCATTACAGTCAGTTATCTAAGAATCCATTTGTGTCCATGACCAGAATTAAGACATTAAAGCAGCATTTGGGCTTCCTGAGCATGACATCCAAGAAAAGAAAACAAAAATGTCCACTTTGTGAATTTACTGAATTTTTTTAACATCCATGGAGGTGAAGTCTGCATTTTTCTTTTCATGATTTAAGCAAGAAAAAAGTTTTACTAAACTTTTCTACAACTAACAGAGATGTGTCATGTTTGGGGACAAGATGCTGAAACCGGTGTTTTTTTATGACCTTTTTACCCTGTTTCCATAGAAACATCTCAGAGGGTTTGTTTTTATAGTTTCCCTACACTCATCATATACAAAGATAAGTTGAAAACTTGAAAAAGACATAAAAAATTGACTGTATCTGTACAAAATCCTCTTTTTTGTAGTTGTACCTCTTTTTTAAACAGAAGTAGCACCTGTGTGCTTTTTCATATGCACTTTATAATGTCACTTTTAGGGTGGAAATCATTTTGACCCACCCAGTAAAAATATCTGTATATACTCCAACTGCAGGCATTTATAATAATTTCATCATCCTTTTAACAATAACAGGCCGTTGTGTATTTTGATCCCAGAGTTTGGTTTAGCTGATGGTCCTGGATTCTTTCCTTTCAAAGGTGGAACCACATCAGTCCTTTTATACAAACTGTCAGACCCCCAAGACCACATCCACATCCAGATCAAGGTTTAACCTGAAAGGCTTTGAGGAGGAGGAGGAGGAAAAGGAGGATGGACAAGAGGGAGGAAGAAGGACTGGAAGAAGAAGAGGAGTCGTTTGTGTTCTTAGTGGAACCGATGGACGACGAATCTTGTATCCTTGGGGTCGCCGATTTCAATCTGGAGCAAAAATTGAGAGAGAGAGAGAAAGAGAAAGGGATGTCAGGACAGTTTCAGGAAAGTTCTGAGTTTAGAAGAATCAAAATTTCAGGTTTCAGGAAGAAAAGGAAACATTCATTCAGACTCTGAAAGCGTACAGGGAACATGTTGTTCAAGTGGACTGAGTTATTGTGCTCATCTGACTGAAACTGGATTTTTATAAAACTGTGTTCTCAGCATGCTTCACAACTGGACGAACTGGACAGCATCAATGTGTTCCTCGTAGTAAATCACATTATGACTGAAAGAGAAGGAGTGGGATAAAAGGCTGAGCTGGAGGTCCAGAGCTGAGAAATCATCTGTTTTTTTTATGATGTTTTTGTTTTCAACATCCAACCAATCAGCGTATTGATAACGTGTTTGTTGATTGTTTTGGTACATGATGGAAAAGGTTCAGCTCTTACTCTCTCCACACACCAAGCGCGAGTTAAATCACATGTGTGACTGAATTACATGTTAAGCCGATACAAAGATGCGATTAGATGCTCGTACCGTGAATGACGCGAATTGGGCGGGAGCTGAATTTTTCAACTTGAGCGGATATTTTCGTGTCACGATAACCAATCAGCACGAAGGTTGCTGGGTGAAAACAGATGATTGTTCACTGGTATCTAAAATGGAGGACAAACTGATTGTGTCTGTGTGGGTGCCCCGTATTATATGACACCTTTTCTTTCAATCACCGAAACTAGAATAAAAAGAAACTCACCTGAAGGCAAGTAAGTGGGGAGGTCGGATTATCTGGTAAATTGTAAGAAACCTTTGTCTGTCACTTGATCCCAGGGATAAACGTTGAAATTACTCGTAAATGAAGCGAGTAAATACTTTTCATTCACACGTCTAGATTTGCGTGAATTAAGCTAGTAGATGATTTTACATGCGCTTGTTGTGAGCGCCCCATTAGAGTTTTGCCAGTGCTTATCGACAAAGACAGGAGTCCACTACTGCTTACTGAAAACATTCGATTTAGGAGAACACTGCAAATATTTCGATCCAAAATTAAGACCCAAGGAGGAAAAAGTGGGAGAACGATAAGATTGTTAGATGTTCTCCAACAGTAACGGTACATAACAGAATAATCCAGTTAGATAGTGAACACATCTACAAACTAGAAGAGCACCCGGAGAGCGGGTTCTGGTTGTGAGGCGACAGTGCTAGCCACTACACTACACCACTCTGCCGCTCATTGTTTACCTTTCAGCATTGAAAATTCCAACGACACCCTTATTTTTGTGTGTTCTGGATCACAGTATCCACCAAAATTTAATGGGATCCTCCTGGGGCTGAGACGCACCTCTGGTGAAAATTTCAGGTCAATCCGTCTGTTACTTTCTCCCTAAAGTTGCTGACAGACAAACAAACCAACGCTCCCCAAAACATAACCTCCTTGGCGGAGGTAAAAAGCACAACAGCGTAAATCAGAGAAAACATGAAGATATTTGACAACTGAAGAGCAGAACGAGCCCTTTATTCTCCTCTTATCAACACTGAGTCAAAGTGCAAATAAAACATGAGTTTATCCATTTCCATCACATCTGAATTTGAGAACTGGTGGGCAGACCCACCCAGGTGCAGCATTGAAGAGGCACACACCGCTTTAACAGCCAGCATGTGAGACGCTACTGAACAAGTGGGCGTGTGTTTTTGGACATTTTAGAGTAGATAATATTCAGTGTATTTAACACGGGGGTTCATCACATTATCAGACTCTATGACATACTGATCCATTCAACTGACCCTTTTTACCAGAAGAGCATCCTTTCTAATACAGAGAAAATCACATCTCCCAGAATTTCATTTAAACATCAAAACATTTTGATGAACTTCTGTCAGTCCAGCTGCACTCTTATTTCTGAAAACACTCCACCTGATCATTTTTATTATTATTATTATTATTATTATTATTGTTATTATTATTATTATTATTATTAGTATGTGATTGCAGGCAGTCATCTCTCCCTCTCCTGCTGCAGATTGAAGTGAGCGCAGCAGCAGGAGGGCTCTGACATATGAGTCAGCGCCAGTCAGTGAGATGTGGAAAATTAAAAGGACCAAAACAAACATAAATAAACTTACAAATGCAATAAGCTTGAAAGGTCACACTGTAATACATTTCCCCTCACTTCTCCTCTCTCCTTATACGACTCTGTCTTTTCATGCAGGATTATCCTGGAGAGATTTCAGCTCTGTGTGCTTCTGCCAGATGGATAAGAGGAGAGTTTGTTTTCTAGTTTCTTGATATATTACTACGATATGACATAATGTAGAAGTAAATAGATAAATCAGGTAGATGCTTGCTTGACTACTTCTCCCTAACGACAGTGTGTACACCCTGTCTGAAAATGTTTTGGTGCTTTATCACTGAAGTATTAAAAAAAAATCTTAGTACTATTCTCAGACATGACACATGCATGTTCTTTTCCTGTGGCACTTTGAGCGGCTGTTTAAAACACACCCTAACCTAAAAATGAGTAACAGTTATCTCTTGAGGGGGTGTCTAACTCGGTGTTACGGTACGTTTGACCATAACTTAAATTTACACCGGAATATCCCTTTAAATCAGACAAACAGAAATGTGTATCTTTACTGTAAGGGTTTCGCTAATATTTTTCTTTTCTTCCTCGAAAGCCTTCAGTCTGTGACTGATTGGACTACATGCAGGGAAGTCATGCTGCAGACCAGGATCAACACATCATACAAGGTTAAAAAAACTCATTAATCTTACTCCATCTATCCGAAGAGAGGAGCCGAGATGAAGCTGCAAGGAGGAGAGAGAGTTGTGCAACCATTATCATTTCTGCTTAACCATCTTGGGCATTTGATGACTAAAATTATGTCAAACTAACATGCAAAAATATAAAAACTTAGGCTATATCAGTGCACTGCACAAAAGTAAAGTCAACTTGTGCAACATAAACCCCAAAAGCTGATCAGTGCAGGCGGAGTCAAATTATGTGATGCAATTCATACAAAATCAAACTTTACAAACAGAGCAAGCGTCTTTGGTCTGATCTAATCTGCATGGTAGGGCTAACTCGGTCTGTAATGGTTGATAGCTCATCTCAGAGCTGCACGATCTTGGCCAAAAATGAAATCCCAAATTCTTTCTCTGAAAACTTGATTTTCGATTTTGTTTTGTATTCACCAAACTTCACTCTAATAATAAGTTTTTAATCATCTCCAAAAACAAAACCATTGAAAACAATAAAGTGCATATGCCAAGCCAGTGAGTGGCGCTGTAACACTGCCAAGGAAATGCATCAACGACAGAAGAAGAGTACAGCATGCGTGTTCAGGTTGGTTCAGCCAGACATGCACAGGTGCCATCAAAGAGTTAAACTGTGTGTCACATAATCATTCAAGAGATGCAGACAGGCGTCCACACGGAGCTGAAATGGTAGTTGTTTATGGATTTATGCATTCTCATGCCCGTTTCCAAAAAGTACCGTTTACAGTCACCATAAATGCTGTTTCCATGTGGATAAAATGCAAATACAACAAAAAAATACTATTTAGTAGCAGCACAAGCCCCTTATAATAACCCCTTTAAAAACTGTTGTTCAGGACTGCTTACTTGTGCTTCCTTCCCATTCGGCTACTGTAATAACTGTTGCTCTAGCCTACAAGCAACATTTTTGTTCTCATTCATGAAACGCTTACATCTGGGACATTTTTGTGGACAGCTTTAGCCGGGGACAGGTCACCCAATCCGGAGATGTCTCGTCACCTTAGTCTCCTCCTGAATTAGTTTCTTAGTGGACAGATTGATACCGCCTTTAAACAGATTTAACAGTGGGAAGTTGTTTGCTCTTCATCCGAAACTGTGAAGCCGTACCAATTCCACACGACTGACTTGCTCTTGCCTATTTAGCCACAAAATTATTGCCTCCTTTTGCAAACGCCATGTTTGTTCACACTCCCGCAGGAGAGGCAGGTGCAAGACATTATAGAAGGGAAAATTGATTTAATAATTTGAATATTTTAACATCCCTATAATCAAATAATCCGATTACAATTCAAAATTGATTAATCGTGCAGCCCTTGCTCAGCTTCTGCACATTCCTGCTCAGTGTATACGGCATGAAAATAAGTCCAGAGTTCAGACATGCTTAAAGCCGTGCTTCATTCTCACTGTAACTGGTATGCATTAAAAAAAGAACAGACACATTTCTGTAACAGGAAACTGAACCCAAAGGCAACATAAGCAGGAGAAACCGAAGCATCACCGTGGACAGGCCAAGACAGACAAGAGGACAGCCTTCAGTCTGTGACTGACTGGACTCTGTGAGGGGATCATGCTGCAGACCAGGATCAACACATCACACAGGGTTTAAAAAGACTCAATGATCTTACTCCGTCCATCCGAAGAGAGGAGCCGAGATGGAGCTGAAAGGAGGAGAGAGTTTGATAATTATCACCAGAGATGTGTTTATATCACTTTATATGGTTTTTCTACGAAAGAGGGTTACGGCCACAAGAGGAGAAAAAAGTAATTACAGGAGGGAGAATTTTATAATTTCCATTTCGAGATTAAAGTCTAATTTGGACATTACAAAATGTGAAAATGTCGTGAGTTTTGTCAAAATTTTGAGATTAAAAAAATTCAAATTTTATGATTAAAGTCGAAATTTTAAGTCAAAATTTCGACTTTAATCTTGAAATTTCGACTTCATCTCAATTTTTAATTTTTCTTATCCCGAAATTTTTACGTTTTACCGCATTTCTTTCCACCGTATCGCATGCACCCAATGTGTTTTTTCTTAAAGAATGTAATTCATACAATCCGAAAGCTTCAAATATAATGAAGGCATGTTTTTTTTGTTTTTTTGTTTCATGTAAAATCTCGTAAAAACATCGCTGCAATATAAGCGTCCTCGTTCTGTCTCTTGTAGGTCTCTAACAGGAAGAGGTAGTTTTCCTGCTGCTGGTGCCTAAAACTGTGTATTTTTCATGCAGTGCAGTGTCGAGCTGCTAACAACACATTAATGTTTGCTGTTTGTAATTAAGCTGATTTGACACACATGCACAGAGAGGCTGCAGGGCCTGGTGTTCACTGCAGACACACTCCTCACAGTAAGTCCTTCCTCGACTTGACGTCCTCACCCAGCTCGCTCCTTTGGGGAAAACATTGTACCTGAGGCTGTTTTCTTCAACATGCAACCACCTTTTGTTTTTGCACAGATTCCTCTTTTTCTTCTACATCCTCTCTTCCCCAGCTCATCAGCTCCGTAGCCCTCAGCTACTTCCCTGTATGGATTTGGTCACTTCAGCAGAGTCTCTAATGTGACGAAGCGTCGTGTCTACATGAGGAGGAGTTCAGGAGATTTATCTGACACCAGGTAGGTCAGCTGAGGGAAGCTGAACTCACTCAACAGAAAGGATTACTGGGATATTTGAAATAACAAAAACTGGCAGTTACACGGAGAATTACTTACATGTGCTGGACCGTGAGACACAAGAGACGAAGATTTGCTGGTAGTTAGTTGGATAGAAATAAAAAGAGACTGACTGATAGAAACAGAGACACTTTAGCTTCCTCCTTCCTTCAATAAGACAACAGATCAAACTCCAGGAAGTGGGGACTATTCAAACCCAGGATGCACAAAAGCAAAGCCAGTGAAGTACCTGAAAACCAGCTCTGTGTCGCAGCAGCAATGTTTAAATTCAATCGTAGCCTCCTGAGTTTCCATCTCTTCAGGTGTTGCACCAGCTAAAATACTTTGAGCATGAATTAGTTTAAATTTTCCTCTTCGATCTGTGTCGTTCTAAATCTGGTGCATCATTCGGAAAGATGGCAGAGTTTTCACTTCATTTCCCTGCTGATGTCTGCTGTCTTTAGATCTTCAGTCTCTGTTTTCTCACATTTCTTGTTTATTGCCTTTTATGTCTCTGTTTTGACATAAATATCGTTATCATGATTAATTATCTTCAACACTTGCTGAGATGAACATAAGGACATATCATGAGAAAACTGAGGTCGCTTTCACAACGGAGCTGTTTGGTCGGCTTTAAACGGACCAGAGTTCGTTTCCTCGGATAGTCCACTTCGTTTGGGACCATGGGTGATTGGACCGTGTGTCTTCATCAGATGGTTAAATTAAAGTCTGAGGAGGTTCCCGTACACAGGCTGCATCTTATCTTGGTGTATCAGTGAGTGTGTGGTGAGTGTTGCCTGACAGCCTCACTACCTCTGCCTTTATTCTCTCACACACATGCAACACATGCATTATGTAGCGCTGGATATGCATGTTGTTAATGTGGTGAAGTACAAGCTAACATCTCAAGTCATCCATATGTAGAGTTAAGTGCTCCTTTGTAATAAGTGTCTCTAATAATTTTTGCAACAAAGAATTCGACATTATGAGGATCCTTCTTCATTTGACCCTCTGCTTTTCCTTCACATCACACACCGTTAACCATGAGACAACACAATCAAACCACAACAATAAAAACAACTGAGATAGTTTGAACTTACCCTGGACACGGCGAAATCTGTGAAGAAGACAAAGAGAATAAGATCAGCACATTTCTGTTTTAAACACCTTTAAAAAGAGCGAGTTTCCAAGACTTTCACTCCCATGAAGTGTGTGTAGAAAGGACTGAGTAATTTACACCTAAACTCTTTTAAACCAGGTTGTAAAAGTGGTTATTCTGGCTGCTCAAATTGATTTTTTGAATCAGCATGTATCTGTTTTTGGTGCTTCTGCAGGCAGTGGGCACTCAGGAAAGTGGGAACTGCAGTTCTTCGTACTTTAAGCGTCTTTTATCAAAACTGGAGGCTGCTGCTCGGTGCAAACATGAGAACTGTTTATCCAAAACTGTGAAATTCAGTAGATATTTTAGATATGCCTCCGAGTTTAAAGATATTAACACACAAGGAAGAGCAAACCTGTAACTACAGGATACAGTTTTAACAAAACTAGTCTTGAATGTCTCATGCAAGCAGAAAGGCATCTTTTTGTTTAATATTGGCAAAGATGAACAGCAGCCTTGAAAGAGAGGAAAACCAGAGGAGCAGATAGTGACATAAAAGCTGAGATACAAACAGTCCAACAGAGACAGAAATTAACAGACAGAGATGTACACAGTAAGAGGAAACCAGAGCCTCAATCTGACATGTAACCATGGAAACTCCCTCCTCATACTCAGAGGAACTGGGGGAGTTTATTCTTGTCTTCCTCCAGGCTGCTAAACTCGTCGTCGGGTGATGTGTTTTACAACAACACTCACAAAAAAAGAAAAGCTACGACCAACATTTAGTGAAAGTCTGAAATCCATCAGACTCACAGCTGCGGTTTTCTCTCATCACAGCCGGAGTTTGAGGACTGAGGGGGATATACGTTATATTGTTATATTATAAGGGTTTCATGTCTTCATCTATAGTAAAGTCTGTAAAAGGCTGATGTGTGTCAAGTTCTCTGCTCTTTTGACCTTTTTCCCCACTTGAGTCAATTCTTTCTCTTTCTTTTCCTTTTATTTGACTTTATGGCCACGAGCAGAAAAACCTTAAACATAAACATAAACATAATCAAAAGTTCAATGAAACGTAACCATGCTCCAATTAATCGACATAACAATACATGTCATAAACCCTTTAATCCCAAACTACCAGAAAATTCATCTTAAAGACGTGCAAAATCCATATTCAACCAAAAGTAACAAACATTTTAAAGCACCACAATGATGAATTTAACCTGCAGTCTTAACAGCTTTTAACTTCTATAAACACATCACATTGCTTTTTAATTAACAATTTTTCAAAAATACACTACACTCTCTTCATTCATTAGTAATTTAAATCCACATGTCCACGTTTTCAGATGAATTGAAGCTGCTGCATGCTGATTTATTCACGTCCCACCCTGGATGATCTGATTGATCATGCATGCAAAGCAACAAATCGATACGTGTCCTTAAATCAAGATGTGTGCACATTTTTCAACATCAATAATTCAGTTCAGTCAGCTTTTTCAAACTTCATCAGGCTTTGGTTTGTTTGTCTTTTCTTAAGTTTGACATGCTGTTAAAAAATGAAGGTTAAAAAAACAAACACAGCCGAGCTCGAATGTGCTGTTTAATGAGGAGTCTTTCAGCTGTATCAGGCTTTAGAGATTTTAGGAGAAATATCTCTACCTGTTACACAGTCTAATGAGATTAGCAGTGTTTTATTTTGTAGTTGTGAGGATTTGCATGACTCAAAGGGTTGTTGGCTCACTTTTTCGACCTGATTACTACTTAAGTTTAGACATGCTTAACGTTTTTAATAGTTTCCATGTTAAGCACAACATAAACTTTCTCTTATTTCACTAAGCCTGCAAATCCCTGCAAAATCTTGCAGAACAAATTATATTTATGCAGGAGAAAATCCCCATTAACTCAGGAGACTTAAGAAATCAGTGACAGAGACAGCCTGCAGCTCCTGCACTTAAATACAGTAAAGGTCGTATGAGATACAATATTGGTACTAAAGTTTATCATGTTCATTTTCAACAATTCCACAATAAAGCTGAACTGTAAGTCTACTTCCTCATTATGCATGGTAAACTCAAATCTGTCTCTCTTAAAGGAGGCAAAAAGGAGGCGTTTCAGATGAGACTTGTTGAGCTATGTTCTTTTTGCTTTTAGGTGATAATATCTGGACTTGTTCACATATCAGCTGAGCGGTTTGCTCAGTGTTGGTGGGTATCTAGACTTCTGTGGAACCACAAACAAAAGTAAACAAAAGAACCTCTGTGTTTCTCATCCAGCAAAGCTCCTGGGTAGCTCCATCTACAGATGGCTGGTGTAGACAGAAAGCACAGTGCAATATTTTGTAGCAATATATATATATATTTGTTTCCATGTCTCACCTTTGTTTTCCACTCTCTGCTCCTCCTGCAGGAAGTCACCCTGTCGGTTGCCGAGCACAAAGGCCAGGAAGGAGAGAATGAGAGCATCAAGGATACCGACGATAGCCAGGATATAGGCCCAGCGCACCGAGCAGTTTCCCAGGGTGTACCTCCCTGTGTCCTCCCCACACATGTCCCGGATGATCTCTGCGTCCCAGCCATTTGGAAAGATAATACAGCCGAGCACCAGGGACACAGCTGGAGGGAAGAGAAAGAAAAGGATGAAATACTGAAATACTGTTATTGTATAGTGAACTAGAAAAGCACTCGGAGAGCGCAGACCTCCACCAAGCAGCTCATGTCCCCCCTTATATTGTGATTCACACCAAAACTTTTACTGTTACGTGTCTTTTATTAACTTTTATTTGTGTTTAAACTGGTATGTTCACTGTTCATAATGTTCCTAAAACAAGAAATGCCCTGACAAGGATTCAAACCCAGGACCTTCTGATTGTGAGGGGACAGTGCTAACCACTACACCACTGTGCTTCCTATCTACACCACTCTGCCGCCCAACAACATCCTTATTTTTGTGTGTTCTGGATCACAGTATCCAGAATTTTGTCCGGATCACCACTAAAATTTAATGGGATCCTCCTGGGGCTGAGACGTACCTCTGGTGAAAATTTCAGGTCAATCCGTCGGTTACTTTCTCCGTAAAGTTGCTAACAGACAAACAAACAAACAAACCAACGCTACTGAAAACATAACCTCCTTGGCGGAGGTAAATATTGATGTTTAGTGAAATATTGTAGTTGTCTGGTGAAATGCTGCTTTATTAAATACTGTTGTTGTTTAGTGAAATATTGCTCTTTTATGCAATGTTTTTGTTTTATAAAATATTGGTTACAATTGAAAAATATTGTTGTTTTGTAAAAATGTTATTGTGTTGTTAAAACATACTCTCATGTTGTACAGGATTGTTTTTTGTTTGGAACATTGATGTTATGTCTAAAACTGTTTGTGCCGATGATCCTCAGGGTTCATTATGTTGCCTCAGATTTCAAACCAAATTGATCAAAACACACAAGAATAATTTGTAAAACATTTATGGTGAGGATGCTGATATGCTATTTTCTCATATTTCTTTCTTTTTGTCTTTCACTCCATCCCAACTTCTTGGCCCGTCCTGTTGCAGCAGAGTCTGGTTCTGCTCAAGGTTTCTGCCCAAATGTTGGTGTTTTCTTATGGTGATCTTCAGTTTGGCTGCAATGGAGGCTATATCAAAGCGTACTATTGGAGACCTAGACCGGAATCCCTCTCTGATGCCTGAGGATGGAGCTGCAGACAAAGAGAACTTGGTTTTTAACAGAGAAAAGGACCGAAGATGGAAAGATGTTATCTAAAAATTCAAACTAAGGTCAGCAACACCCAACGATACAAAACTGCTTGTTTGTTTGTGCTTCATGCCTCTGGGTACACTTTTGTTTGTAAATGGATTTCACACCACGGAAAACTTGTGCTTTCAAAATATAAATGTTAAGCTGACAAGTCTGTGGGGATTGTTGGCAGCCAGCTCACTCCCATAAGGCCCGAGTGTTCCCCTGGTGTGTGCAGGGTCCAGCTGAGGACAGACTGGCCTTGACAGATGGGTCCCTGAATGCCTCATTTACTAGATCACTGCGTACACGGACCAAATTAGACCTAGCTGATGTTGAGGTTCAGTGTGCACAGAGATGTAAAGGACTGAAGAGTTCAGCTGAGTCTCAGCTAGTGAGCCTGGAGTCTAAGGAGTCTCTCTCTCTCTCTCTCTCTCTCTCTCTCTCTCTCTCTCTCTCTCTCTCTCTCTCTCTCTCTCTCTCTCTCTCATAGCCCATGCACATGAGCAAGAGGGCCAGGAGCAAAAGCAGCCCAAGCCTCATTGCAATAATTCTGTGAAATTCATGTTTCATTTCAATATGTTTCATCGCTTCCCTGAGTGCAAACTTTTCAACAATGCATGCATTAGAAACTGGCTTTGTATACAGACATAAACACTGATTTATTTTAAAACAAATGCTGAACTTTATTAACTTCAAATTAGCACGTAACATGTGGTCAATAACAAAAATCTCACCTTTAACCTACCGCTTTATCATCATATTCTATCAAACGAGATTACAGAGTAGAAAGGACACAGGAACACCATCACCCGCTGATGACTGACTATATATTATCATTATTATTATTATTATATTATGGTTTGTTGTGACAAAGACATTTATTGAATTAAAAATGTCAACAGAAAACCATGTGACTGTTTTGCAGCAGATAGTGTTTGCAGTTGGTTGAAAGCCCTTTGCATCTCATAGACCCACTGAGCATTTTTTGGTCTATAAGAGGTCTAATAGACGTCTAAATGTAGTCTAGATGACGGTCTATAATCAAGCTACCACAGGGTTTTAAAAGAAAGTTTTCAAACGTCTAAATTTAGACCAAGTTTAGACTAGCCAGCTAACAGAGGTCTACCAGTATATCGCTCAACGGCTATCATAATTATTTTGGTTTAGTACTTGGAGATCAGTTATGCAACTCACAGTTGCTTTTTGAAATGCAACGTCTTAATTCCGTCTACAGATATGCAGAATCTAGACGGTTGAAATTAGGTCCAAAAAATAACTAGACGTCTAATAGCCGTCTATTGCTTAGTGGGATAGATGCTATCTTTGTGTTTGAATTACATATTACAAACCGTGAGAGAGAGAGAGAGAGAGAGAGAGAGAGAGAGAGAGATTTATATGTGTTGTATTTTAATATGTGTGGATATCAGGATCAAACAGTGGAAGTCTGTCTGTGATCTGTGAGGTTTATATGAGGTGAATAAATGTTGATGCATTCAGAAAAATGTTGGTCAGTTGATCTTCAGGACCGCTGCTGCAGCTTTAAGAACCTCTGCTGGTTGGAGTTTGAGAGTCTAAAGTTCACATCACCGCTCCCTTCCTGACATGTTGAAAAACTGCATTTTTTCTCCCTCGTCTCTCACACAGAACACTCCACTCTGCACACTCACTTCCTTGTTCCCTCCCCTTCAGATCTACAGTCTGAGCATGGCTGTAACCAGCGTGTCCTGAACTGATCCTGCTGACACACACATGTTGTTGAGATCAGAGCTCAGACTAGTTTCACTTCTGAGGAAATGAAACTCAGTCCGTCGTCGACAGCGAGTTGAAATGGCGCAGAAAGGAGTTCAGCTGGACCGTGAGTCTTTCTCTTGTTCCATCTGTTTGGATCTACTGAAAGATCCGGTGGCTGTCACCTGTGGACACAGCTTCTGCATGAGCTGTATTCAATCCTACTGGGATACTGAGGATGAGAAGAAGATCTACAGCTGTCCTCAGTGCAGACGGACCTTCACACCGAGGCCTGTCCTGATGAAAAACACCATGTTAGCAGTTTTAGTGGAGGAAGTGAAGAAGAGCGGACTCCAAGCTGCTCCTGATGGTTCCTCTGAGGCTGGACCTGAAGATGTGGCCTGTGACGTCTGCAGTGGGAGAAAACTGAAAGCCGTCAAGTCCTGTCTGCAATGTCTGGTTTCTTACTGCCAGATTCACCTCCAGCCTCATTTTGAAGTAGTTCAGTTTAAGAAACACAAGCTGGTGGAGCCCTCCAAGAAGCTCCAGGAGAACATCTGCACTCGACATGATGAGGTGATGAAGATCTTCTGCCGCACTGATCAGCAGTCTATCTGTTATCTCTGCTCTGTGGACCAACACAAAGGTCACGACACAGTCTCAGCTGCAGCAGAAAGAGCTGAGAGGCAGAAAGATCTGGAGGAGAGTCGAGGAAACATCCAGCAGAGAATCCAGGACAGAGAAGAAGATGTGAAGCTGCTCCAACAGGAGGTGGAGGCTATCAACGGCTCTGCTGATAAAGCTGCGGAGCACAGCCAGGAGATCTTCATCCAGCTGATCCGTCTGATGGAGAAACGCCGCTCTGACGTGGAGCAGCAGGTCAGATCCCAGCAGGAACGTGAAGTGAGTCGAGTCAAAGAGCTTCAGGAGAAACTGGAGCAGGAGATCACTGAGCTGAAGAGGAAAGACGCTGATCTGCAGAAGCTCTCACACATAGAGGACCACAACCAGTTTCTGCACAGCTACCCCTCACTGTCAGGACCGGGTCAACCTGCAGACTCATCCAGGATCAACATCCGTCCTCTTAGATTCTTTGAGGAGGTGACAGCAGCTGTGTCAGAGGTCAGAGAGAAACTCCAGGATCTTCTGTCAGAGACCTGGACAAACGTCTCACAGGCAGTGACTGAAGTGGATTTTTTACTGTCACCAGAACCAGAACCCAAGACCAGAGCTGGTTTCTTAAGTCGTTCACAAAGAATCACACTGGACCCAAACACAGCACACAGGCGGCTGTTATTATCTGATGGAAACAGAAGAGCAACATTTACAAAACAACTTCAGTCTTATCCTGATCACCCAGACAGATTCACTGATTGGACTCAGGTCCTGAGTACAGAGAGTCTGACTGGACGCTGTTACTGGGAGGTGGAGCGTAGAGGGGGTGGGGTTTTTGTAGCAGTCGCATACAAGACTATCAGCAGAGCAGGGACGTCAAAGGATTGTAGATTTGGATACAGTGACAAATCTTGGAGGTTAGACTGTTTTAATGACAGATATGACTTTGTGCACAACAAAGTCCGCATTCGTGTCTCAGGTCCTCCATCCTCCAGAGTAGGAGTGTACCTGGATCACAGAGCAGGTATTCTGTCCTTCTACAGCGTCTCTGAAACCATGACTCTCCTCCACAGAGTCCAGACCACATTCACTGAACCGCTACATGCTGGACTGTGGTTTGGCTACAGTTATGGAGACTCTGCTGAGTTTACTGAACTGAAGTAAACACAACTTTGAGTCAATCAGACCAAAAACATGTAATAAGATCATTGCACTCTTGAAATGTTCTGGTTTGTAAATGTTTGTGGATCAGTCTCACCAAAAACTCTCGGTTTAGTTCTAGATTTCAGCTTTTTTTTCTTCTTTTCTAAAGAGGCTGATTTGGTCGCAGCTTTAAGGACAGAGATTGTGGATAACTTTCATCGTTTACATTTCTCATTTTGAAAAATCTTCACAAAAGTTTGATAAAAACAACAACAAGATGATTGTTTGTTCAAATCACCTTCGGTTGGTGCAGATGTTGAAGGTCTGAGACTTTAGAAAAAAGTGACGTCAAACTAATGATAGAAAGATGAAAAAGCATAACTTAATTTCCTGTCCCAAATCAAACCGTCTAAAGTCTTTCCAAAAACACTTCAAATTATCTGTGCCTCCTCTGTTTGCTGAATATTTGTATTTATGTCATCGATGGATATATCTGTCTGCTTCTGCTGGATCAGTGTGTTTGTAAAGACATCTATAACGATACTTTTGGCTGATCAACATGTTATTATGAGCTTTTCAATCACTCTAGTAATAATCACATTCATTTGTCAGACTGTTTTTATGTTTCCAATAGCCTACCATTATCACTGTAGGCTCATGTGCACACTAGTAAGATATTCATTGAGCAATAAAGCGGTTTATTATTTTTGTCTGGTAAAATGAAGATACAAATAAAAGGTCAAACTATACAGCAAGTAAAAGCGGTGAAGCTTCTTGGACTTTGGCTTGATTGCACATCGTCATGGTCTGATCACATCGACAAAGTTGTTGCCAAAATGGGTAGAGCTGTTGCCATAACGCGTAAATGTGCACCGTTTCTCAATTCACAGTTGTTTTGTTGTGTTGTTTGTACATTGGTTTTATGTCATTTAGACTACTGTTCAGTTGTATGGTCTGCTCAAGTCTCAAGTCGCTCAAAACAAGGCTGCAAGACTGGTTCTTGGTTGTTCTTCAAGAACTAGTGCTGCAGAAATGCATGATCCTCTTGCTTGGCTGATGGTCAAGCATAGACTATCTGCTAATATATTAATATACTTTCATAGAATCATGAACACTCAGACTCCTAAATTTCTTTATGATAATATAATTAACTGCTCAAATACGCGTTCACATTACACTAGAGGGGCGAAGACTTTACCCCTACCTAAGTCTGACTCTATGAAGAGGACTGTTTTTTAAAGGTCAACTGTGTTTTGGAACAATCTTCCAGTTGTGGTTCGTGAAATTATGGGAAAAACTGGTTTTAAAAAGAGACTAAGAATGTATTTCTTTTCAACATCATAATATCATCTTGATTATTTGATTGAGCGAGGTTTTGTCATGTAACAAAAATGAAGGATATGTTGCTTTTCCTTAATTTATTGTTTTTATTTGAAGTATTTTCAGTGTGATTGTAATCTTTGTGTCTTGTATGTATTGTGTGGACACCAGGAAGACTAGCTGTTGTCTTGGCGTCAGCTAATGGGAACCTTTTAAATAAACAAATAAACAAATAAACATTGTAGTGCAGTGCTGTGCTCGAAAGCTATCGTCAATGCTCAGTAAACTCATGTTGTAACCAAAGCCAATAAATAATCTTGTTAAATAACTGTGACCTCAATATCAATCAAAAATAATTATGATTATGATTTTTGTCAGATAGAAAAAAACAGAGAGAGAGAGAGAGAGAGAGAGAGAGAGAGAGAGAGATCTAGGTGGTGAGAACATAGAAAAACAATTAGCTAAAAAAGAAAATAAAAAGATGTCTAGATATCACATCTGAAATATCTCACTTCACAAAATCTAAATTGAGTAATTTCTTATGACCTGATTATTCTATGTTGATGTAAACAATAATACCACACTTGAATTAACCATAATTCTTTGGGATGGAAGAACTAGTCATGTTTACAGGGATGTGGAGAACCAGGTTTCTTTGTGTGAATGTAAATTCCATATCTGTAATATGTTGAAAACCATGAGCGCGCTTATAACCAGGGACAGTCCATTCAAACACTGTTTTGTTTTTTATGCCAATGTAAGCTGGTGCACAGATGACCAATGGCACAGAGAGCCAGTCTGTAGCTCGGTTGTATAAGTTTGGTTATGTCATGTCTACAAGTAAACACCGACTCTCTACAGGATATGGGGCTCCATTGGCTCAAACTGGAAATGCTTTGGGGGGTAAGAGGAGGTAGCTTTTCCACAAACTGGACCCAACAATATTAAACAGCCTGCACACCTGTCTCAGATGCATAAGATTAGGGTATCCAAGCTGCTGCTTTTTCACTCTGTGTTGCATATTGCCAAAAGTTGTGGGAGTCTACTCCGAGCATTGTGGCTGACAGGTTTCCAGGATTTTAGAAAATGACCAGCGATGAGTCATTTCAGAAAAGCCCTCTGCTAGAAAATTCTCAAAGCGCTCAAATGCAAATGAGTTTTTCAGCATCTTTAACGACATGAGGAGTAATAAATGATCCCACACCACATGAGAAAAACCAATATAGACACAACATCTTAAAATAGTGGGCACACTAAAAACAAACAGATATGAAGCTCAGAGTCTGGATGCTGTTGGTGAAGGATTTAAAAACCTCTCAGAGTCTTTTTCTTCTTGATTGGATTTCTACAGTGTAGTCCTCTTTTTGCACAAAACTGTGTCGTTTGGTTCATTTTCCTTTCTTCTCGAAGCTTTAAAACAAACATGTCTCAGGTCACACTGAGTCTTTGGCATTTCAGAAACAGAACTTACATTTTGTTCAGACAGACTGTGAGGAGGTGGTGTAAAAGGACTTTAATGAAGCTGTTGATTGGAGGCTGAACATCTCAGCGGAGAACAAACACACTCCCACCATCCCTAACCCAAACACTGTGAAAAAAATCTGCACATTTACAGCCAGCAGCTGTATAAAGTAAATTTTCTTATCTTATCTAGAAACTTAGTACTGTGTTTCACTGATTGTTTTGTTATATTTACAAGTTTTCCAAACATATCGTAATGATATTGTAATCATGATATTTTAAAGACATGATAACCCCGAGGTAAAAACCAGATTTCATGACAGGTGATGAAGTGAGCAATAGAAACTCATTATTTGGTGAAATCAGCTTTGTACATGGAATTAATTCAACACCAGTGAAAAAATCTCTGCAAAGCTTTTGAACCTATGCTAAACATATTTTTAACATCAGCCGTAGACATTTTAAACCTCCTCATCAAACTGCATTTTGCATAATTTATCAAACAACTGCTGAAAGAAGAGCTCATGGCTGACAACGTCTTTCTAAAGCAAAGCCAACTCAGAAAATGAAATCCATCATTTCAGAAGATCATTGGAGACATTTTCTGGATTTATTTCACATTTACAAAGACACTTCCACCCTGAATCATGGCATAAAGACAATAACAGAGGAAATAAAAGCTTTGACACTCTAAGTTTTCTGTTTTATGTCCCCTCTAATGATGAATCAAATATTGTGCTCTAGCTCTGAACCATCATTTCAACCTTTCACACTAAATTAGAAACTCTGAACTCAACATAAGAAGACATTGGCTGAGTTTCCAAGGGTTGCCTTTAAGAACCTCTGTGTATGATAGACCTGTGGAGAATAATTTAAGATGAGGGGTGATGTGTGTCTTATATCGAAAATTAATTTCCCTCAATATCAATATAAAACACGGTCAATATGCTTTTCGATTGTCGGCATTCTGCCATGTTTTGATAGACTATACAAATAGCCAATGAAAAGAGGAGCTGCTCCAGGTCCGCCTCGTGCTGAGCCAATCATGTGCTGAATTAGAACCAAGTAGCAAACAACTGCGTAGTAGCAGGCTGCAGCCATAACACTTTAACACGTGAAGCCGACAGCACTGTCGGTGAGAAAAAAGAGAATGAGCGCTGAATCACGAATAGCGGACAAATACCGTGGAAAAAAATGCCGGCTCTATGTCCAGTAACAAAAGGCACTGAAAGACGCACTCATAATTCATGCAAGGCATTATGGGGCCTGAGAATAAGGTTGATAAAAAGCAAGAAGAGGAAAGAAAAGACAAAGAGGATGGAAGGAAACATGAGCAGGAAGGAGGAGAAGGAGGAGAGGAAACAAAGAAAGCGAGGAGAGTGTAGACTGCAGGATGTAAACAGTTTTGACGAAACTTAAAGACGACCTGACAGAGAGAGAGAGACGCAGAGAGAGGAGTGAGTTATGATGGTGAGGTGATGGAGAGATGCAGGAAAGGAAGAGAGCAGGGTTGCTGTGGCAACTGGCTGGACCTATGAGATGGAGGGGTGGGGATGTAGGGGGGTTGATGAAGCTAAAATACATACTGTATCTGCCTTCAGTTTTCAGACCAGGCTCAGATAGAGCAAAAATGAAGAGATACGAGGACAAGACAGCAGACAGGCAGTGTGGTTTCTGGCATATGGAAATGAAAATGAGTCACATGACTGGGAGAGAGGCCAAGTAACACAACACAGGAGTTTATACACTGCTAAAGCAAATATACCAACAAAGCATAACCCACCAACAAACAAATCCAAAGTGGATCCAAACCCCCTCTTCAGCCAGTGAACACCTGTGGAGTGGAGATTGAAGTGGTGACATCATATAAATATTTAGGTATACATCTGGATAATAAGTTGGACTGGTCTAAGAATATAGACTTCATCTACAGAAAGGGGCAGAGCCGCCTCTTTTGTCTGAGAAGACTCCGATCAATAGACATCTGTAGTAAGATGCTGCAGATGTTTCATCAGTCTGTGGTGTCTACAGTGTTCTGTTCTACGCTGCAGTCTGCTGGGGAGGAAGTATCAAAAACAAAGATGCAAGACGTCTTAACAAACTGGTGAAAAAGGCTGGCTCTGTGGTTGGACTCAAGCTGGACTCAGTGGAGGATGTGGTGGAGAGTAGTGCTGGACGATAATTCGATAACAATATATATCGATCGATAGACGTGTGATGCGATAGAAAAAAAACGGGTCGATAAAAAGTTCGATAGAAAAACACAGTTTCCCTTTCTTTTTCATCATAGCCTATCATGTAGCTTTTACTACAGTCATTACTTCCTCCCAACCAATCACAAACGCAGACCCAGGTACGCTACGGCACCAAGCCCAGCCCCTATCAAACCACAACAGACAGCACATGTATTAGAAAAAATGATACAGCAAGGAGAAGCGGAGGACATTGTCCCGAAAAAAGGTTTCAGTAGTTCACCAGCATGGCAATGTTTTGGTTTTTAGAAGTCTGACAAAAAGCGAACAGCGGTCGTTTGCAAAATTTGCAGAGAATTAGTAAAAACCAAGTCTGGTAACACAACCAGCTTGTTTTACCATCTGAACCGGCAGCACCGGCAGGAGTACTTGCTGTGTCGGCCGCGCCGCGGCTCCACGTCGTCGTCGTCGTCGTCGGAGGAGGAATCCTCTGGAACCGCTGCCAGCACCAGCACAAAGCATGTAAAGCAGACCAAACTGGACTTCGTTTCTTGCCAAAATACGACAAAGCGTCCAAGCGGCATAAGGACTTCACCCATGCAGTAACATGCTCCATAGCGAGGGACATACTGCCAATAACTACCGTTGAAAAGCCTGGCTTCGACCAGCTTCTAGCCACTCTCGACCCGCGATATGAAGTCGGCCGCAAGTATTTCTCAAACACAGCGCTTCAGGCATGAAAATGGGTCAGGGGTTGAGAAGGTGAGAAGGGTGCGGAGGAAATACGTTCCGGTGTTGTGCCGTAGAATGCACCCCTGCATCCCGTCCACTCATTAGCTTCTTAAAGTGGAAGAAAATGAGCTCATATTTTACAAAGACGCAAGTATGTGGATCATGGCTACTAGCAGGGGGTGCATTCGGCAGGGGTGCATTCTACGACACAACACCGGCGTGGATAAGTCCTGCTTCTCGTGCTTAGTTTGTGTATTAAGTCAATCACATGATAATTAAAAATAAATAAATCTCCCGACCCCGGGAGAAATATTTCAGTGTTCAGACACCAGGCTGTGGGCAGTTTCCCACACAGTTAAAACTGGTAGTATGCTATTCCCACCTAAAGCTATTCTGTTTATTTATATATTTGTTTGTTTTGTTTATTTTCATCAAAAGACTTTTAAAATATTTATTTATCAGATTTTCTGGTCACTTTAGTCTTTATGTTTGACAGTTTTTACTGACGTCACTCAGGTCACTTAAGTTGATTTCTTTTTTTTTTTAAGTTCTTTTTTAAAAAACCTTCAGTTGTGGAAAAAAAAAAAGGTGGTTGAATAAAGGTTTGAATTTGAATTCAGTGCTTGTGTGTTCTTTATTAAAAGTAGGTCATTAAGCAATAGCATAAAACATCCAGGGCTGCAATTAAAATATATGTTAAATAATTATAATAATTATATCGATAATTATCGATATCGATCAATATGATTTATTTTTTATCGATATGCTTTTTTTCTATATCGTCCAGGCCTAGTGGAGAGATCTACACTGAGAAAGGTGGAGACTATTCTAAAGAACATGGATCACCCACTTCACAACACCTTGATGGACCAAAGGGCCAATGGTGGTGGACGGCTCCTCTCTCTTCACTGCAGGACAGAAAGATTTAGAAGATCTTTTGTACCAACAGCCATCAGACTTTATAATTCCTCTGTAACTAGTAGATAACTTTTAGAGACACGTCAAGTGAGACAACAGACAGTTGAATTTAAAGTTCTTCTTATTCTTAAATCATGTTGAGCTTCTACGGCCTTATTGACACTTGGAATTATTGGACATCTCTAGGTACAGGTGTGAATATGGACCATCTTACTGTAATATCATGTTTTACTATGAAAACAAAGACCCCCACTGTTACTGTTCATTTTACTGTTTTACTGTTCAATATAACTGAACAGAACTGTGTGGGAAGATGCTAATAATCTGCACCTCAACATCACAAAAGCAGTCAATCAATCAATCAATCAATCAATCAATCAAACTTTATTTATAATAGGGGAGACTGGGGACAGTTGCAACAACGGACGGTTGATACAAGGCTTATTCTTCCAATCAGAAACATGCTAGGTTGATGACACTGATACTGCAGATGTTCAGTTTGACTTTGTTCTATCTGGATAATATTACTCAAATAAAGGTGGATTAGGTTGGGAAAGACAGGTGTTGCTCAGAGGATGCCAATCTGCAGATCATGACAGACTCATCTCTCAATGACTCACTGATGAGGAAAAGAAAGGCCCACAGAGAGGGACCACAACCAACTAGCTGGGGTAACTGTAGACAACTTCACTCGACCTTGTGGCACTTATTCTCAGTATGATCTGTGATCAAATCCAGATGTGGAAAGTTTCAAGCTGTTTGAATCTTACAGCAGTGAGTTAGAGGGTTGTTGTTTTCACCAACACTTTATCCAAGCTGAGATTATATATCATGTGTTCACAGAGTGAGAACAATAGAAATGCCACAAGAACACACCAGTGTTTCTCTGAACACCTTTAAATGTTACAGTCATGGCTGACAACGACAAAAACTGAGAGTTGATATGAGGACTGTGACTGTGAGCATGGCCTTGGAGCGGTTCAGCCTATTACAGATATATCAACGAGCCACAGTGACTGACACGCTCCCTCATTACCATAAACACACAAACACACCCACACACACTGGCTTATTTTGATCCAGTCTGACAGACACCATCCTGCTGCCTCAAATACTCACTAGAGCACCAAATGTGTATAAATCCACCAGCCAAAATAGTCCCCAGCAAAAAAACACATTTGAATTATGAACAGAAATTTATTGGAAACCTTAGACCATGTATATTTGTTACTTTATGAACCAAAGTAAGTAGGTCCTAATAGTGATTGTGTTTTGTCAAAGGTGACTCAAAAAGGTAGGATATCAGTGAGTACTCCATGTAAAGAGGCCATAGTCTTAGTAGCAACAGTCTCAGGTCCAACCCCTGACTATGACCTTTACGGCGGCGGTGGTGTGTAATCGAGACTGGGGTGGGGAGGTTTATCAGACAACAACTCGCTACTGCGCCCCCCTTAATGACTGTTGTTCAGGACTGCGAGCAACATGCTCAGTTGTGCTTCCTACCTACCCGGCTGCTGTGATAATCATTGTTCTGCAACATTTTTTGTCATTCATGAAAAGCTAAAATCAGGGACATTGCTGTGGACAGCTTTAGTTGGGGACAGGTCATCCAAAACAGGGACTGAAAAAGATAATTTAATCAGGGAGGAGGATGAAGCCGTAATATTCATGATGAGACTCTGGATGCTCATAAGACTTTCCATTTGGTTTGAAAAGTACCACTTCTGCTCTTTAAACCTTGAATGACTAATAACTTCAACAACAGCAAAACATTTATCAGCCGTTTTACTCACAGATCTACCCTGAATAAAAACCTGACAGAACATGTCTTATATATGTGTGTGTGTGTGTGTGTGTGGGTATAAGTGATCCATGATAGCCTCACTAATATAAAGGTCATTAAAGGTCAGACACTAATGAGGCAGAGGAGCTTGGAGTCTTCAGGGACACAAGGGAAAAGCAATCTTATGCCGCACTATCGCGCATGGTCATTTGGGATCTATTCTAATTTCTGTTGTCTTTGAGTTACAAAACATGATAATTCAGCCTTGTTAATTTGTGTCAAATAAAAGTTCAAAATGCTCTGAGAAGACCAAAGTTCCCAGAAAAGCCTGTTTACTGTTTAAGTAGACGGTCTCTATGTAATATTTGGATTCAGTGAATCTAGTGAACTGGAGTCTGAGAGGGCAAACAGAGAGAGCAGCTCGCTCATGTATCATCACCAGATTAGAGTACACAGTCAGTGTCACAAATGTCTAAGGTCGCCTAAGAATAAATGCACAGCAAGGACTCATGAGAGCAGAGTGACTTGAGTCTTTTCAGACTTTCTGTCAGAGGGCACAACTCGAGCATATCTGGGACAGAGTTGCAGACCTTAATGTTCACAGGGGCTTGAAACTGCTCTCTAAAAAGCCTCTCCTCAAATGTTCATCTTGGACCATGATTGATATACAGTATGTCTATCTCACCACAAGGCTTCTTCCATGCACCATAAAGCACTAACTAACACACAGTAAGAAGGAACCTTCTAGGAAGTTGTTCTGTTTTATGAAGTTGCCCACGATTGATGGCCGTCAAAGTACTGAAAAAAATGAATAAATAAGTCAATTGAGGTAATTCACATCCATCAGGGTTTCTGAAGAAGTGGACTGGGAGGAAATAAGGAAGTGGAGATTGCCCATAAACATCCATCCATTATCTATGCCACTTATCCTATTCAAAGCTGCCGCGGGCTGGAGCTGATCCAAGCCACTGCTAAGGATGTGGTAGGGTATGATCCAGGCAGGTTAGTAGTAGAGGTGGGGTCTATTATAGGGCAAACATATGGGGAGAGACAAGCCATCAACACAATGTTAAATCAATACAAAGAGGCCTTTGCGATTGTGAGGCCAGGATTTGAGCTAGTAAGCCGCCATAAGGTCACAGCACCAACTATGACTCCACTGTACAGCCTTTTCCAGTGAAGAGGAGGAAAAGTGATGAAAGTCCAGAAATTCCTGCTCTGTTGGGGTAAATATGATGTCCTTTGATGGTACACCCTCACCCTTTAAGTTCTCCTCCTCCTCCTCCTCCTCCTCCTCCTCCTCCTCCTCCTCCTCCTTCTCACAATTATGTACTCCATCTTTGTAGATAATGTTAAGCATGGAAATGATTAGAATTGTAGCCATGCGAGATCACATGATGCAGGTAACTCTTGAGAACAACGGTCATAACCTACATTGCTTCTGTGTGCGTCAATTTTTTCTGAGTGTTCCGAGATGACATGCCAAATAAATACTCTCTGTGATGACGAAGCTGTTTGTGGTTGGTAGAGAGACGTGAAGTCGTTAGTTTGCATCAGGGTTTCAGCTGTGTTAGTTGGTCAGGTCGAGTGGCAATTAGGCGTGCCAAACGCGCTCATAAAATATACATACAAACATACATATGCTGATTCAGATAGTTGCACTGAATATTGGCTGTTGTTGATTATGTTCCTGACACTGCGGAAACCTGCCTGTGAGGCATCGGTGACGTATGCGTACTATGCCACCAGTCTACCAAGATACCACTAGACCAGCTGCACGCCTCCTGCGCTGAAAGCTGACCAGGTTTGAATCGGCGAGCTTTCAGCGCACTTTCCACGCTGGCAGCGAGCACGAAAATGTCACTGCACAACTGGCTGTGCGCCGGACTCTGCCAGACAAAATTACCACTGCGCGGGGTGTGCCAACCTCCGCCGCGCCACCGACGGGCCCCAAAAATAGAGCCCATTGAGTGACAGAATAACTGAGACAGATGCTCATTTAGTTTTTTTAGGGTGCAGTACAGCTATGAGCGTTAAGCAGGATTCACAATCAGAAAGAAAATCAAAACCACCTGTTTGGACTATGTTGTATTTTATTTGTTTTTCTTTTTTTTTAGTTATTTTTCCATGGTCATTTGCAAACTAGAAAGGCACATAACTGTAGAAAGAGAGGAGAAGGAGTGTGAATGAGATCCTGAAGGTTTGTTTTCACTGCTTTCTCTGAATGTAGGCTAATTAGACTCAAACAACTTCAGCCAGCTGCAGGCATGGCAATTCCTCTAGTTCTTGTTTCTGTATCCTTCTGTCTCTCATTACCCTCTCACTGGGAACTACAAAGGGAGTAAACTCGTGTATTAACGTAAGTGTGTTGGTGAAATTGTGAGCCTCCATCTTGTATCTCCAGGGAGACCTCCCTCATTACATTGTTTTCCATCATCAGCATTGAAGGATATTCCCTGGGTGAGTTAAGCTGCTCCTCAGGGAAGAATCCTAGAATAAAGTGGGGGTTTCCTTTGACACGAAATGTGTAATTCTCCAGCAAAGCCTTCTAAAACTCTAGTTTGCATTTTCGTGTTTCAAAATGCTACACACATTTAAAGCATTCATCAGGACAACACACTCCTATTTCCTCTCTTTGTGCCAGTTTAGGTATTGGCGTGTTTGTTTGGTGTGGTGTAGAGCAGCTGTCCCTCTGGTGTTTCTGACAGGGCAGGCGTCTGTTGGGATGTCCTGCAGTCTACTGGCATGTCATTACACAACAAACAGAGCTCCTTCAGAGAGCCCATCGGCCAGGAGAGGCTGCAAGAAGTGTGAAGCTGCACTGCAGAGCTGATTAAACTGTCGTCTGCACCCAGCCTGAGTGTTGGGCAGGGGTCCAGAATTCCTCTGTCATTCATTCATTCATTCAATTTTCAAAATAAAACCAATGAAAATACGGATAATGGCTCATTTTCTGATTTCCATTTTCTTCAGCTCAAATAAAAATGGGATAAAAAGATGAAACGTGCTGTACAGCATGTAGGGCATGTTTGAAAGGACTAACAACACAAAATCAAGACTCCTTGGAGACATAGAGAGGACAAAAAAGTTTCAAATCAGACTTATATAACTTGAGATATGGTTTGTACACATTTATCTTGTGAATCAATGCTGACTCTAGATCTTAAGTCAGGTAGATTCAGACACTTCAAGTATCAAACGTTAAGTGAAAAAACCTGCACAGAGCCCAGCATCCCTCTGCTGTCCCAGGGGAGGTAAATAGAGTAGGGAAGCCTTGATCGTCTGATGTGTCAGTGATGAGGGGTTTTTCCATGGTAGGGAGAATAATTGGTTGAGGCTTAACCTCTAGGGAGGGAACTGAGGATTATGGGTCTGCCTAGTAGGCCGCTGTGATTTGAAACCCCGGCAGTCTCCATCTGATTGGAGATTAGCTCTGCATTAAAAGGGCCTCAGCAGAAAGCACACACACCGAGCGGATCTTCAATCCTTTGCTTATCTGACGGATTCCTTTACTTCTTTAATTACCAATCCTCTTAACTCATGTTTGATCTTGTTCTTTCATGCCTGTTTGCATTCATCTTCTTTCTTTTAGTGTTCGCCATCCATACTCTTCTCCACATCCGTCTGAATTCTTGACATCACAGAAATCACAGTCTGTGTGGAGATACTGATGAAGGAAATTGAAATGGAGATGCTTGCTGTGTGTTGTCCTACTCTTAACAGTAGATATCAAACGGAAAGTTTTAAGAGCTCGTTTTTCCTTCACATCTGTGGATCAAGATGTAGATCTTTGCATATGCAGCTCTTAGGTATCGTCAAACTTGGCTTTATAACTGTAAAATAATAATACAGAAGAAATATTTGTATATTCATGTATCTGTGGCAGTTTTGTTATAATAGTCTCTGCTACAGTTGGATCTACTAATGAGCTTCCAATGTTTATGAATGAAAATATCTGTTTTTTCTGCTGCATTCTCTGTGTATCAGTAGATGCTCTTTTAAACATAACACATAAACAAAGGATGCACAATCCAGCCCCGGTCATGCCAATCTCAAAAGCTGTAGTTAAGAGAGTAAAGAGAATTTGGAGGAATCTGATCAGAGCTTTGCAGACTTGAAGATACACAGAGACACTTTTCACATTTTTGCTGACCCCTTCTCCATCGATGTGCAAGATGCCACTGATGAGCTCCAAATGGAGCTCATTGACCTGCAGTGCAGTTCTGATCTCAAAGCCAAGTTCAGGGAGGTGAGTGGAGAAGCAGACCAGCTTAAACAGTTTTTGAGAGAATTGCCCCCTACCTTCCCTGGGCTTTCAAGGATGTTCAAACAGACTATGTGCTTTTTTTGGGAGCTCATATCTGTGTGAAAAGCTCTCCTCCACCTTAAAATTCAATAAGTCAAAGCACGGGTCCAGACTTACTGATGAGCATCTTCAAGCCATCCTGAGGGTTTTCACTGCTTCCTATCTCAAGCCAAATATGGCTCAGCTGTGTGAGAGAAAGCACTACCAGGTCATTGGCAGCAAGGAGTAGGTAAGAAAAGCCCATGTTATGAGAACCCAATTCATGCACAGAAGAACCGTTGAAGAAGTGTTCATAGTAATGATTATTCAACAGTTTAAAAAATATTGCTGGACTGTCACTCTCACCCCCTCTAACACACACTCACTGCACTGAGGAGCTCCTTAAGGGACAGGATGCTCCAGCTGAAGTGTGTGATGGAGAGGTATCACAGGTCATTTCTTCCTGCAGCTGTCAGACTCCACAACAGAAACCTCCTATGGTGTGCAATAAACCATATTTATATGTATATATGCTGTACACTTGTTTATTCTGTACAATGGGAATGTGCATCTCCATTACTGTGGCGATTAGATACCCATCTCGATGCACTGCCAACAATACGATATAATTTGCGATACATTGAATCCCTGCCGATACGATAATCCACGATTCACCCCTGTTCTCGATAGGATACGATTCACCTTCCATCCCAATTCTATACGATATGACTCACATTAATTTTGTCTCACTGATACTTTTGTATGCATATATTTACAACTTGTGTTTACATTTTCTGCATTCAGATTTTTCCATTGAGCATGTTTGACTTCTGAATAGTAAAGAAATTTTTCAAATCCGATTTTGTTTTTTTGAGTGTTTTGTGATTTTCTCATTCTCACCCGTATTGCTGTTCGCCTCCTGCACTCCGGTAGCAGCGATTTTCGGGACATCGATACCATGTTTTTTCAAGTCAGTGGCCATATTTGTTGTGCTGCCGTTGTGAGGTTTAGAAGCGCCGCATTCTGTACAAATAACGTGCGTCTTGTCAAGTTTACCATCTCGCTTGTAAAATCCAAAGTACTTCCAAATGTTGGATTTGAACTTTTGCGGAGCATTAAAATTCTCTTCTTCTGCAGCGTTGCTGTGATTATTAAAGAGTACGCGCCCGCACGGCTTCCGTCCGTCTTCAAAACAAATCGCGAAATGGTGCATTCAAGACACCTCGGAAACACATGATAGAATGCAGTACAAAATGGAAAAACCGATGCAACTGTGAAGATTACCGATACAGACACACAGCAAACAAAGCATTCATTGTACCGATACACACTGAATGAATCAATGCACTCGCATCACGCACGTCTGTGTCACGACCACGATCCATATCGATTAATCTCTACATCCCTACTGTACACACATATGCTTACTCTGTGTATAAAGACATACATACAGATATCTCCAATTGTTCAGCTGTAATATATCAAACATGTACATAACAGCTGTAAATAACACTCATGTATTAAAATCGAAGTTTCTTCGTCCTTTAATTTCTCTTTTTGTATTTATATGCTGCTGTAATTATGTGACTTCTTGCCATTCATGTTTGTCGTATTACACTGAATCTTGACTGACCTGTAAATTGTGTTCAGTTCAGGATCAGTTGTACTTCTTTTTGAATATTTGGAACCCTTTTTTAATTGATGCCGCCCAGCCTCACCCAGATTCTATCTCCTGCAGCCCCCAGGTAAGTTGAGTTTGAGACCCCTGCTATAGACATTTGCTAAATCTCCTCTCTTGTTCAAGCAGAAGAATAAATCCCTGTGATGTACAGATGTATAGCCCTGTATCACTCTGCATTTTGGTATCATCATCCTCCCCATTAGTTGAGGTGAATTGCTTCCTCTTATGCACGCTAATTTTAATCCTGTCATGATAAGTGAGGCCCTGTTTTTATTTAAATTATGGAGTGTGTGAATGTGATTATAGATTCAAGTGAACCGCTCATACATTTCTCAACATGTGTAAGATGAAGACTTAGCTGTTTTCACTGTGATACATCAGCCTGTCAGTCTGTAAATTTTGATTATTATTTATGTAGACACAAAAGACTCTTTGAAAAGATAATAAAGTTATACCTAGTCTAATAATAACTAAATAATCTTTTTGTGTATCGTTTCATTTCTTAACCTGTGATGATGTTGAAAGAGTGTCTAATCGCATCTTTGCATCGCCTTTACATGTAATTCACTCACGCTTGGTGTGAACGCCCCATTAGACTGAATATGATCATCAGCCCTGATAATGGTCAGACTTCAGTCTTATTGCAGGGCTTTAAATCAGGTCTATCACTCTTACTCTTCGTTCCCTCCTCCACTTTTGATGAGCCACAGAATAGTTAATGATGTAAAAGCTGCAGAATGTCAAACGTGATTATTTCCTCTGTACTCCAAGGACTCAGAGTAGTTATACTGACAATTCCTAATACCTGAAGAATCTGTGGTTGGGGAAATACAGCTGTCCATTTGAGCCTTTTCCGGCACCTTTTGAGCACACAGTCAATTTTTCTGAGAACTTCTCTGCTCTGCAGTATTTTGCACTGACCCAGCAAACCACCTATGGGGCCTGTCTTTTATAGATCACTGAACTTACAGCTGAGCTCAAGCCAGCATTAAAAATTGTCACAAACATGACATGATGTGCTGCCAGTTAAGGGACATCACAAGACAGTACAGTCTTTATGGATGATTCCTTACTTTTGAGTTAATAGAGCATGAAGGTAGGCTTTCTGGAACACTGAAGACTATCATTGGGTGAGACCATGATTTCCTCTGCTACATCAACAACAGGATAAGATGAAATCATGGGAAATCTTTTGGACTTGTAACATTTTTGCATGTGTCTCCTGCAGAAACAGAACGATATAGTCCCACAGCAAGAGAAAAACTGTTCAAATCATAAACATAAGGGATTTTTAGGGCCACAAGGCAGTCACCTATTGTTACACTGTGGACTTTTCCTATTCCTCTTCCAGAAAAAAATCTTTTCCCACTAGTCCTACAGCTTGATGGGTTGCAGGTGTAGCATCAAGACAACCCTGTGTGTGAAACTCACACATTCCTCCCAGGAAAGGTTCCATATCTGGTCACAGGAGCATATAAATCTTTGCAGACTGGTTTGTACTTTCAGGTAGTCCTAGATCCAGTGTTTCCTCAACTTTTTGAACTCAAGATAGCGTTCCCTCAGTCATCTGTGGCAAGTTGAAGAGTCCTCGCCTGATTTTTTGTGAATGCATCTGTGTGTGTGAGTGTGTGAGTGCTGTGTGTGTTGGATGGGGGTTGGGAGAGTGTGTGAGTTCAGATTTGGTATTTGTATTTTTTATCCTGCGTGAATGGACAGCACTTTGTGCTACATTCTAATCAACCAGCATGGACACAGCACCAGCTCCAGCTGCCTTATGGGAATAAATAATCTACCCATCAATACTTCCTCCAAGATAATGTCAGCGCTTCCAGACCAATGCACAATGAACCTCCCTCTACCCACTCTTTCCACACACACACACACACACACACACACACACACACACACACACACACACACACACACACACACACACACACTGTCAGCAAGAACACTGGGGCTGATCATTTGTGAAATAATCTCTTCAAACTCAATGACAAGCCCTCATCTAACATTGTAGTCAGCACGTTGAAAACCCGTCTCTCTAATGCCAGGACACTCTGCACCTTTTTAGCACTCCTGAGACCAGTTTAGTCTGCATCTCATCAAGCTAATTAGCAGTTTGTGTGATTAAGAATTCACCAGGGGGACTCTTTGATGTTGACTCAGCTGCAGGAGACACTTTTGGCCAAACTTGAATTGAAACAATTTCTTTCAGTGCTCTGTGATGGGTCACACACACACAAGCCTGTTAATGTATGAGGTATGGTATGTATGTATGTCCTACCTGCCACTTTATGTCAGTATATCATTCTACTTCCAGGACACCTAACCACCTGTTACTGAAAACGAAGAACATCCCTTATATCCACACCACTTGCAAGTTCGTTAACCCCTTCTTTTACAGTACACTTATTACCAGCCAGGTAATTAACAGGTAATTACCTAGTAACAACATGGAATTATCTGGTAATTACATGATAACTACTAAGTCAATACTGTCTAGCTACCAGGTAGGTAACCTTCCATCATCATACAAATCTGAAGCCAAATTGCTCTGGTATGCTCTGGTAAAACTAGACAGTATTGACTCAGTAGTTATCATGTAATTACCAGATAATTTCATGTTGTTACTCGGTTATTACCTGTTAATTACCTGGTAATAAGTGTACCGTAAAAGAAAGCGTTCTCTAATATTTTAATACACCACTGTGAGAAATTTGAGGCTGTTTTTCAATCTGAAAATCACATAAAGCTTTTAAAGAGACATCAGAGAGGAAATGTAGAGTCTGGGGGAATAAAAAGCATGACACCCCCATTTAAAAACACAGTACAGTCCCTGCATGGATTGTTTTCCAGTTTTACACTGAAGAATGGATGTACCGAGTGGGGATACATTACTGGAATGCATATGCAGATCATGCATAATGCAGATTAAACTCCAGGGCAGATATGGCAACCAAAATAGAAGCTGTGATCTTTGATGCAACACTGCTGAAGGCACTTCATTATCATAATTCCATACAATTACACATTATCTCAGCCAGCTTGGTGAAACTGAACAGGCAGTGTTTTGATAAAGTTTTGGGGGGGACATTTATTTGTGTGTGTGTGTGTGTGTGTGTGTGTGTGTGGGGGGGGGGGGGGGGGTCTTTTAACACCTCAAACCCTTTTCGTGGTGACACAAACGGCAAAATACCACAATAGTGCCTGATGAATAAAATTTGGGGTCATAAAATAGAACTTCAGTGCGCATGACAGTTGTTTTTTGGCCACATTTCTACCGATTTGTTTCTCACTCAAGTGTAAGCTCCCATTTCATCCCTGTTGTTGTTGGTTTAGGGAAGCCCCTGTGCTGTCACAGCAGACAGGAGGAGAGAGGGACGGGGGTGCAGCTGCTGATGAGGAGCAAGTCCCCCGTGGAGTGTTCGTGCGCAGAATGAGCGATGCGCTCCTGCTGCACTCATCCTTTGGAGTTGTGGGGCGATTGTGGCACAAAGAGATAAGGTGCATAAAACCAACAGAGGTGATTTGAGGATATCATGCTTCTCTCCTCAACACAGAGACCAATGGGAAGACTCCTATTATCCCATACCTTTTAACACCCACCGAAGTATCTGTGTTTCTTACCGCATAGCAGCTGCATCCAGGCGCACGTCTTGTAGACCGTGGCGGTGTTGCAGAAGAAGAAGAGGGCGAAGCAGCCGATACAGGTGACGATGAGCACCATAGACATCAGCACGAAGAGGGAAGCCGCTTTGAAGGCTCCTGATGGGATGGAGCTGAATTCAGAGAAGCTGCCCTGGCACGTGAGTTCCCTGTTAGAGTTCCCATTGCCCACACAGTAGTGGAACAAGCCGAAGTAGCCAGCGTGGGGGGTGCTGATGCTGTCACCGATCCAGTAGGGCTGGAAGAAGACCACCACGTTGATGATGGCCAAGCAGATGGTGAATATCGCCCACAGTACCCCAATGGCCCTGGAGTTGCGCATGTAGTTGTCATGGTAGATTTTGGATGCGTCTTGGGAAGGCAGCATTTTTCTCTCCCACCCCCCAACCCCCCCACCGCACAAATGTCCAAAAGTCCAGTGACTCCCCCCCTCAGCCCAATAGGCTCTGTCAACCAGCAGATCCAAATACTGCTCTGTCCAGTCCCCCCTGTCCTCTCGCGTCCCACCTTCCTCTCTACACAACAGTCAATCAATTCAGTGGTGAAACGTGATCCAGCTGACGGGGGAAGCCTTTCCTCTCCTCCTCTCAGCGCGTAAAGCCTTAGCAGAGCCGACAGCCGAGCTCACGGAGCCAAAAACAGCGGCCAGTGATGGACGGGCTGAACATCATTGTCTTCTTCCAGCATTTCACCTCCGTCTCTGGCAGCACGCGCTCTCTTGTGCATTCAGAGCCAGGCTTCAGATGAGATATAAAAAGATGCAGTCGCTGATATTCCCCGAGATGATAACGAAACCCTCAAATGTGAAGAAAAATGTCAAAGAAAGAGATGGAGACACTGTTGCAGCCTTTGACATACTTCAGTCAAGATTCCAAACTTGGCTGCAGAAGAAGTGCCTGGAATGAAAATATATCAAAATGCAAATCAGTGCTTTAGTAACGCACACACCGACACAACCCCGTGACAGTGGTTTTTGGAGTCTCTCTCTCTCACTGTCTCTCTCTTGGTCTCTCTGTCTCTCTCTCTCTCCAGGCGCAAAGCCGAGGAACACCGTCTACTTGTGGATGGTTTTTGAAACTGCAAAAGAAGAACTCCCCCCTCTCTCTCTGCGGCCACATCAACAGTATCTGATATTGTCATTCTGACAACTGAAACAGGGATTGAGGACAAAATATTGGGTGACACTTTACAATAATCATAACTTATAAATAGACCATTTATAAATGGTAAGAAGATAGTTTATTAATGTTTAACCCTCTGATGCATAAACTATGAAAGCCCTGATCAAGATTTTTTTCAGAATCAGAATGCTTTTATTTGTCATTATACAAGGTACAATCAAATTTAAAAACTCTCATAAAAATAGTTAAAGATAGTAAGACTCTGTATTTACAAAAGTATGAAAGTGCAAAAGTGTCAATATTAAATAAAGTGTCAATATAAAGTGTCAGAATAAAAAGTGTTTTTATTATTCTCAGAACATGAAAGAACATATTAAACTGTTTTTTTCCTAAAATGTTATTTTTTCATAAAACTACAGAAGTGTCCATTCAAGTGGACTATATGTACCTGAGCACTCAACACAAACATTATGAATTTACAGTCAAAAGTACAATACACCTAAATATGCCAAACTATCTCCAACATTGGAAACAATATTGTTAGTCCCCACAGTACTATAAGGATTCAGGACTGGCTTTACCATGCCCGTATACAAGCATGTTGTTTTCAACAACAAAAACTGACATTTTAGTCCCTGCATCTCCAAACATGTTTCTGCTCATCACACCTAGGATGTATGAAAGGTTAAAAAGCATCCAGGGCACAGTGATCAACTGAATCTAAAAAAGATGATTTCAAACGACACGGTGAGCTTGTCCAGCACGGAGAAGTCATGGTTCCCAGTGTACCAGCTCATTAAAGATGCATGAGCTGTGCAGCTAAATGATCAATGCTGATACTGACTACTGAATCTGACTTTGACAGACAAAACAGACAAAAAATGATATTTTTTGTTTGCTTTTTAGATAATTGCATTCATAAATATGACAACACATTTTACAGGATATTTAAGTTACACAAAAAGTGTATGTGCCACACTCTTGGACGTATCATCATCCCTTTTAAAACCAGCTTCTTAACTTATTTTTGGATTTCCTTCCCGGAGACTGCTGACGCATAGTTCCCTACACCCATAAAAAACACTTTAGTGTCATTGGAACTTTTGACAGCAGGAGTTTTGCTGAATTTCTGGTTGAGTTGTTTAAATTGAATATGTATTTGAATTTTTGAGCTGAGGTTTCATTATTCATGAAAGTGCAGTAATGTGACAGCGGCTGAGGATCAGGAGTCTGCCAAAGCTCTCTGAGGTGAAGCAGGCGCAGGAAGATGTAGCAGTGAATGTGTCCTCATCTTCTTGTCGCACAGTGCTGAGAGCAGTTTAATGATCTCAGGAGATGCTCACCTGTTCATGTAGCTAACTCAGTGAGAGTGTGTTTTGACAAAAGCATTACTAATGAACCTTATTATCTGCACAGTTTTTTTAAACAGGAAAGTACTGCCCAGTTACTTTAGGACCCCTTTGGTTGGTCAACTTCTTAGCTTCTGCTGCCTTGGGACTAAACCAACAGTGTGCTTCAGACTGTCACACCCGTCAGTGCATAGACAGACCTCAAACAATTTGTCACTTACTCAGTTGTTGGGCTTTGCATAAAAATAACAACTGTGCGGTTGAGAACTGAGCAACAATGCTGTACCGTGAACTTCAATTATGGACTTTGAAGGAGTTAATTTTTGCCATTTTTAGGCAGATCTTTCACCTCGCAGATCAAACTGAGGTGAAAGATTTGAAAGGCAGGCTTATAACTTTTAGGTGCAGTGTACATTGCATTCTTTTTGTTTCTTTTTGTGGCTCCATGTGAAGTCTGTTGTCTGAAAGTGATGCTTCTTTAGTCAGGGTCGAAAGGCATGATAGTCAATGAAAGACAAATACATATTTTAGAGATGATTTGGTATGAGATGATTTTATTTGAGTCTCGATGGCCCTTCGACTCAACAGGGAGATTGAAGTGTCTGCTATGACTGGGCAGCGGTGGAGGTGGGGAAGAGGGCTGTGTGTGACAAAGGCATGACTCAACTGGACAAACTGATTAATCCAGGTGTGACTGATCATTGTGACGACTCAGTCACACCTGGATTAATCAATTTATCCAATAATGTAAGACAGGAAATAAAGGAGAGGCCTCAAGTTCAGGAAGTAGTGGATCCGTGTACAGAGCCCATTATGGGAGAGTGGGGTAAGATGAGCCATTTTTCATATTTCAGGTCACCACATCAAGGCAATCATAATTTTGTCTCTAACTAGTGTATCTGCATATATTTCAAGATGTTGTGCATCCCTGCAAACCAACAGAATGAGTGTTAACATAACTGTCTTGGTAATATAACATGCCAAAAAAGTGGTCTACTATGGTAAACTTACCCCGTGTATGGTGTAAATTGACCATAGGAGCGGGGTAGGTTGAGCTGTATCCCCTTATATGCCATTCAACGGGTACAATAATTCTTTTTATTATTATTGCATATAAATGCTAAAAACCTGTTTTTATAAAAAAACATCTTAACATGAGAATGTCTATAAGTGATTCAGAACATTCACAGCTGTATGTTTGAAAAGAAAAAGTAAAACATTTCAACAATCTGAACTAAAACTCTGATCCTCTCATTAGACTTCTTTACTTTCTCAGTTCAGCCACTGGCTCAACTTTCCCCAGAACCACTATGATGACTTAATTAGTCCTCTGAGCTAAAATGATGGACTTCTATGCTAGGTTTCTTGACCTCATGTTGTAGCTCATAGGTACCACAATTCATGTATAAAACAAATTCAAAATTAGCTTTTTTGGTTTGAACACAATTCCAATAAAACTAATGACAGACTAAATTCACTTTCAAGACTGAATTTTTATTTTTTTTATATATATATATAAACGTCTAACCCCTTCACTCATGTGCTTCTCACCTTCACAAACTCCATGAATTGATGCCCATCTCCTAAATATTTGGTCACATAATCAACTTCTTTTACCTTTTCCAAGCAACAGGGTGTGGCTCAACTTACCTCCCCTACTATTTCAGATGAGTATTTTGTGTTTAGGTCTGAGTTTTTAGCTTGACTTAAAAGACAGGAAACTTCATGACGGTTAAAAAGTCTTCATTGTCTCGCAGGAGACGCAGAAAAAGTACACAAACTAACGAAAAAAATCCCTGCAGGCTGCGGCTGCTAGAGGCTGGCTGACCACCAATAATTCTAATAATTTTTGATTTGGAGGTTTTGGCTGAGGTATCAACATTAGGGCAAGAACAGCATGACAGCTCCAAACATGAGACCTCACTGAACAACAACAAACGTCATTTAAAGAGGGAAGAGGCTTGTCACGTGGTGTTGTCAGCTTCCTGTTTACCGCCTGATGTACCTTCATACCGGAGTACATAGATTGCAACACCACTCACCGCTTCTGGACCTACTGGGGCATTTATCCACGACAAATTATGCAACTTTGAGATCCTGCAGCCATAGGGTGGACGAGGGAATCACTCCAATCAGCTTATCACCACGGTCACGGTTACTAGGGAGACATGGAGACGTGACATTGTGGAAATTTGAGCAGGCCTGGAAGGATCCTCGGGATTTCCTGACTCCAGCTGACCCAGAGTTCGGAAGGGTTGCTGTTACAGAAAGTGGAGCATTACTTCACGAACTGTCATTAGTGGAAGCTGAACAGTGGGGATGTGGAGGACTAGAGAAGTTCTGAAACTGTCCAAACGGAGTCATGGAGGCGTTTGATTGAGTGAAAAACAAAAATTTGCGCTTAGGAAGGAAAAGTAGCCTGTTAGCTTGTCGTGCTAACGGTATGGACAGGCCGAAAGCGACCTGACGCGCGAAGAACTTCGATTTGCTGCCCGTAGAATGCTGGGATACCTGGGAAAGCGGAACCAGCCGGCGGTGGTTGTCATGATTCCCCGTGTTTAGAAGACGAGGTCAATCTTCGGATGAAACATTTTGGCTTTGGAATAGCGTCATAATTCACGCGAACAAAAAACTAGCGAGGCAGGCGAACGCGGAACGGTCGCGTTCAGTGGGTTCGCACCGTCGCAGCCACCGCGCTGTGAGTGGCCGGCTGAACGGGCTGGCTAACGGCTAGTCATCGGAGAGTGGAGCAGTTCGCCGGTGCCCTGAATTCAAGAGGACTCCCCGGATCCGGCCCCCTCAAGCGGGCAGTCAGGAAGAAGCTGGCTGGGAGGGGATGGCCTGGTCGGTCGTCCCGTACCCAAGGACAAGGCTCTGCGGTGTTTGAAGGAGGTCGAGTTCGACTGGAGGCCACCACCGCGGGTCGAGGCGCTATGATGGCCGGGTCCCCCTCAGTGACCGGCGGCTTCACGGCTACCGGGCCGCCGGTCAGAAAAAGTGAGGAAATCATGGATTTGATCGATTTGTTTGCTAAGATGCAGTACAGAGCAAAGGAGGTGACTTCACGGGTAAGTTTCTCTGTTGTCTTCGATGTGTTTTGGCTGTTTAAATATTGCACATTCATACCGGGACATATGACACCGTGCATATGGATTTAAATAGAAGAAGTAATTATTACCATTAAATTATTACTGTTTGCACATGATACTAAACTTGTGAACAGTAGTGTTAGTTATCATATATTTCACTAAAACCCTAAAGCTGTCTAAATTTACCTTTGTCTTCACATCTGTTTAATAATTTTTTATTCAGTTTTTACTTGTTTCTGTCAAGAGTCCCTCTTTCTCCTTCATAAGCTGCTATAAAAATACAAATTTCGAGGTGTGTAGAAAGCTCTCCCTCTATAGTTTAACTTTTGTGAATGAAGAGCCAAATCCACCTGTAAACTCAAAGAAACCAAACACACCTTATGCCTCACGTAAACAACAACAACACTCTGGCTAGGAATACATGACCCCCTTATCAACTTCGAGGAACCATAGCACGCTGTAGCCTATATCTGATCCACCAAGCTGCTCTCACTTTTCACATACTCAATGCATGATCACAGCTCTCTATCATAGACCAGAGACTGTTTGGATCTGTGTTGTGTTTCTTGTGTTACTCCTTTTTTTGGGGGGCCTTTACATTCACTTCAAATTATATCATTTAAAAGCCTCTGTTGTTAATTATCTTTTATCTTTTTACTGTATACATTTAGTACTTTCTGTATGATTCATGTAATATTGAGGGAAAAATGATAGAGTAAATTTTTGAATGACAATATGTAAGTCAAAATCAGATGGATGAGTTGCTTTTTGTCAGACAGGTGTCTGCTCGTGGTCCAGATTACCACACATAGAGCCTGTATATGTTGGAACATATCATATTCCTCATGGGTACTGGACTTCTGCTTTTACTGCTAGAAATGGGAGCCCTCTGCTAGTTTGCAATCATCTGTCACAAAATGTAAAATTTTGAATGTTTTTTTTAATCAAATTCTTGATTGAGGACAGAAGAGATAAAGGCCAAAATTGATCTTGAACGTTACTTGTTTTAGTTATGAATGAACCTTACATATGTGTGATTGATCTGTGTCAAATATAACTCAGTTTCTGCTCTGTGGATAAATCTTTACTTTTGCTAACTGTCATTTTCCAGCTTAAATTTTCGTATCTTTTTCTCTTTTGTCATTGTTTTTGTCTCTTCTCAGGTGGAGGTGATAGAGAAGCGTTGTTTGGATTTATTTGCGAGAGACTACAAGTATAGCATCATCCACAACGCCAATGGAGAAGTGTGCGGCCATTATCCCCGGCAGATAGTTTTCCTGGAGTATGAATGCACAGATGTCGAAAGAGACAGGTACTTCACTACTACTAATACTAAGATAGTCCATTGCTGTCTGATACAAAGTCCACTTCACTCAGTTACCCATTTCTCTCTTGTTTGTTTGTGTCAGTCATGTAACCTTGCACACCACCTTACTGTGGTGCAGGGAGCAAAGATCAGCCTCCATCTCCAGCCCCTGTGATGGAGGCAGCAGACGGGGTGAAGTGACTCTGCTATCACATGATGCCACATTGTCGCAGGAAATAGAGCATTTTCAGTGATTCAATAAATCCCTTTTTATGACAGCTAAGTAATCTAGTCAACCCTTTTTCCACTGTTGTGCTCATAGTGAAATATTCTCTTCATGAAAACTTTTATCATGTTAGAATAAGCCCCATTTTTAAAAACGCCCTTGTTCTCAGGAAAAAAAGTTTTATTACAGCAAATATTATTTTTACACATTAAGTAAATAAACTTAAAAAAATATAAAAACCTTTTAAACTCAGCGTACAACAAATGTAGATAAAAACTAAATAATACAGTGAACTAGTTTACAGTCATGTGTGTTTTTGCAGGTATACAAGACCCAAAATAAACAAACCGCCCCCTCAGGAACAATGAAGATGCCTTAAAATGTAAACATTAGATGATGTAAATGTAGATGATACGATTGATTGCTGCTACGCTAGTTGTGGCTAAACTGCTAATGCTACTCGTGCCATCAGCAGAGGAAGGCTAGGCAGACACCTTACACATCAGCTTAATTGTTCGACGCCACTTTGGAGATACTCGAACCACCGCAACAAAACCAACGTTGAATAACTTTGCATCTCCACTATGGCATCTTTGGAGAATGACTCAAAGTCATGGCTGACATCTATTTTCCTGCCCTCAGCTCCGCATTTACCTCCAGGTTCAGTCATTCTGTTTACTTCTCCGGCCACCTACAGAAATGAGCAGGAAAAGCTCGACTCTGATTGGCTGTTGTCACGCACATTTCTGCTATGTTTGATCTGTAAATATGCTCACAACTGATCACCGTGATCAAAATGAAATTTATCACGATCATATAACCGCCCAGTCCTGACTTAAACCAATGAATACACACCTTCTGTGATTTCTGAGAACACCAAGTTCTTCTTGTGGTCGAATTTACCCGCTACTCTTATTGTGACAGTCCATTTGTCTTAAAAACATGATCAACTAAAAAACTGGCTCCTATGGGCAGGTGCTGTCTGTGGTTGAAAAAGTTCAGTCTGAAAAATGTCCCATCGAATTTGTCTATCTTGTCAGAGGAATTAAAGATGGAGGTTGTGACACTCTTGTTTCATGTGCAGATTTTTTGATGTTCAGTGCTACATAAAGTTGAGATTATCTCGTCCACTGACTGACAGATAACACATGGTGGTCTGTTCTTGAAGGTTTGAGAGCACAGTGCAGATCAGTAAGCTGCAGGACCTGGTGAACCGGAGTAAGCTGGCTCGCTGCAGAGGGAGGTTCGTCTGTCCTGTCATCCTCTACAATGGAAAGGTACAGCTGCTCAGCTAATCGACCTGCAGTCTCTTAAACAAAGCAATCTAAGCTCTTCATTTTTTTGTGACATAATTTCCAAAATTGTTCGTGTTTGGGTGTGAATTGAGTGGATCTTATTATGTTGGAGACTCTGATACTTTTGTCAGCCTCTCTGTAATGTTCCTCAAAAATCAGCTGATGTCCTTGTCTTCTTTACACAAAGCGATTTTCTTCCCCCCATTTCACTTCATTTATTTCAACATCCACCTTTGACATGACTGCAGTCAGGCTTCCAGTTTTGCTTCCTATTATAGGAAATCAATTCCTCCGTACATTAACTGATTACTTTTACCGATATGTGTTAGTTCGAAATGCACATTTCTAGATATCAGTAAATAAAAACTTTACCGCTGCAGTAATGATATTATTAAGTTTTGACATGGTCTTAATGCCTCTGAAGAAAGCCTGGTCTGTGTTTAATATGAAAAAAAAAAACACAACAAAACAAACTTTGAGTAGAGCTCAAACAAATTGGTTTTGAAACTATATCTGTCCTTCTCAGAATAAAACTGGAGGATGTTTTGAAGGTTACACTTCCTCTTTATTGCTGCATTGATGTCAGATAGAAATCTTTATTACAGTGTGATGGTAATGGCCATAATTAAACACAGCCTGGTCCTGGATTGTCACTTCTCTATTGCAGCATATTTGCCGGTCGTCCACTCTGGCTGGATGGGGGGAACTGTACGGACGCACGGGCTACAACTACATCTTCTCAGGTAAGAAGAAACCTCACATACATAAACCAGGATATGTGCGGGAGTTAAATTAGATTCAAAAGGGGAAGTTGTGGTATCTCATTTTCCACAGCAGATTTCAGTTCCGCCCGCTCCTGCTGCAGTCGTCAGACAGCTGTCGACACGTCGTATGAGAACATAATGTTTCTTTGCATGACTGGGGGAATTTCTTTCTTTAGAAAAACCAAGAACAGCAAACACCAGCTGTACACTGATAGTAAAGGTACATTAAACATGTACATTTGAATAGATCTTAAGTTTCAGGCAAGCAGAAATGTCAAACACTGTAACATGACTGTAAGAGATTAGAGCAGTGCAGTGCAAGTGGCATACAAAGTAAAATTAGCTGCAACATCAGCATGACTTTTCAGGTCATTCTGCTGTAAAATTGATCTAGTCTGATTTATAAATTTTTAACTAAGGATTGATTGATCGTTTTTTCCACTGTTAGCCGATAAAATAAGTTTGTTTTCAAACACGCTTGTTCGGCTCATAAACAGCCACCTTTCGCTGCCGGAGTTCACCACTCTTGGCTGTGTAACAATGTTCCGCTTACAGTCCCCACTGATTGGCTACTCAGACAGCCAATCAGCACTCAAGCTTCTAGGTGCAGCTTCACAGCAAGGGAGAGAGAGAGAGAGAGGAGAGTGGTCCATGAATCAGTGGTTTGGTGGATGAAGGTAAAGCTACAGAAAATGCCAAAGTTGGAGAAAAGAAAACCCTCTACGCTGACGTTTTAAAAACACCACAACCTTCTTATGATCAGTTTCAATGACATACACAACCAGAGGGGAAATTTGGATCCACCCACTTTGCCCAGTCACATTTATATAAATATACATATATAGACTGTATTTTGTGAATAGCCGAGTGCCTCTACAATTAGCACCACAGCCAGAAAAAGTTAGCTCCATCTTCAGACTGTCGTTCTCTACAAGTGGTCGGACAAATCGCTTTTTGTAGTTTTTTTCCTTCATTAACTACAGAGTTTGGCGGCACTTGCATGAACTGTGATCTGCTATGTTGATTTTTAATGTGACATCAGCAACAGTGCTGCTCAGATGAGCTAATGGAGGAAGCAAATCCCATTCGACCCACTGGATACATACAGGTTAAAACAAATAAACATGCAAATTATTAACAATATTGGTTTTAAATATTGGTTCGCCTTGATTTCTAATAATCGGTATCAGTCCTCAACAAATATATTGGTTGATCCTTCGTTTCAACCCCAATGGCCACAAATTTAAACTGCTGCAGCTTATAAAACACACAAAAAAAAAAAACTGAATGAAACGTTCTTCCAAAAGCCAGGGCCAAAGTCTGCTACACTCCGTCAGCCTTCTCATGAAGCTCAAACTCGAATGTTTATGACCACTGCATGCTTTACTTTCAGCAAAGGCAACCACTTTTTATTATCTGTGAGTTGAAGCCAAGCTGTAGCTTCACTGCACATTCTCATTTATCGTGATGTGAAGTTTGAAATCACAAAAACTCTTCTCTAGCTGTCTGAAATTGACAGGTATGATTCTGACAGGCTCACCTGCTTCTTGCAAGACATGCCCCAACAATCCCAGAAGGAAATGAGGAACAGAACATCTTTAGCTGTGGGCTTTAAGGACGAATGAGCTTCAGGTTGGAATTTATAGTGACATGAAGTTACAGGACCCACACCCACAGAGTTATAGTGAATATAGGTGCAGAGTAAGTCACAGTTTAATGAGGTTGTCATGACGAGCTCAACCTGACATCCATGTAGTAATTAGCCTGAATAAAATAAAGCAAGAAGAAATCAAAAGAAAGGAGAGATGGCCGCCTCACCACCACCACCACCACCACCACCACCACTTTATAAGAGTCTATATCAGGTTACTTGAACCATTAGCCTGGGAGATTTGTGGGCCCAGTGCACTTACTGGGATTTTTCTTCATCCCCATCAAAAGCACTTAAGATAAGTGCATCCAGCATCAGAACAGCAGAATGAAGAACAACAAGAAGAACAACAAGAACAACAAGAACAACAGGCTGAGCTGGGTCTGGGTCATCTTGCAGTATCTGTAACATAATGACAAACCATAATAGTCACATCATAAGATACTATGGGCGCACATTTTCCTTTGAATGTTTATCGATATCCACAGCTGTGTTGTAAATGATGTCAGTTGTTTCCATGTACAAAGTTCTGGAGCTCCAGCTCTTCTGTACTGCTCATTTCTTGTATTTGTTCTGCTTGTATTTAATAACAGAAGAAGACTCAGGGTTGTCCTCAGTAGACCCTCTTTCAGTGCGATTATTCACCTCATATCTTGTTGTTTTTCTAGGGGGCACTGATGACACGTGGACCGAGTCCGAGGAGGTTCCAGAGGATGACAGTGCAGTCAGGTAATCACATTACTTTAGCTCGATATGGTGTCTAATTCTTTAGGCTACATCAGTGCACTAAGGCAGTAAAAATGGACCACAGCCGGGAAGAAGCCCTGAGTCATGTAGTTTGGTCTATTAGATTTAGGGCTTCACAATTAATGGATTTTAAATTGTCATCGGATTATTTGATTATGTGGATGTTTAAAAAAATAAAGATCGACAAATCCATTCTCCTCTCTATCATGTCTCGTGCCTCCAGGCCACCGTAGGCTCCCTCTTCTTGCAAGAGCGCCCCAGTTCCCACACCCACCAGTGTAAACAAACATGGCGTTTGCAAAAGAGGGCAATAATTTTGTGGCTAAAAGGGGCAAAAGCGAGTCAGTCGTGTGGAATTGGTACGGCTTCGCAGAAGAGCAAACCACTCCCCGCTGCAAAGTCTGTCTGAATGCGGTATTAACCCGTCCACAAGGAAACGAATACAGGAGTAAATGCAAAAGTTTTTTCGTATCGTAACTGGTCAGAGAGTGCATTAATCCATAAATGACTATCATTTTGTGTGGGTGTCTATCTGCATCTCTCGAAACAATCGTGACACAGTGTAACTCTTTTTTGGCAGCTGCGCGTGTCCGGCCAAAACAACCTTTATCTCTTCTGCCTTTTGTGCATTTCCTTGACAGTGTTACTGGCTTGGCATTTGTACTCCATCGTTTTCAGTGGTTTTGTTTTTACAGATGATCGAAAAACTTTTTATTAAAGTGAAGTTTGGTGAAGTTGTCACTGAATAAAAAAATGGAAAACTGAGTTTTCAGAGAAAAAAAACGAGATTTTATCTTTAGCCAAAATCATGCAGCCCTAATCAGAGTTCAGGATCTTTCTGGTGGGGGGAACATTTATCTTCATCTCATCTTCCTCCTTTCTTTTTTCCTCACAGGAACGGGGACTCTCAGCTCTTCGACAAGGTTCGGGGCCATGACATTAAGCTGCTACGTTACCTCTCGGTGCGCTACATCTGTGATCTGATGGTGGAGAACAAGAAGGTTAAGTTTGGCCTGAAGTAAGGAACATCTCAAACTAGTTCACCCACACTCTGGCTGGTATTTAGGTCACTGTTTTGCACTGGACATAAAATCCTGATAAGATGCATATGACTCTCCACTCAGTGCTTTTGTATTTGACTGCAGTTTTTCTGATTCTGCTCGTGATGAAGTTGAGAGGGTGTGTGGGCAGTGTGGGTGTGGTTTTGTCTGATTTTAACCAGCTTTGATTGTACTTGAGCTTGGAAATCAGTGTCACATTTTTCTATTATGGGTGGAGTGGGGTTGGGGGGGTGATATTATCATAGACATTAATGATGGTTTAGCTGAGACTAGCTCTCCTGTGAGTTCATACAGTAGATGGAGTTTTTGTGCAGTCCTGTGCCAGTGTCTCCTCTCTCAGCCTGTATCATTTTCATGAACCTTTGTCAAAGAAGTAATTTATCTGAGGAAATGATTCTTCAGTAGTTTACAGCACTTGTTCCCTCCTGAGGAAGAATGTAATATGACGGCGGGTTGTCTTTTTTGTGAAGGCAAATATCAAACAGGACTGTTTCCTGTGTGAGGGTGGACAGAAGGAATATCTGAAACGGGATAAGAAGTGATCCTTCTTTTACGTAGAGTGTCTGTCCTTTAGTTTTTGTCATGCTCGTCCAATCTCAATGCTCACGAGGTTTCAACACTGCACAGAGGCGCTGATGTGTTTAAAAAAGCCCCACCCGTCACTGACAAGTTTTGTTTCAACCACAAATATCTCAAACTGGTGGAGGCCCCCCCTGAGCGAGTCTGAAGACAAAATGAGAACTGCATGAGTTATGTAGTGATCTTGTTTTGAAAATATTAGATGGAACCTGTCCAATCATCTGTGCGCATGTTGGTGTTGTGCAGCTCTTTAAGCATCTCTCTTTCCGTCTCTGCAGTGTGACGTCCTCTGAGAAGGCAGACAAGGCCCAACGCTATGCAGACTTCACCTTGCTCTCTGTGCCTTACCCAGGTAAACCTCTCGCATGAGATTTCTTTGGATAATGCTGAACAGGAGATAAGTGGACGTGTGTGTGTGTTGATAGGATACTGTATTAGATTGTTAAGGACAGTATCCACAATGTGCAAACTCAGACGTAGTTGTGTGGCACATTTTGTTGTCACTTGTTGCAGTTCTGACCTCAGACAGATACCTGTGGTGGCATTTAAAGCTATAGTGCGTAACTTCCGTCGCCCCTAGAGGATTTCCGCGTTATTACAACGATACAGCTGGCACCTCAATATGACGTATTGTCACACAGAGTGTTACTCTGTGTGACAATCATCATTTATAATCATCATTTATAAACATCAACTTTCACTTTATTGTCCCCCTGAGGAACATTTTCTTTGCAGTCAGGTAAAAAAAACACAAAACATTAACAGCATCACACACAGACTGGTTACAAAGACAACATGATGTAGATACAACAGACATCAGTGTGATTGTTTATTTGGTGCAAAGATGTGTGAGTTTAAAGTATACCTCTGAGGTTAAAAAAAAAAAACAGTTTTATTATAATCATTGACCGGCCATGACCTAAAAATATCAACCAAGACATTGTGTTAAAGACTTCTCCCTTTTTTTTTAGGGTGTGAATTTTTTAAGGACTACAAAGACAGAGACTACACAGCAGAGGGTCTGGTGTTTAACTGGAATCAGGTACAGAGGCTCCGATGACTTTGTTCTGTGTTTGATGATGATGATGATGATGATGATGATGATGATGGTGTCCTGGTTGTTCTAGGCTCATGTGATCTAACTGTGTCTTCTGCAGGACTATGTGGACGCTCCTTTGACAATCCCTTTGTGCTTTACTCAGAACTTGGATATTGACTGGACTCGATACCAGGTTACCAGGCTCTCATCCTCTCATACTTCATTTCTCTCATGCTCTCTCAGCTGTGGACACTTTACCAGCTGTTCTGCTCTAAAATATTTGTGGTGTGTCAGTGCCATCTGTTGTCCAACTTGCAAAGTGCTTCGGTCATTATTTATGAGTTCTTGCAAGAAAGCTACAACGTCAGGTGTTCATCTTAAACATTCATAGAACTAACAGTTTTATTAATAAATCCAGGGCTAGGATATGTAGAATGATCCTGGGGTTTGAATGATTAATATGGTCGAACGAGAAGCTGGAACAACTTCACAAAGACTGTCAACTGTCTAATATCGTTTCCTGCTGGATGGAGCTCAAGAAATTCTTACTGTTGGGATTGCTCCCCATGCAAATGAAACGCAAGTGTGAAAAGCATCATCATGTCAATGAGCATGTCCACTGATATCTCAGGTCAGACTTCTTGATTGAGAAACATTTTGGTAAATCTAAGAAAAAAATCGACACAGCATAGTATCCCAATATTTTGTCTGGTGATATATCGTATCGTCTCATTGACCAAGTATCGGTTTTTCAAATTAATTGTTTGTCCAGTGAGGTTGGCAGAGATGACATCATAGAGCAGGAGGAAGTTAGTACAACAAATATATATATATATATATAAAGTTTGCAAGATGTGCTACACGAAAATAAAATACTGTGTAAGTAAGACAAACATAAAGGAAAGACAACTGCTAAATAAGCTAAACAGTTGAAAGAAAATTTACAAATTGCAATATATTGTATTGCATTACTCACTGTGTTGTTAAAAATCGCAATAATATCATATCGTGGCCCAAGTATCATGATTATATCGTATCGTGGTGCCACTAGTGAATCCCACCCCTAAAATCCAATATTTGTACAGCTGTATTGTCCAACCTGCTCTGCCAACATGGACTGAACTCTGTTTGTGTTTGTCCTGCAGTCTTGGGACCTGGTGGAACAAACCCAGAACTACCTGAAACTGCTGCTCCACATCATCAACAGCGATGGTAAGTGGTTGTTTGTTACGAAGGCGGTGAAGAGTATCAAGTCACCTTTAGTTGAGAGTTTATGTTGGCCGAGGATTTTACGTTTGGTTTAACTACAGCATATTTTTAGTTCCATATCCTATTCCTCTATTAGATACACTTGCAGATAATCTAACTTTAAAGCAATACTTGTTCAGTTAACAGACATCGAAGTGTGGCCTGAAAATGCTTCCTTGGTCTATCAGCAGTAAAAACACAAACACTCAAATTTGCAAGGATGTGAAAAACTTTGACTATTTGTGAGTACTTTTTAAACAACATAAGAAACATGAAGAATATTTGTTTATTGAGGACCTTTACAAATGCATGTAGTTAGAAGGTAGAGGTCGTTTACATAAATAACTCATTTTAATGTTGTTGAAATCACAAGTAAGTGAAGACTGAAGTTTCAGCAGTCAGTGTTATGAGATCTTTTTTTGGTTCATATTACAGCAGATTAATTTGAAATTGATACATACTAGATGCTAACATTGTTAACAAGTTCCTCAGTGTGTTACAGCAGGTTTTAGTTATTGTTTTGTGTTGTTTCAGATGAGAGTGGCCTCTTGGTACACTGCATATCAGGCTGGGACCGAACGCCTCTCTTTGTGTCCCTCCTCAGGCTCTCTCTTTGGGCAGTAAGTTCTTCCCTGTCCTCTCAAGTTACTCAGCATCCAATCACCTGACAGCTCATTTAACTCATCATCCTACACCGCAAATGAACTCTTTTGTTATAGATATGTTTTTTTTCTGAAGCCAGTATCACAGCCTTTGATGATAATATGTGTAAAAAGAGCTTCTCAAACAGAATGATGCTGTCTGAAAGTGTGTGACCTCGTGAGAATTCTTGTTTTATTCAGGTGGCGGTATCTGAGATGTTTGACTCGCTGTTATCATGTTGTCTTAACAGGACGGAGCCGTACATGCCAGCCTGGAGCCGGCAGAGATTCTGTATCTTACCATCGCTTATGACTGGTTCCTCTTTGGGTAAAAAAAAAAAATCATTTACATCATCCCTATCATTTTTTCATAACCGCCCTGTAAGCTTGAACTTACACAGCGTAAAGAAATGCGCTGACACAAGAGGTACATTTGCACCGTCTAGCCTCCATCTGATTTAATATGCAGCGTTTTTGTCGGTCATGCATTATTGAAAAGTGGTTAATGAAGCACCGAGGGCAGAGAGGAAGGGGAGGTCAGGACAAAAGGAGGAGGGTACTCTGCCCCCGGCTTTGCTCTTGACCGTGTCTTTGATCTTCCCACTCGTCCCTCTTGGGGTTTTTCTTTCTTCGTTACCGGAGCGATGTCTTCAATTGAAACTGATCAGAGAAAGTCTGATAAAAGTCTCCTTTACGTATAACATCAACAGGCGTACTGAAAAGAGAGGGAGCTGAATGAAACACAGACACAAGGGTACTGCTGCTGCTGTAGATACTACACTTCACCTTAACATTTCTGGAATGATCTGCACTCTGTCATGACCATGAACAATGTCAGCAGCATAAAAACCAACAAAAGTTACTGTTACAAAATCACTGTTTATGTAAACAGAGTTTTACACTGTGTAAAGTGTCTACACACCGTCTTTGAAGCAGAGGAAAGGGAGGTTGAGCAGGTGCAGACACGTTTCTACTCCTGAAACGTCATTCTTATCAGGGTAGATATTACAGGAACTTTTAGCTCACAGTGGGAGTAAAACTGTCCAATATCCTTCCTGACTGTGTCACCATGACCTGACTTAATGATGTTGTCCAGTCAGGCCAGAGAAATGAATACAATAAGCATACTATAGTCATATTTTCTTTAATATATTTGCTGACAGACACCTTATAACGTGCTGTTCAAAATGTAGAAGTGTTGCAAAGAAACAAATGAAGGACTGAGAGAAACATCTGCTTTTATTTGTCAAATTTCTTCATTAAGTGGACTGTTAACATTGAAGAGTACTGTTGGATCAGGCTGAGGGTTTTTTAGTTGTGACAAGAATGTAACGCAGTGTGTTTCTTCATCTTCTGCAGTCATATGCTGCCAGATCGACTCTCCAAAGGGGAGGAGGTGAGTATCTGTGAGTGTTTTCTGTGAGTATGAGCTCTCTTCGGGGGTGTGATTCTTCCGGAGTGACCCAGAGTTTAGGATTTTCTGACCTGAAGCAGTGACTCATAAATTATGAATATGCAGGTGGTTTATGTGGTTGAAAAGCTGTTCAGTTAAATGGAGAGAAGTTTGGCATATCTGCAGGCCAAAAGTAAGAATACTTTTTATTTATGTGTCCAACCTGCTGCTTTGAACTGACAGCAGTGACTGTATCAGCTGTTTGTTTCAGCCACCAGCAGACAACACAGTGACACTGTGATGATGTGATTTGATTGTTCCCGTTTCAGCGAGTGCTTTATAAGCATGTGACATCAACATTAATGTAACAAGCCTTAATTTCATGGACACTCGTAACCTACTAGATATCTGTGCAAAAACATATGAGTCTAAAATCTGCTAAATTAACTTCAGATTTCATCTTTATCTGACCATCAAAGGAAACTCTCTCCACGACATAAACAGTGCTGACTGACGGTATTTGTCAGAAGTTTATCACATGGTATTAAATAATCTTATTTTACTTTGTTGTACTTGTAAATGAGCAACTTCAGCCTCGTTGCACCGACTATAAATTCAGCACTTAGCAGTTTTCAGCTGCTCTCCTGAAATGTTGGTGAGTTTCAGATCATTTGAATAATGTAACACAGAGTAAGACCCCCAATGTCAGTATGTTCTGATCTTTTTCAAAGTATTTGAGGTCAACATACAAGTTGGAGTGATCGGCTTGATGTTAAAATGAAGGCAGAAGAAGTGAATTTGTTCTCAGTCGATACGATGACACCACTTAATAATGAAGGCGAAAAACTCTGAGGTCTATTTGTTCCAAACTCAACACAAATGTTCCTCTCTGTGCAAATAAAAAAACACTTTTAAATGTCTTTTGTCTAATTAGTGGAGCAGCAGATAAGAATTCACACAATGCTTTGACAATATGGTAAAGAGATTAGTCTTTGCTTCAGTTTGTTTCATGGTGGTCTGTTTTTTATTTGTCCGCACTGTTAGAGACATTTTCAGTTGTAGCTGAAGGGCTTTCATGTTCTGGCTGATACTTTGCTCTGGGGACCACCCACCCTCTTGTTGTTTGCACCTGAAGAAAACTGATGTGGGTTGCTGCCATGACTGTGAACTAATGTTTAACGGTGATGTTGTTGGGAAATGAGCTTGAAATTCTTTGATATTGAAGACAAAATTCCCTCACACAATCTCTCTTCTTTTTCTCCCTCAGATTTTCTTTTTTTGCTTCAATTTTTTGAAGCACATTGTCTCAGAGAAGTTCTCTGCTGTTAAAAAACAGAGGTGTGTAACTGCTTTCTTTCGATTTGATGATGTTCCCTCTGTTTTCTTTCACTTTCTCACTTTTTCCTCTGTCTCCCACCCTTGGTCTTGTCTTCCTTCCCTAAATGTGAAGCCTTTTTTTTCAACTAAAAAGAATAAGCATTTCTCTGTCGCTCCAGCTGCATATTAACACTCTTCAGTGGATAAATAACCCTGTGATTCACCAGCTTCTGTAGGCTTTCTCTGCTTTTGATTCGGGATGTTATTTTCTTCTCTTTTCAGAAGGAAGAACTCCCACTTCAAAGACAGTGATTTCACTGTGGAGGACCTCTGTCGGTTAAGTAAGTCATGTCGTGCCTCACACACCCCTCCCTCTGAACAGACCCACATACAGGAGACACAGAGCTCAGAGAGATCGAGCTTTCTATAGCAAAGAAACATGTCAGGCTTTTACTTGAGTTTCATCACTTACATCCTTTTAAATGCTGTTACTGTCAGTAATGTACAAAAAGGCAAACATGGTCTGTGAGTGAAAAAAAAACTGAATTTCTCATTGGATATGATAATGGATATGATGAGTTGTAGAAGGACTCAAGTTAACTTTAAAATTTTTGAGCATCCCGCTCTTTCTGACTGTAAACAAAGCCATTCTCCACCTCCCCGACCTCCAGTGTTTTGTAGTCGTTAAAAATGTCATTGAATCTCAGTCCTCCCGTTAAATCCGCCTTAGTTTTTCTGTGATGAACTCATAGCAGAATTTGGAGACTTGTCACTTGCCTGTGGTATGATGCAATGAGGAATAACCCAGAAAGTGTGTGATGTAGAGACATAGCAGAGGGACTCGGGCTGATAACACAGCCCTTTTATCTTATTAGAATATTGCAAAGCCTGAAACCCAACCATGGTACATCACAAACCTTTATACATGCAGGCTTCTCATTCTCAGTGGAGTCTTCTGAGATAGTCCCATCAGCGTGCTGTTTTATGTCAAAGTTGATCAATGCTTTTTCATTATTCAAAAAGATGGAGGTATCTGCTTTCTTGAAACTGTGAACGTAGATGTTATTATTGAAACTTAAATTGTAAATTTTCAGATTTTTACAAACAGAATCGAAGAAGACAAGAACAAACAAAAAACAACAACAACAAAAAAAACAAAGAACAATTTCCATAGCAGATGGTGTTGAAGGAGACTTGGGAGCAACACGTAGGCATGACCTGAAGCAAACACTTTAAATTACTTGACTTTAAAAGGGACTGTTATTGTTAAAATGGACATTAGGAGTGGACTTTGAACTAGCCGTTGATAAAAATGATAACTGAGATGACAGTTTATAAGTGAAATGATGTAATTGTTTTACCTTCTGTCATTTAGTTAGACTGTTTCTTTGATCTCTCAGTGGAGCTGCCCCCCGCTGGTGTTTAGAGGAATGCAGGTTCAGGTCCCTTATGGCTCTGCTTCACTCTGAAGATACATCCCTGTCACATGCTGTAGTCTATGAGTGCAAAGTACAAATGTTTGAAGCAAGTTGAAGTTAAGATTCTCTGTTCCAGCTTGGGTTTAAACTCACAAACAAAATCCTAAAGACCCCCATATTCTGGTTTCCCTCATGTGCTTTCTCTGCTGTAATCCCTCAGAACGTGTACCGGGGTGAAGGTGGACTTTAAGGATTCCAGTTAACAGACCTGCTGTGTGTTTGGTTTCAGAGCTGAGGGATCGTGGGAGTGTGACGAGTCTGAGCAGTGAGTTTTCCCTCATCACTGAGGAGGCAGGTGGAGCCTCCAGCCTCACCAACGACACTGTGGACCTGTTTGCCAACCAACCCCAGGCCTCCAGCTGGTCAGTCACATATCAACATATTATATTACATATTAACAGGCATTAAAATCTGGCTTTTAACTGTTTTTTTTTGTTAAATATCTTTTATATTGTCTGCTTTTTCATTTATAAAGACACGGGTAGAACACAATTGAATATTAACAAAAATGGAATGATCATACAGCCCTTTATGCTTGAAGTGCTCCCACACTTTTGAGGACTTGTGTCGAGCTGTTTTCACAGCCTCCGCCATTGAAGAATAAACTTTATTTCTGTAAATACTGCCTCTCCCTCGATCTGCATTCAACTCGCGCTGCAGGTTGAGATGTTTAAGTTAATAGCTGGCTTTGCGTAGTAGCGAGTGATGTCTAAATCGTGCGACACAATGACTCAATAATGGAATTCATTGCCGACACTTTAAATAATCGATTTTTATTGATTTTTATCAATTTGTTGTTGCAGCTCTACCAGAGTTGCGACAGTCTTTACCCAGAATAACTGCATTTTTGGACATGACCATAAAATATGTGATTGATTGGCTTCAATGTGTCCACAATGTCTCCAATGTTATGTGTTTTCGATTGTTGAATTTGAAGGTGTGGTATTATAAAATAACATACCATATTTCTCCATTTCTTGGAGCTTGTGGATGAGTATTGGTTGTTCCACATCGACCACCAATCCTCCAGTTGTGTTTCCACCTGAAGTTCCTTTTCCCATTTTATTTTTTAAATTCAGTGTTAAGGGATAATTCCTCTATGTATCTGGAAAGCCTGGTAAAGTTTTGAAATAATCTTTAAATTAGCTTTGCATCGTACTACTTAGATGCTTTAAAAAATGTTTAACATTGTAATCTGCTTCTTTTAGTCATATTAATCTCTTATTTGGAGGTATTTGAAAAAATCGCTTGCGCTTGACTCTCTTCCAGCAGCTGCTTGTTTGTGGGGGAGCCCTGACAAGTCAATCACCGAGTGCAGCAGAGTTTCAAGGACGAACATTTATGATTGTTACTTCATGGAAATGCGATCAGACCGAGACGCTAAGGTAGAAGAACTACTGCGTCTGCAGTGCAAAATGATAATTACTTCATGGAAATGATCCACTGCACTCTGTGATCGACTCATCAGGGCTCCCCTATAAACAAGCGGCTGCTGGAGGAGAGTGGGTGAGTTGTGTTTGGTCTCTTTGCTAAAGAAATCAGGCAAAGCTAAAAAGATGTTTAATGGCTAGTACTATGACTGTGACCCTATATGTAATGTTGAAGAAGTTAGGTGCTGTTCTGAGCATTATTTGTGGCTATAGAGTGGCTTTTTGGTTGAGGTTTGCACGTGGAGATGTAGACCTCTGTGTATTGCTATCGTGTGGTCGTTACTAAAGTTGGTTTAACTAGAGAAGCAATCAGTCGGCAACATTCACCTCTCGAGGGGGTGTCTAACTCGGTGTTATGGTGTGTTTGACCGTAACTTAATTTTTACTGAATTTACTATCCCTTCAAAACATGTCAGCACTGCATACACTCCTCCACCTTCTCCATCTCTTCCACCTTCTCCATCTCTTTCTCCTCCTTCTCTTCTTCTTCCTTCTTCTCTGTCGATGTTGATGTAATCTGTGTCTCCTCAGGAGGAAAGCCACCACCTCTTCCCCTCAGATGGTCGTTTGGAATAAACAGATCCCACTAGAAGAGCAGCTCTCCCATCCGCTCAATGAGGCCAGGTCTTCCAGCTCCTCCTCCTCCAACCAATCAGAACAAGGAGTCACACGCACTGGCAGCAGCCCGTTGGCTGTCCCTGGGAGACGGTAAGTGAGCTAATGAGCTTCCTCTTTGCGTGCAATCTTATTTTTAAACTCTCACTGATCATCAGTCGTGTAAATGTTGGATGAACCCCAGAGGCACAGAGCTGAAGTACAGGAGCTTCTTTATTTGACCCAGCAGAGCTTATGCAGAGCCAATGAGAGATGTGTCCATGTCTTTCAGGTTAGCGGCAGACTACACGCGGTCAGGGTCCTCCCTCTCCACAGAGTATGGGAGTTGGCAGATAGTTTCAGGTTGTGGCAGCATCCATGACCACGCTCATTTCCCTCCACCTCCGGCCTCAGCTTCCTCCACTTCGTCTGCTGTCGCGGCTGCTTATGACTCCCCACTGCCCTTCAGTTTTCAGGATGAAGGACCCAGTGGAAGAATGTAAGTGACCCTGCACACCCCCGTATCCTTCCATGTCTTTCTGAGGACTAAACGCCTTCTCACCTCAGCAGTTTACAGACGACTTAGTCTAGGACTGGGCGATTACATGATCGTGATAAATTTCAGTTCGATCACGTTGATCAGCTGTTTGCATATTTACTCGATCAAACATGGCAGAAATGTGCGTGAAAACAGCCAATCAGAGTCGAGCTTTTCCTGCTCACTTCTGGAAGTTGCCAGAGAAGTCCCAGGAGGATCCCATTACATTTTGGTGGTGATCCGGACAAAATTCTGGATACTGTGATCCAGAACACACAAAAATAAGGGTGTCATTGGAATTTTCAATGGTGAAAGATAACCAATGGGCGGCACAGTGGTGTAGATAGGCGGTACAGTGGTGTAGTGGTTAGCACTGTCACCTCACAACCAGAAGGTCCTGGGTTTGAATCCCGGTCAGGGCATTTCTTGTTTAAGGGGGACATGAGCTGCTTGGCGGAGGTCTGCGCTCTCCGAGTGCTTTTCTAGTTTATTTTGGGTCTCTCTATACCTGCAAAAACACTCAGCACTGTAAACTAGTTCACTATATTATTCAGTATTTATCTACGTGTTGTGCTGCTGAGTTAATTTTTTTTAATACATATTTTTTTTAGTTTATCTTATTTAATTTGCATCGTTATTTACTTTGTATGTTAACAAAATGTTGAACTAATCTCTAGTTTCTTTAGTTTTTAGTTCAGATGCTTTAAAACTGGCTGTTTAAAAAAAATACAAAAAATATGGTGATAATAATCGAGATTGGACGAAATGACAAAATATATCCTGTTTTTTTTTCTTTTTTTTTTTAATCGCCCAGTCCTTGGTTCGTCTCACTGTCTCGGCAGAATATCGGTTTATTTAGCAGAGACGGTTTCTTGTCGAGCCCCCTCTCTGTCCCCCCCCCTCCCTGCTAAACTGAACATGAGACAAAGATGTGAATCAAGGGAGACAAATTTTCCACTGGGTTCCACTCCCTCTCACTCATCCTCCCACTCTCGGCTGCCAAATTAAGTGTTCCCCGCTAGCATCGCTCGCAATCGGAGAAGAAAATAACACTAACTCGTTTTGGGAAAGAGAGAAAACAGGATGAAGGAAGAGAAGCAAAGAGGTGGAGGTGGTGAGAGCTGGAGCTCTGTGATGGTTCATTTAGGAACACATTGTCGAGTAGATTCAGACGGCCTCGGCTCGAGTTGATTTGGTTCTTTCTCTCTTCTGATTCTGCACTTTCACACGAGTGTAGTTGACCTCCCTTAACCTTTATCTTCCTGTCCTCTTATCTCGCTCCCTGTTGTTTCCTCCCCCCCTCCTTCCTCCCTCCTCTCCAGGTGTCCCTTCCCTTCTGAGCGTCAGGCCCGTCTGGAGGCGGTGCGGGAAGTCTTCCTGGCAGCCTACAGCTCGACTGTGGGTCTCAAGTCCTCAGCACCGAGCCCCTCCGGCGCCATCACCGGCCTACTGGAGCAGTTTGCCCGCGGGGTCGGCCTTCGCGGAACCAACGCCATCGTCTGAGCCTGCTCAAAGTGACTTAAGACCTTCTGCTACCATCCATCCATCCATCCACCCACATGTCTAGACTCAGTAAAAATAAAGTGCCAAACATCTCTGTTCCAGTCGGGGGTGAAACATTACTTAGATTTTTGTTTTTAACAATTTCGCACCCGTATATATCTATTTTTTATGTGCTTCAGCAACTTTCCTCTGGACTTGAAATCTTCAGTAACAAGTTCTTGGTGTGGGGGGTGGGGGGGCAGCGGTTACAGCCATGGTATCAAAAAGGGATAGTTCAATGTAAATGGCTGATCAGATAAGATCCATACCTCTCACAGGCAGAGACGATCAAGAATTCCTCCTTCTTTCTTCCTTCAGCTTTTCATCCTTTTTTATACATTTGACACATTACTGGCAGGGACCGTCCTGTGTACAGGAACCTACATGATATCAGTTTTTTTTTTGCTGCTATACTTTATCGATCCCAGAAGATGGTCGTGCTTTCGTTCAGGTCTCTCCCGCTCATCGCCTGACCGCACTACAGCAGCCTTCATCCACCTTCAGCCAATAGAAGTCTTAATGCATCAGGAGTGAGTGTCCATGTTTGTCCTGTGTGAATCAGTGAGCCTCTTGATAGGATTGCTCTGACCGAAGCAGACGTGTTTAAAACCCGTTTCTGACCCAGCCTAAAGGCGAATGTGTTCATATGGGATCCAAAAAAACACCAAATTAGATCTGACACTGGTGCCATTGAAGGACATCATCATTAGCCCGTGTCTTCCGCTGTGCTGGCAGGCTAAGATGAGAAGGAGGTCGGGGGATTTTCTCATTGAACTCGTTCACCTTTGGATGGTTGCTGCTGTATTAAACTCGAATCTGCAGACAGGTTTCAGATGATCCAGGGCTTTGCTCCGACTTTTGAGCAGCTCTTGGTGCTGTTCAGGATAACGCCTGTTTTGATGCACAATTAAGATGGAGTGAGTGTTAAAGCAGTGGTTCTCCAGTCCTCGAGGCCCACTGTCCTGCATGTTCTGGATGTTTCCCTGCTCCAACACACCTGATTCAAATGATCAGCTCGTTATCAAGCTCTGGAATGGCTTAATAACGAGCTGATCATTTGAATCAGGTGTGTTGGAGCAGGGAAACATCCAAAACATGCAGGACGGGGGGGGCTCGAGGACTGGACTTGAGAACCACTGTGTTAAAGGATTTGCTTTGCCCCCCCAACTGGACAAACTGGTTAATCCAGGTGTGACTGATCAGTGTGACTACTCAAACACAGTGTAAGACAGGAAATAGAGGAGCTGCCCTAAGTTCAGGAAGTAGTGGATCTCTGCGTAGAGCCCATTGCACCACCCTGTTAGGCCAACGGACCTGTGGTGTTTTTCACATCTGTTGTCAATTTTCGAACTTGTTCTCTGCAGATAAAAATAGTATCTTAGTCATGTTGTGCATCCCTTGATAGAAAAGTGAGAAAAATGATCAGGTTAGGTTTTGAAAGGCAGCGATAATTCAGGTCAGTCTGACTTGAAGGTTCCAGTTTATCGCACACAAACGATATTTGGAAGAGCCGGTGTCTGAAAAGAGTCCCAGCTGCAGTGAACATCTTGTGATTGCAGAGATGAAATGTAACTTCTGGACCATTTTTGTGTGGCGGTGAAGTTCACTACAAAGTCACTGCCTCACAGCTGGTGCATCTGACGATTCAGAGGAATCAAAGAAATCTTATTCGCTATATCATTTGAAGTTATACAAGGTACAACAAGCAGCCGTAACATGATGGTCACCGACAGGTGGAGTGAAGCAGACTGACATTTTCTCGGATGCTGTTTGTGGACCTACAAAAGTAAACAATAGGATTGATGGTTTCTGTGACAAACCTTAAAATGAGTGAAACGTTCGCCTGTCAGAAAGCAGGATGAGACTTTGTGTGAGAAAACATACCTTAACTTCTCCCACAGGGGGCACTAAAATAAACACAAACAGAGAGAATAGCTTTAAGGGGTGTCCCGGGTCTGTAGAGGTTATGGGTGGCCAGGGTTTTACGAATCCACATGGTGAGTCAAAGCTGGTCCATGTATTCTGATCCAGCAGAGGAGCTTCTGAAACTCTCATTACGGCAAGCTGGCTCTGATGGAAATGTGTATTCAACACCAAGCAGCACAGCTGGATGTGCACTGGCGTCACAAAACCACATGATACCAAAATACAATGCAGGTGCTCACACTGCTGTGGCTGTGACCAGTGTACGACTTTTCTATCTCTCATTGAATATCAAAGTTTAAGACGGTTTCAAACACGTGTCCTGGTAATGTTTCCACCTCGTCTGCCTGACATGAATGTCTCTGTACGTCCGTCATCCAGGCAGCAGGCAGGTGTCGATGATAATCTAGTGAATGATTGAGACTGGAAATCTTCATAAATGAGGAAAGCAGAAAACATTAAAAGAACAAAACAAACAAAATAAACAAACAAAAAAAAACAACTCGAAATAGCCAGATGCTCCCTAATGCAACGAGAAATGGTGGGTTTTTGTGACGAGAAGAGGCTTATCATGTCAAAGATGAGAAAACCAAGATGAGTTCCTCCTCTGCTGAGTTAGAAATGAATGATTTATGAGAAATGGATGTCCAATCTGAAGTAACAGGTGAAGGCTTGCAGAGTCGCTGTAAACGAGTATCGGATTCAGTAGATTCAATTGGATTCTCTGTAGGTGATCTATCAGCGCAGTAATCAATTATTGAAGGGATTTTTGATTCCGTCGTGGTCCAGGAGGTTCTATCTGTCGACGGTCGACCATCTTGCCTGATTCACCCAGTTTGCCCACACCCTGTAGCTTTTGAACCCTCTCCATCTTCATTTCTCCCCCTTTCAACATGGAAGCACACAGGCACTGAGTATAGATCTGTGGTAGTAGATCTCTGAACCAAATGCCTCTTCCATGTCGTGTTTGTTCAGGAATTTCAGTGAACAGAGGTCCAAATGACTCCTGCCTCTGCTTCGGCATTTCTACACGGGCTGCTTTTTCTTCTCAGAGAGATCTCCACTGATAGTCGAAACGAGCTCTCCAGGTTGCCGAACAGTTTTGACAGCTGCTGTACCTCAGGACTTTTAGTTGTGCCTTTTTTTAATCAGCCTAATTGATTCCGATCTCTGCTTTTTCTTGGCGTTTGCGGCTGGTTGTTGGAGAGTCAGGCTGTGGAGCATTATAAGCATTATCTTTGCAATAAAAGCTGCTCGGTTCGCTCATTTATCATCCACCTTGCTGCTCGGTAATAAGCCTTATTTGTACCGTGACTTGAAGCTGTGAAGTCTTCTGAACGCCTCTGATAGGGTCGATGAGGAAGGATCTCAGTGGGCGCAGAGTCGGAGGTTTTCATGCCTTTTAAAAAAGACTAAACTGGTTGGTTGAGATTATAGGAGTTGATACGGTGGACATGTCTGTATTCCCTTCAGAGCGTTCACTAGGATGGGTTTGGTTAGACGGAGGAACAGTTATGATACTTAAACAACACGCACACCGACATCCCGGGGTTTGTTTGCTGACAGTATCATCAGGGTCAGTTTTTAAGTTCTGTGTTGTAGCTTTTAATGAAACCGGCTGTAGTTTTGAACAGCAGCTCTTATATTTTTTGATTTCTGTTGAAATTTGGGCTAAAAAAAAGTGCAATTTGTCGTTTTGGGTTTAAATGTGTTGTTTGGGGTCTAGAGCTGTTTCCCCTGAATCTGAGTCTCTACGCTGAGCTAGACCAACCACGTCCTGATCATAACTTGTACCGTAAACACAGACATGTTGTTTGATGAAAGTGCTCCAGTTTTGTGCCTGAGCTGTCAGAGTGGTTTACTTTTCCGTCTTCTTCTTCCTCTGAGACTTGTTCGTTGTTGCGTCATCTCCCTGCCAGGTCTTAAGCTCTCTGTCTTTGGAGTTTTTTTTATGTCTGTCCTGCAGAGGATTTCTTCTGTCAAGATGCCAATCAAAAGACTCTAACTAAAGCATTACTGTCACTTTCAGATTGTTCTCATCCTGAGGTGCTTTAAATACTCTTAATTTTATTTCTCACTTTTTTCACTCACTGGTTTTGCATGAAATTGCGTTCTTATCTTAGTTGCAGCTTAGATGGGTTTTATTTGTTTGAATTTGTCCGTCAGTCTCGTATTAAATACTGCATTGCACTCATCTTTTTGTTCTCTGTGTAAAGATTTTTTGTCTTTGTACAGTCGACGAATTTTCGGTAATTGAACATTATTGTTTGTTTGCTTAAATGTTGATGGTCGGCAGGATACACTGAAAAGTAACCTGAGCTGCAGGTGGTGATTCCAGATTAAAAAAAAAAAAAGTTGGATTTGCTTCTGTCTTTGTTTTTATTAAATTTATTCAGTTTTTTTTCCCCCAAACATAAACATCAAAAAAGACACCTGAGCCCAGTGTTGCCAACCTGGTGGTTTTGTCTCTAACTTTTGCAACTTTTCAGACTGCTCCAGCGATTTATTTTCAAAAAAGCGCCGAATGAGTCGCTAGATTTGGAGTTTGGAGACTGACATGAAAGCAGGTATCGATGTTACTGTTCTCACCGGGTAGCAGGTGTGCATCAAAAACACAGACACGTATACAGACGCACTGAGGAAGACTCCTCTGGGGTGAGGGGTGCACTGGAAAATTATGCAAATTAGGCGGTGGCGTCTTCTAGCAACCTCTACAACAGCCACAAGCAACTTTTCTAAAGTCCTACTCCGATCGTTCTTTTTCACTATTTAAGGTGTTCTCAGAGGTCTTTATATTGTAATTATGAAATTTTTAGCCAAAATCACGTTACCTGTGTCAAGAACTTTTTTTCTGCAGAGCTCCAGTAGATCATTAGCAATTCGCCTCTGAGTTGTGGGCGGAGACAGCGCTGCTCTGCACACTCCTCTTCACGTTAGCTTGTAGCCTAACATTGCAGGCGTAGTAGAAGTAGCAGATATTCAGCTCTCGAACACTAATGTCTTTAGGGACATGATGAAAGTTAATGTCATAATTGACTTTCTTATGAGCATTGCAATCCGCTAACGCACACGCTTGTTCCACGATCGTTCTCCCTACTTCTCCGAGTCAGGCCTGCATAGCGGGGCTCCAGGGATGGAGCTTGGAATTGTGACGTAGGAAATCTCACTGTGTCTAAGCCTGCCGTTTGGGTCTGCCAGAGAGTCACAGAGATTTGAATGCAGAAATACTCAGAAATGCAATTTCACACTTACTTTTCCCATGATATGTCCTGCTGCATCAGAAAAATGCTGTATGAACATGTAGACAACAAGGAAAAACATGATTTTCATCAGAGTGGGTCAGCTGGCAACACCGCCTGGGCCCAAATATGTAGAGAAAGACTCCAAGACGATGTTGGATTCAGATGAAATCCTGGCAGTTCAGTCTCATAAATTCTTGGTCAAGTGTTTAAAAAGCTCTAAGCTCTTAAAGGGATATTCCGGCATAAATTTAAGCTATGGTCAAACATAACGTAACACCGAGTTTGACACCCCTTCAGGAAATGAATGTTGCCGATTGCTTCTCTAGTTATACCAACTTTAGTACGAACAACATGATAGTAATACACAGCGGTCTACGTCTCCACATGCAAACCTCAACCAAAAAGCCACTCTATAGCCACAAATAATGTTCAGAACAGCACCTTACTTCATCAACATCCCCGAGTGCAGCGGAGTTTCGCAGCTCAAGGAAGAACATTTATGATTATTACTTCATGGAAATGCAATCAGACCGAGACGCTAAGGTAGAAGAACAACCGCGTCTGCACTGCAAAATGATTATTATTATGATGATTATTACTTCATGGAAACGATCCGCTGCACTTGGTGATCGACTCGTCAGGGCTCCCCTACAAACAAGCGGCTGCTGGAGGAGAGTGGGTGAGTTGTGTTTGGTCTCTTTGCTAAAGAAATCAGGCAAAGCTAAAAAGATGTTTGGTGGCTAGTACTATGGCTGGGACCCTGTATGTAGGTGCTGTTCTGAGCATTATTTGTGGCTATAGAGTGGCGTTTTGGTTCAGGTTTGCATGTGGAGACAT